AGATGGAGCTGATAAACATAGACCCTCCCAGTCCAGAGGCAGTCTATCTAGATTCTGAGGGTCGATGGGGCATTTGACTGCTGTGAGTTCAGGATATTGGACTGGGTGGTCCTTCTTTGGCCTGATCCTGCAACCGGGCTCTCCTTATGTTATAATTAATCGTATAATTGGCACGAGCAATTGTTCTCAGGCCTGTGACCTCGTTCCTGGTGGTTCGTTACGCAGCCTCCCTCTCCGTCCGTCGCCGCCTGGCACTCGGACTCAACCCGCAAAACGGACGGGGGACATGTAAACAGAGACTCCCCGTGGGAATCTGCCACGGCTAATTTTAGGAAAAGAAGGCCGTGGTCATCCTGTCTCCGTCAGTGTCACAACCGGAGGCCAAGAGGAGGGGGGAGGGAGCGTGTGGGGTCTCCCTGCCCCAAGGACGCTGAGGGACAGCAGCACGCCAAGGATGCAAGCAGAGCCAGTCCAGCGGGATTTACTACCACAGAATTGTGTAACTGGCAGGGACCCCCAAAGGTCCTCTAGTCCAACCCCACGCAATGAAAGAATCCCGGCTGCCCAGCTGATCGAGCTTGAGAGGCACCCAGGATTAATAATACAGTGGTACCTCAGTTTAAGTACTGAATTCGTTCCGAGGGTCCGTTCTTAACCTGAAACTGTTCTTAACCTGAAGCACCACTTTAGCTAATGGGACCTCCTGCTGCCACCGCGCCACCAGAGCATGATTTCTGTTCTTATCCTGAAGGAAAGTTCTTAACCCGAGGTAATATTTCTGGGTTAGTGGAGTGTGTAACCTGAAGCATATGTAACCTGAAGCGTATGTAACCTGAGGTACCACTGTAATAATAATAATAATAATAATAATAATAATAATAATAATGTTATTTATACCCCGCCCTCACCGGCCAGAGCTGGGCTCAGGGCGGCTAACACCAGTAAAATTACAGTAAAAACATAATAGGAGGGGGGGGACCCAATTTAAAATACAGGTTAAAATGCAATTTAAAATGCAACCTCATTTTAAAATAGCTGATAAATCAAGACCATAAGGGGAGGGAAACATAAGGGTCAGACCGAGTCCAAACCAAAGGCCAGGCAGAACAGCTCTGTCTTGCAGGCCCTGCAGAAAGATGTCAAGTCCTGCAGGGCCCTGGTCTCTTGTGACAGAGTGTTCCACCAGATCGGGGCCAGTACGGAAAAGGCCCTAGTTCTGGTTGAGAGCAATCTAACCACCTTGAGGCTCAGGACCTCCAAAGTGTTGTCATTTGTGGACCTTAAGGTCCTCCGTGGGATGGCCCCAAAGGGACGTGGGTCCTAGGCCACATAGGGCTTTAAAGGTCAAAACCTTTAAAGATCGTAAGCTGACTATCAGCTAAGATTGACCCAACATCCTGGCCAAAGAAGATGGTGAGCATCAAAAGAGACTGCCAGATCAGGCCAGGGCCCCTCTAGTCCAGCATCCTCCTCTCACAGGGAGCCACTAGGAATCGAGATAGACTGCCCCTGGACCTGGAGGCTCCATCGGAACTAAGAAGAGCCTGGCTTCTGGATCAGGCCCAGTGAGTCCCACTCTCTTCTCACGGTGGCCCAAAGGGAAGACCCAGAACAGGAGCTGAGCACAAGAGCCCCCTTCTCCCCCCCCTTCCAGCGTTGCTGCAGAGCAGAGCCATTCTGATTAGTAGCCGTCGCCAGATTTAAATAAATAAATAATACCCACAGGTATGAAATTTACGGCATGTAATGCCTTAAGAGAGAATATTATGAAAATGATATACAGGTGGTACATAACCCCAGTCAAGCCTGCAAAAATCTATCATGTGCCTGATAATAAATGTTGGAAATGTAAAGAATCTGAAGGTACATTCTTTCACCTTTGGTGGACATGCCCAAGGATTAAGGCTTTCTGGGAGATGATATATAATGAACTAAAAAAGGTATTTAAATATACCTTCTTGTAGAAACCAGAGGCCTTTCTCCTGGGCATAGTCGGCCAATCGGTGTTAAAAAAGGATAGAACTTTCTTTATGTATGCTACAACAGCAGCAAGAATACTTATTGCAAAGCATTGGAAGACACAAGAACTTCCCACGCTGGAGGAATGGCAGATGAAAATGATGGACTATATGGAATTGGCGGAAATGACTGGCAGAATCCGAGACCAGGGAGAAGAGTCGGTGGAAGAAGATTGGAAGAAATTTAAAGACTATTTACAGAAATACTGTAAAATTAATGAATGTTAGAATGATGACGGATTGAAGTTAAGTGGTTTCTAGCTGTAATGGTATAAAAGAATATGGAAAAATTGGTTTTTAATACGTAAAAATTTAATGTTATAATATATCAAGATTAAAGATCAGGATTAAAAAGGAGGGAAAGGAATTGCTGGACTAACAAATTGAATTGGAATACAAAAGAGGGAGGTATGAGGAGGTCTGGGAAACAAGTAAATGTAAGAGAAGTGATGAAAAGATGGAATTGTTTTTAACTGTTTTTTCTTTTTTGTATTTTGTATTTTTCCTTTTTATTGTTAATTTTCCTATCAATGAAATCTTTTTCTTTTGAACTTTTAATAAATATCATTTAAAAAATAAATAAATAAATAAATAAATAAATAATTTTTATTTATACCTCGCCCTTCCCGGATCAGAAAACTAGGCTCGGGGCAGCTAACAACAAATGTAAAACAATTATAAAAGCAGCATAAAATACAGTATAAAAACATGAATAACAATAAAATTAAAAAATCAGTTAGATTATCCCCAGGGCTAGCTGGCTGAATTGGTCCTACTTGGGCCAGCGAGGAGGCCAGGGGAGAATTAGCTGTGGGGTCTCAGAGCAGGTGATCTTCATAAAAGGGGAGGGGGAGGGAAGGAAGGGGAATAAAAGATCAGGCTGAATTCAAATTAAAGGCCAGGCGGAATAGCTCTGTCTTACAGGCCCGGCGGAAGGAGGTTAAATCCTGCAGGGCCCTGGGACAGAGCATTCCACCAGGTCGGAGCCACCACTGAGGAGGCCCTGGCCCTGGTGGAGGATAGTCTGACTTTCTCAGGGCTCGGGACCTCCAAACTATGGCTATTCATGGACCTTAAGGTCCTCTGCGGGGCAGACCAGGAGAGGCGGTCCCGTAGATAGGAGGGCTCCTCCTCCGTGAATTTCTTGTGGGGCCAAAGGGGTCCTGCCCAGGCCTGCCTCCTCTTATTGGTGTGGCCAGCCAGATGTCTTTTCCGGGAACTCCGCAAGCAGGGCAGCAGCAGAGCTCTCCCCAGATGGGATTCGCGGCGACAGATGGAAGGAAAAATCAGAATTTTGTACGGGAGAGATTTTCAACTTCCTGTGCAAAGGATGCACCGAAACGTTCCGTCGGTTTTTTGCAGCGAAAACAGCCAAACGAGGCTCGTGGCACCTTTGAGAGACCGGCCCAGGCTCATCGCTGTTTTTGCTTAGCTGCCTCCTTGGAAGACACGGTCTGAAAAGTGGCCGGCATCCCTCGTGGCGGCCTCAGATATCCTACTGCCTCCTCCTCTTCCCCCCACTTCTCCCTTATCAGTTTTGCTCCAGCTTTAGAAACAGGCTTGCAAGGCCTCCGATAGTTCAAGGGGATTCAGTGCAGAATTCATAGAGTTGTAGAGTTGGAAGGGACCCCAAGGGTCATCTAGTCCAACCCGCTGCAATGCAGGAATCGCAACTCAAGTATCCCTGACAGATGGCCACCCAACTGAAGGAACTCCCTGCCGCAGGATCAGGCGATGGCACCGGGCTCAAATGGCTTTCAAAGGGCGATGCGAGAGGTTGGAGCAACAGGAGAGGTCTGTGTTCAACCTGCAGGGCGCAGGAGCTAAACAAAGCCTCCATGATAGAAGCAGTCTACCTCCAAACATCAGCTGCTTTGGTGGGGTGAGGCTCAGAGAGACGGCTTTTGCCATGGAGCCTTCTACTTACATTCTTAGGGAGTAAAAGAAATATATTCCCAAGGCCTTGCAGGTTCACAAATTGGTACAGGAGCTAAATGGAAGCAGGGCATTTTCTCCTTGCGAAGAACCTCAGGAGAGCCTGGCTGCAGGATCAGGCCAAAGGGGGCCCAGGATCCTGTTCTCACAGTGGTCAAACACCCTCAAGAACCTAGTGTTGTAAACAAAAATCTGCCCTTTTTTCCCTTATGGGGGACGCAAGAGCCCATATAGAGTCCTTGCATAGGTTCCCTATTGGTAGGAGAGAATAACAGAGGCCAACCAGAGAATATTGAGAAGCAAACCAGAGAATATTGAGAAGCAAAGCGGCTCGTAAGCCTGATCTTTATTGAACTGTTGCAACAGGGTGCTCCCCTCACCCGCAGGAGAAGGAGGAGGACCCAGAACCAAAGTGTGTCCGCCCTTATATAGACATTTAAAATTGCCCGGCCTGGAGTCCAAGACCACCCCCAGAAACATCACACCTACATCACAGAAAGGGTGGTCTACAGCAGAAATCTGAGTGCTTTGTTTACCTCCTGTCTGGCAAGTTACCTGTTAATGCTCACTTGATTGGATACCCTGGGGAGCCTGGCCAGTCTTTTGTAATGATAACTACTTAGTTCCTGAGCCAGGTCACAGGCTCACCCTATTCATATCTTAAATGTGCCCTTAAGACAGGATTTGTGAGGAAAGAGACAACGACGAGGTTTCCCACTTTGACCTTGCAGAGAAATAATTGAGGTCAGTTTGGGAATCAAAAATGGTTCCAGGTCGGTCTTCCTGTGCTGATCTATGTATGTGCTTGGTTGGTACACTTATGAACATTTAACATATATCTAAGACCTCAAAATTCCTATCACAATAGGAATCAAGATAGACTGCCTTTAGACCTGGAGGCTCCATAGGCATGTAAGAAGAGCCTGGCTGCTGGATTAGGCCCAAGGGGGCCCATCCAGCCCAGCATCTTCTTCTCACAGTGACCAACCGGATGCCCCAAAGCGAAACCTGCAAGGCATCCGAACTCAAGTCTCCCCTCCTGCAACCGGCAGCCAGCAGGGATTGAACCAGGAACGTTCTGCATGCAAAGCAGGTGTTCTCCCTCCTGAGCCATGGCGGCCGTTCTTTGCTGAGCTGTTCTGGGCCGGGAATGTAGGGAAGGAAGGACAAGCGCCAAGGATCAAGGTTTTGGTTTCCTAAGTTACGAAACCCCAGGGGCTGAGGAAGCTGCCCACGCTAAGGTCAGCTCAAGGACTCAGGGAGGGGAACTCGGGCAAGAAGCAAAGAGCTCTCACGGCTTGCTTTCGTCCCTCTTCGAGCTGTAGAACTGGAGAGGTGAATGGGACCCCCAAATGTCATCTAGTCCAACCCGCTGCAAGACAGGAGCCACGGCGAATGTTCGCCTTTCTCCCGAGGGTCTGTGCGTTCAGTGTTTCCGTGCAGAACCGGTCGCTCCATTTTACCTCAGGGACCTTTGGCAAAAATCTGTCACCTCTCGGCCTCCAGCTGCTTTCGAATTCGCGACACCAGGCTCACGGCCGCCTGGCATTTGGGGCAGTGAAGAGGGCTGGGGAGTCAGGCCTGCCCTCTCTTGAAGTCCGGCGTTCTCAGAGTCAGGCCTTTGCCCATCTAGCCCACTCGGGCTGGCAGCAGCTCTCCAGGTGAATGCCATTAATAATAATAATAATAATAATAATAATAATAATAATTTATTATTTATACCCTGCCCATCTGGCTGGGTTTCCCCAGCCACTCTGGGCAGCTTCCAACAGAATCTTAAAATACAATAATGTATCAAACATTAAAAGCTTCCCTAAACAGGGCTGCCTTCAGATGTCTTCTAAAAGTTTGGTAGTTATTTTTTTCTTTGACATCTGGTGGGAGGGCATTCCACGGGGAGGGCACCACCACCAAGAAGGCCCTCTACCTGGTTCCCTGTAACTTGGCTTCTTGCAGGCAGGGAACCGCCAGAAGGCCCTCGGAGCTGGACCTCAGTGTCCGGGTAGAACGATGGAGGTGGAGACATCATAATCATGCCTACCACAACCTGCTGATGGATTTCTTTTTTTCCCACTGGCTATTCTTAAGTTCTTGTGGCCAACACAATAGCTGCTTTTCCTCCTCTGTGAATTTGCCCCATCCTCTTTCAAAGGCTTCTGGGTTCATGCCCATCCCTGCGGGAGCAAGTTCCACAGGTTAATTATGCACAGGTCCCAGTTTGGCACTCTAACCACTAGACCACACGCCCTCCCTGGTCTTGTTGCAGGGCGGAGGATCTCGGGCGCTTGAGAGGCAAAACCCCACCAGCGACCCACACACCGAGGGAGCGGCACGTACACGCTGAGATCGCCGTGCAAAGGATGGAAAATCTCAGCCTTCCCCATGGCCCTGGAGGGAAACACATTACAGGAGGTTTTTCCTTTCCCTCCGAAAACACATTAAAAAGAGATTTGAGGGAGAAATAATTCAGCAATCCCTGGAGTTTAATTCCTTGTGGGCCAGCAGGGGAGGATCAGAATTCATTAAGACCGGGGAAACTTCCTTGGCCAAATTCTCTCGTCCTTTTCTTCGCATGAGAAACCGTCTCCGCCCCACAGGGTGCCCAAATTTTCCTTCTGGCTACGGATCTTAGCCTCCTGCCGAAATATGGCCTGCGTCCAGGATCCCTGAGGGACCCCCCTTCCCCCCCTAGAAACCCCCCCCCCCCGGTTCTTGTGGTCTATTAGCAGGACCCAAAGGACAAGGCTTTGCCCCTGCACCCCACATGGAGAGTTTTATTCAGCTGAGGCAGTGTGGTGTAGCAGTAACAGGCAAGGACCTAGGAGGGACCAGGGTTCAAATCCCCAATCGGCCATGTCTCAGTGGGTGACATTGGGCCAGTCAAAAAATTATGGTACCAAAGACTTAAAGTTTTGGAAGAATCCCCCTGGGTCATCTATTCCACTCCCAGCTGAAGAATCTCTGGCAGGTGGCCCCCCAGCTCTGTTTAAAAGCCTCCAAAGAAGGAGAGGCCATCGTCTTCCTGGTGTTTGGCTGGAATCTCCTTTCTTGCCACATTTGAGTCCTGGGTTCGAGTTCTCTCCTCCCGAGCAGCAGAAAACAAGCTTGCTCCATCTTCATCATCAACATCACATATCCTTTCTTAAGCATAGCAAACCACACATTATCAAACAGCCACCGTATACAAATTGTGCGAAATACGAGCTCAGCATAACAAGGTTTTTCCCAGTCAGCTCTTTAACTCCAGATGAAATTAATTTGCATAAATAATACAACACTACCACATCACCGATCAATGAAGAACCACTAAATCTCTTTATAATGGCCCAGTCTTTCTCCATGGACAGCACTCAAAAATTCAGCCACTACTAAAGTAATCTGACCATTCCTGTCCGAGAGCAGGGTCCTGAACCGTTGGTAGCATAGAAATCAGCCTACTGAGCTGTAAGGCCTCTAATAATTGTCTTGTGGCATAAATGCCAAAATCACAAGAAAAGAAAATATGCTCCAAAGTGTCAGGTTCCTGTTTACTACATTTGCAGAGACACTCTGATTCTGGGAGAGCTAAATATCTTCCTCTCACTCTCATCGAGGGAAACGTATTAAATCTGGCTAACATAAACAGCCTGCACCATTCATGATCCTTCAGATTTGTCATGTATCTCCATCTTCAATGTGGTGACTGTTCAGAACTTTGAAGACAGGCTTCTCTGCCTGGCCTACCCCACAAGGCTGTTGTGGGGGGCTGTTGTGGGGGGAATTAAGTGAGGAAGGGGAGAACCACATTTGCCATTCCTTGGAGAGGGAGGTGAGATATGAAAGCAATAACGAATTAAATCCTACCCACTGTAGACACATCGAAACGAATGAACCGAAGTGAGCCAAGCCCATTAACTTCAATGGGTCTACTCTGAGTAGGACGAGGATGGAGCACAACCCATAGAATTCAGCCGGACCTCCAGGTGAATGGAAAAACCACCTAATTTTTTAATGAGAAGCTCCCCCGTTCGCTCTTCTCAAACCACCGTGTGAACGTTAACACAGCCTTCCTTTGAAATTTGCATTTTTCTGAATTTTGAGATACAGTTCTCCAACCAATGTAGCTGCATATATTTGGGGAAAGTACGTCTAAATATTTTGTTCACACCCTCGTGAAAATTCACCAGCATTTTAGTACGAATTTCTCCTTAACAGACACATCTTCACACACAATTTTGCCTAGGATACTTTTTGCAAAGCAATTTCCCCAAATACACAGCGCATTCCTGGCTGTTGTTTTCAATAATATACGCCTTTATAGGAATTCTTTACCCAGGTGGGTGCGTTTTCGCACACCTTCATCGGCAAGAGAACCACACTACAAAATTCGGAGCAGTGCAAATCTTGATGGACGGCTGCATTTCGGTTCAGGTATTGTGGTGAGAAGTGTGAATGGGGTAAGTCTGCCTTGAAGGTGCAAAGTAGACTAAGCTTCTGCTGCAGGCAGAATTAGGACTGGGCTTTTTTGTGTCAGGATTTTTTGCTCCAGCCTTGCGCTCGTCTCTGGCAAAATACCTCTGACATGCCTCTCCGCCACCTCCTCTCGCTGCCATTGATAAGAGGAAGGAGCTGTATCATCCCGGAGAGAGCTAATCGCTTCCCTCAACCTTTTGCAAGCTTCTTGTCCCCGGGGCCTCTGACTGATCGCTTGGTCCTTATCACCCAGGCAGCGTGATTCCCTCCTGACGCACACATCCAGCTCAGAGCCACAGTCCTTGGTTTTTGAACCTAATCAATTCCTTTTGGAGTCCTAGATTGCCGATCCATCTGAATTCTATTACTGCCTTGAGGATTAGGCTATCTCCGTGTGAAGCTTTTAATGGAGCTTATCTTTCACCACGGCCTTGTGGGGAAGAGGCCTTGACACGTTCGTGCCTCAAAAAGGGCTTCTCTGACAGCTTCACCAGAAGACACACCGGGCTCATCTCATACGCCCTGCTGGGCTTTTCCTTGCACCGGCTGTGTGGGCACATAACACTAAAACCATGATTTGTTTTAACCAGGGGTTGTTTCACAGATGAGCATAGTGACCGTCGCATGGATAACTGTGGTAGAGTTGGAAGGGACCCACGGGGTCATCTAGTCCAACCCGCTGCAATGATGGCAGTGGCGATGTGGGCACCGGGTTGGGAAAGGCTGGACTAGAGAGGAGAACTCTGTGCACAACATGGGAGAGGAAGAGAAGCAGGAGACGTTTGTGTGTGTCGTTGGACGGATGTGACAATGTGCCGTACGACCAGCCAGGCATCGTAGCAGCCTTTCCCAACCCGGTGCCCACATCACCACTGCCATCATTGCAGCGGGTTGGACTAGATGACCCCGTGGGTCCCTTCCAACTCTACCACAGTGATCCATGCAACGTTCACTGAAAGAGAAAAAAACCCCCAGAAGAACTAAATAATATTTTTTAAAAAAAGAACACACACACACACTACTGTTTTTGGTTGTTGTTTTTAACCATTCATATTAAATTCTTAGTGTGGGATTACTTGAATCCCTCGACTTCCACCAGCCTTTCTCCACCTGTGGGTCCCCAGATGTTGTTGAACTACAACTCCCATCACCCCTGGCTACCAAGGTCAGAGCTCGGGGATGATGGGAGTTGTAGTCCAACAAAATCTGGGGACCCACGGGTTGAGAACCGCTGCCCCTGCCTGGTTCCATTTTATTATTTTCATTTATGCACGTCCAAAAAATCTTAACTTCTGTTTTCTTCCATTTTTAAGTCATTGTCTGACGTGAGAGCAAGTTTTGACCACGCCAAGTGTTCAGCTGTTTGGGGCCTGAGTCGTTGAGGACTTTTAAACACAAAGGCGAGCACCTCGAATTGGGCCTCGAAATGAACCAGCAACCAGTGCAGCCGTTTTAATAATTCCTGCGTCTGAAAATGTGGAGAGTTCCTGCTAAGGGAATCCTGGGCAGGAGCAGCTGGTGCAATGAGGTGAGGCTGCGTCCGTTCATCTGAAGCTTGCCCACAGCACCGCACAACAGCTGACCTGGCCGGCAAATGATCTTCGGCAGAAAAGCGCCAGGAGGTTTCCCTTTCTTGCTTTTCTTTTAGCGTGGGCTCTTTGACAAAACAGGGATGCGGGTGGCGCTGTGGATTAAACCACAGAGCCTAGGGCTTGCCAATCAGAAGGTCGGCGGTTCAAATCCCCACGACGGGGTGAGCTCCCATTGCTCGGTCCCTGCTCCTGCCAACCTAGCAGTTCGAGAGCAAGTGCAAGTAGATAAATAGGTACCGCTCCGGCAGGAAGGTAAATGGCGTTTCCGTGCGCTGCTCCGGTTCGCCAGAAGCTGCTTAGTCCTGCTGGCCACATGACCCGGAAGCTGTACGCCGGCTCCCTCGGCCAGTAAAGTGAGATGAGCACCGCAAACCCAGAGTCGGCCATGACTGGACTTAACGGTCAGGGGTCCCTTTACCCTTTACCTTTGGCAAAACTGTCACACTCACTTTCTGAAGGCTTTGGGGAACAGCTGGGGATCCTTTTACTCTTTTGATCAAGATGCGCTTGAATCACCACCTTCTGAGGTAATAGAATCAGAATTGCAGAGTTGGAAGGGACCTCCACAGGTCATCTATTCCAACCCCCTGCAATGCAGGAATCTCAGCTGAAGCCTCCAGGACAGATGGCCATCCGACCTCTGCTTAAAAACCTCCAAGGAAGGAGAGTCCACCACCATCTTGTGGGAGACTGTTCCACTGTCTAATAGCTCTTATCATCAGAAAGTTCTTCCTGATGTTTTAGTCGGAATCTCCTTCCTTGTAACTTGAAGCCATGGGTTCGGATTCGTGTTGGAAGATTTCCTGCCCTGCTTATATCCCAACTTTGCCATCCGAAGCAGCATCAAGATACAGTCTGTTGACGAACATCTCAGTTTTAGAACGCCAGAAGTAAATGCTTCGGTTTTCGAATGTGCCTCGCAAGTCAAACATGCCATGCAGCTCCGGCTAAGTGCAAGATCCTGTCAGCTATTGAGTTTTCGGTTTTCGAACGTTTCAGAACTCGAACGGTCTTCCGGAACACATCACGTTCGAAAAACCGAGGTACCATTGCACTCAGTCTCATTCACTTCACGTAACAAACTGACCTTTCTTTATTCCTCTTGCATGAGAACTTCTTGCGGGCATAAGGGCAAACATGTGGTCATAACAAAGAGCACATTATAATGCTAGCGAAAGGTCCCCAACCTCTCGGTGTGTGTGTGTGTGTGTGTGTGTGTGTGTGCAGGACGACACTTGGCACGCTGGACATGCATGCGGGTTCAGACACACACCTCGCAACAGCAGCTGCGGAAAGGACAGGTGTGGCAGGGACCCAGAAAGTTGGCATGGGTCACCTGCCTTGGAGATACGCCTCACAGCTCCCCAGCGCAAGGGGGAAAGAAATAGAGGGGCACTTTTTGCACAGCTGTCCAGTTTCTCCTTGGCCAAGGGACTGGCAGGGGGTGCCGCTTGGCAAGTCTCCCCTGGCAGAGGCAACTGCTGGTGGGCAGAGAGCCCTCCCGCCTGAGGAAGGGAGGTGGGGTTTCTCTGCAAAAGGAGGCTGGGTCTATGGGGCAGGAGAGCTGGGGAAAGCAGGAGGGAAAAGAGGGAGGTTTCTGGGAGGAGGGGCTTCCCTCCCTCCCTCTCTCTCTTTCTCCCCTCTCAACTGGAGATCCAGTTTCAACAAGTGGCTCTGTCCAGAGAAGGAGCGGAGGAACCGAGCCGTCTATTTAAAGACAGGAAGGGCCCACCCCTCTGAATGTATATCTCCTACATGTGCTCCCTATAGGCTACCCCCACCCCTTTTGTTGTTGTTGTTGTCGTCTCCCCCTCCCCACCCCCTTTGCTCCTGTCCCCTCCGTCTCCTGCACCAGCAGATATGGGGAAAGGGGTAAGTACCGCTGCTTCTGGGGCCCCCAAAGGCCATATCTGGGGGTGGGAGAGAGAGAAGTGGTCCTTCAGGGGTGCAAACGAGTACTGCAAAGGGAAAGTAATGGGGGGCGCCTGCAGGGATCCCTGAGAAGGCCAGGGTGTGGGTGAGTGCCTTGTGGGGTTTTGTGGCGCGCAAGGAGGAAGGGTCCACAGGCAGAGAAAAAGCAAGAGTTGGAGGAAAGAGATCGGAGCGTGTTTGCGCAGCCTTCTCTGGAAGATCAGAAGGTGCGTTTGGTCCCAAAGAACTATTTCCATATCTCCCACCCACCTTGGAAGGCAGATTAGCCCCACAGGCCGTAGCTGGGCTGGGCAGATTGCGGTCCTCTCTGGGCGTGGTCCGCTTTGGCAGAGAGGGGAGTGCAGGATCGGGTCCACGGATTGCATTTAATAATTTTAGCTCACATAGACTGGCCTTGGGCGTCTTGTTGCTTTGAGCGGAGGAGCAGGGCTGTAAATGTCATGGTGCTGAAATTCACCAGAGTCCAGCGTGCTGCTTTCTGCTGCCCTCTGTCTGTCGTACTTTGAGGAGAGGGGTGTTTGGGCTCCTGCTTTGAGTTCGGAAAAGTTTTTTTTCCTCGCCCCTGGCCAGGAGGTCTGTGCTGTTGTTCTTGCACCTACAAAGTGTGGCCTTCGCTTTGAGCCTCTAGGGAGAACCTCGTGGCCGGTGGCGGCGGCAGCTGGCAAAATCTGCCACCCCAGCTGTCAGAAAAAGTATTTCGCTGTCAGATTTTGCAGGGTGGCAGAGAGAGGTGCAGGAGAACAAAGTTTGTTGTTACATTCATGTCACAGGATGTGCTGGTTTCTCACATTCGGTAGAAAGGCATATTTAAACATAATATTCTGTAAGACAAAAGCGTCTGTTGGGGTTTCTTCCTTTTAGACTGTTGATAATTCCTTGGGAAATGTGACTGCCAGCTTCCAGCTTCCACAGAACTGTTTGCTGAGTTTCTCTCCTCCCTGATGCAACGTTTGGTGCAATTTGGTGGTTGGGGGAAGTGCTCCCTTCTCTGCACCCACAAAACAGATAAAAGAAAAGGCACGCATCTGCCTTCTCTATAGATCGCTTTTCCCACAGTCATGGTTCTCACCCGCAAAGGAAAGAGAAAGGGGTGTTAGCATTTGTTGACCCAGATGTTTGGGACGCCGCTGAGGATTCACCTGTGATCTAGCGCAGCTGGGACTCCTGGGGTTCATTTTCAGATGTATAATTCAGCGCAGAACTCCCGGGGTTCCTATCAGTGCAAATGACTATGATCCTGTGATCTTTGTCGGAAAGGCAGATGGTGAAACATCGCTGCGCGGTCACTCTCCGTCATCTTCCAGGAGCGTTTGTCGTCATTCACTTTTAATCCTCTCCTAATTAAACAAGATCTTGTCCCCGTGGGAAGATCTGAATCCGTGTCCGGTACAAGCCAGGGGGTGGATTAGTCGGTCTGGATCCCATTCAGCGTCTTCATTTAGAATCGAGCCATGCAGGGTAGATCCCACAACCTTTCAAAACCTCAACCGGAGAAAGAAGATAGTTTGTTTGGATTCTGAATTGTAGGTTTTCCGGCGCAACCTTAGGGTCTAGAAACTTGAAACAATACACCATCTCCTGCCACTTCATGAGAAGCCACCAGGGCAGAGAGGGGTGGCAGGAGGCCCCCCAGCTCCTGTCAATCACTAGGCACCAGCCCTCCCAGAATGGGCTGGAGCTCAGGGATTTGGGGGCCACTGCAAGGTTGTTGTTTTTTATGCAGTGGAGGCCGGAAAGATACAGAGGGAATTGGAAGAGACAGAGGCTCTGGCTTTCTTCATTATTCTGAATAGTTCTTTTATGCTACTTGCTTTTTCCTATGTGAGGAAAAATCAAAACAACCAAAGCAATATGAATGTGCCAGTCTTTATTGATGGTCAAATTTGGGTAATTAGAGCAGTGGGTGTTGATTGAGAGAGATTAAAGCTTTATTGATCCTACACACCATACTTGGCTGATTGGAGGTATTTCTCCAGTGCAATTAACCTCTTTTTTTCTTTCTGCTGCATAGCTGCACCCTGGGCTGGCCACCTGAATAGTGAATAGTGAATAGCTTGCATTTTATTCAGTTTATTTTTTTCTCTTTGTGTTAATTGTACTTCTTGACATGTATCTTTAATGAACCTCAGTAAAATATTTTTTTTTGGGGGGGGGAGAAAAAGAAAAAGAAAAAGAAAAAGGAAGAGACAAGAGGCTAATTTCTGCCCCCTACATTCAGTGGAATGAAACATGAGCTGTGATTCCTGTGGGGGGTTGGGCTGGATGACCCTTAGGATCCCTTCCAACTTTGCACGCCTAGGATTCTGTGATTGCCCCCTGTCCCATTTCCATGCACCCTTTTGCCACAAAGCGGGGTGCAGCCAGGGCCAGGCTGTGTGAGCAAACTGGACCCCCGTTGCCAAAGATTTCTCAGGGCTTGTTCCCCATAACCCGCCTATCGAGGGTTTGCCCCTGCCTTTCTTTGCACAAAGTTTGCTCCAACATCTCTGAGGCTTTGCCGCAAGCAGGAGGTATATGATTCCTGTGAAATAAAACAAAGGTCTGGATTGGGATCAGAAAACAGTCAGCTGTTCATCAAGCAGTGGTTCTGATGTGCAGACCTTCTGAGTGTCCCTATTTCCCAGGGATGTTTCCAGATTGACAGAAGCTGTCTTGGTTTCTGATTTGATCCCAGAAATGTTGCAGAAATGTTGGGGTTGTGGAAACCCCAAGCCACGGAAATAAATAACAACACAACTTTTAGAAGACATCTGAAGGCAGCCCTGTATAAGGAAGTTTTTAAACGTTTAAGTTTTTATGTATACTGGAAGCCACCCAGAGTGGCTGGGGCAACCCAATCAAATGGATGAGATAATAATAATAATAATAATAATAATAATAATAATAATGGAATAGGATGCCCCTATTTTCATTGGTGAAATGTTGGAGTGTATACAATCCACTTTTAAAGCCATCCAAGTTGATGGTCATTGTCGCCTCCTGTGGCAGGGAGTTCCATAGTTTAACGATGCGCTTCATGAAGAAGTTCTGCGACCCTGGAGGCCCAATGCCCATCCGTGTGGTCAGTCCTGAGCTAGAGAGACCAAGTTTCCAGCTTGGATTAAACTGCTTCCCACTTTCCCATGTTTGTGTTCCAAAACCAGCCTCTTTCGGTCCCTGGCCTGAGAGGTTCTGTCAGTGGAGCCTTTCCAAAATCAAACGGTCTCGTCACACAGGCAGTGGGAGAGGGGTTCCCGACATCGTTGGACTGGGCCCAACCCCTCGCTGGGACCTTTTGGGATCGCAAGAACCGGGCCCAGGAGATGCAGATGTTTATTCAGGAGCAGAAAATAAAAAGAGGACCTCATCGCAACGCTGACGGAAAAGTTCCCCCGTTGCCAAGAACAACTCTTGTTTGCCAGGGGTCGTGTTACAGAGAGACCTGGGAACAGGGTGCTGTGTGGCCATGGGGGGGGGGAGACGGGGGAACCCCAATCCTCACCGTGGGGTCTCCAGCACCTTTTGCATGGCTGGCCCCCTGGTTACCACGCTGACCTCTGTTCAAGGGAGGTGGGAATCGACTTCCTAATCACTTGACCCCTGATGCATTTTCCCTCGTTTAAAAATAGTTGAAAATGTGTATATATAGGACCTGGGGCTTTGGAATGACAAGGCCTGGCCTCGCAGCAGGAGGAATGGCCGGGGGCCTGGGCTGACCGTCGGCTTCTCCATGCAAAACGGGGGCATTGTGAGCAGCTCCTCACACCATGCGCTCAAAGCACATCCATTGAAATGTGCTGGGAAATGCGGCTTCGCCGGGCGCAGAGCTGCCATTCCTGGCAACCTTTGCAAACGAAAGCAAAAGCCGGTGTGCAAATGTGGAGGACAGAACTTGCAAAAATGAGAAACCAGCAGCAGCACATTTGTCCACCCTGTAGTTCCACAAACTGTTATGAAACTGCCGTGGCCTTTGGCTATTTCAATAAACTTATTGATGATGACGATGACAACGATATTTGTCCATTCCTATAGTTTTTACTGATCAAAGGGCAGGTGCTGAAAGCACAGGCCTCCTGGGGCGTGGAAATGAGCAATGCCTGGCCTTTTCTCAGGGAGAAACAACCACTTTGCTTCGTCCACCACAACCCCCCAAAAGCTACCTAGATACCAGCTTTGCACTGCAGGGGGTTGCACCAAATGGGGGTTGGACCCAGCCCAGTTTTCCCTTAAAGCCATCTCTCATTCTGCACTGTGTCCCCAGCGATTGATATTCAGAAGCGTGAATTCCCCCAGTCCTCTTTTAAAGCCATCCAGCTTGGTGGCCATAGCTGCCTCATGTGGCAAGGAGTTCCACAGTTCAACTCTGCCCCGCATGAAGAAGCCATTGCTTTTCTCTGCCCTGGATTTTCCAACGTACAGCTTCACGGGATGCCCGTGAGTTCTAGCGTTAGGAGAGAGGGGTGCAAACATTCCTCTATCCACTTTCTCCATCATTCTATAAACTTCTACCATCTCACCTCTCCCTGGCTGTTTCCCCTGAAGCAGAAATCCCCAAACGCCACAGCCCTTCCTCGCTCCATCATTCCCTGCATTGTTTTGTGCCATTTGATCCGCCGCGCAGTTGTCCCTCCTCACCTCAGCCGAGGGAAGGACTTCGCTCAGGGAGTTCCTGCCTGGCCCAATTCTTTCTCTCCCTCCTTTTGGGCCAGGATGGGGAAAACACCCTTTCTCCCTGTCTCCGGGGGCCCAGAGGAGAGGCGTGCCAAGCCCAGAGCCCGGCGGAGGAGAGAGAAGATGTCTCCCTGGGCACTGAATGCCCAAGCAGGCAGAACAGAGGGGTCTTTCTGCCTCCTTGAAAAGCCCCGGAGGCCTGAATAGGCAAGACTTGGAACAGGAGTGGTTTCGCTCTCTCCCAGCCTTTTCTCTCGCTCTCCAGGGTCCCTGGCTGCGCCAAGACATGCCCCGAGTGCTAATGACATTGCTCTCCTCTTTCAGTGTTGTGGAATGGTGTGGCTGGCATCCCGTCCCCTTTCCCGGTCAGGCCCCAGCAGTGAGTGATGGTGGCGCAGGGCAGGAAGAGAGGTCCGAGAGTCAGGGTGGCATAATGGTTAGAGCGTCCAACTGCAAGGACCTGGGTTCAAATTACCACTTGGTCATGAAGCTCCCTGGGTGGCCTTTGGCCAGTCACGGCCTCTCAGCCTAGCATCCCTCACAGGGCTGTTGCTGTGAGGATTATATGAGGACTTGGACCGGGGTGAGACCAGAATTCGAATCCCACTCAGCCACGCGTCTCACGGGATATGACAATATTTTGCAGGGTGCTCCTCCAGCCCAAAGGCAGGGAAAGAATGCATGTATTTGGCTAAAGAGGGCCCCAAAATGCATTCATTATTGAAAATAACATATGAAAAGCTATTCTGGAAAATTGCTTTGCAAAAATGCGTATGTTAGGCAAAATTGCAAACAGGCATGTGCAGTCTAGGAGAAATTTGCCTTAAGTGTTGATGGATTTTCATGAGGACTCTTAAAAAAGGTAAGGGTGGGGGAGAATTGCATTTTGATGCAGAAACGTAAACAGCTGAAGACAGAAAAGTGAGAAACTGAGAAACTCAAACCTGCAGATTTGTCTGTTCCTATTTTTACTGATGCTGGAAGCACAGATCCTTTGGGTTGGCAGAATGAGCGATGCCTGGTCTCCTTTCTGGGAGAAATCGAAAGCTCTGTTTCCACCTCCCACGAACTTATTCTATACAAGCGAACAACCAGCTGTGTTGGCCACCTTCCTGGTACGTCCAAATCTCAAGAGTTTTGCTGAGGTGGGGAGAGAAACATTTGGCCTCCTGTACTTCCTGCGTCCCCTCAGTCCGGAAATGCCGTGACAATAATAGCTTCCCCTGGCACTCTGTCCAGGGCTGGCCAAATAGGATCAGTAGCTCAGTGATGGTGGTGATGGAGGAGGAAGACATCAAAGCTTTTGCGTCAGGCCATTCACGGCCTGGGATGTTTGGCAAAGGCTGCTTTGCTGTGAGGCCACTGCTCAATGCACACTCAGGGCTCTAGAAGGAAGGTTGTTGTCTGCTGTTTTGCTGAAAATGAGACTCATGGAGTTGGAAGGGACCCCCGCGGTCGTCTCTTCTAACTCCCTGAAATGCCGGGATCACAAATGAGTCTTCATTCAGAGCCTGTATATCTCAGCAGCCGCTGTAAATGTCCCAGATTTGTTCACGATGCTTTTATTTATTTCATAAAATCTATCCACCACTTGCTTGTTTAAAAATGTCCCCAAAAGGCTAACAAAAGAAGAAAAGAAAACAATTACATTATCAACAAGGTGATAATTCAAGACTTCAAAACATTAAAACAATGTTTGTCTTGCCAGAGTGGTGCATGCTCTAGTTATCTCCCGCTTGGACCCCTGCAATGTGCTCTATGTGGGGCTACCTTGGAAGGTGACCCGGAAACTACAACTAATCCAGAATGCGGCAGCTAGACTGGTAACTGGGAGCGGCCGCGGGACCATATAACACCGGTCTTGAAAGACCTACATTGGCTCCCAGTATGTAACTGAGCACAATTCAAAGTGTTGGTGCTGACCTCAAAAGCCCTAAACAGCCTCGGTCCAGTATATCTGAAGGAGCATCTCGACCCCCACTGAGGTTCAGATCCGAGAGCCTTCTGGCAGTTTCCTCCCTGCGAGAAGTGAGGTTACAGAGAACCAGGCAGAGGGTCTTCTTGGTGGTGGCACCTGCCCTGTGGAACGCCCTCCCACCAGATGTCAAGGGGATAAACAACTACATGACATTTAGAAGACATCTGAAGGCTTCAGGGAAGTTTTTAATGAATGATGTTTTAATGTATTTTTAATCTTTTGTTGGAAGCCGCCCAGAGTGGCTGGGGAAACCCAGCCAGATGGGCGGGGTACAAATAATAAATTATTATTATTATTAAAATAGACTAAAAACAGATTGAAACTTGCATCAGCTCTCAAACAAGGCTTTTCTAAACAAGAGTGTTTTGAGCCAAAAAGAGTATGACGAAGGCGCCTGCTGGATGTCAACAGGCAGGGAGTTCCAAAGTTTAGCTGCTGCCACACTAAGCAATTGAGCTCTTACAAATTCAGAACAGATATGATGTGGCCCCAGGAGCAGTGCCAGTTCCGCCCATTGAAGCAGTCATGGATGGGGTAATAATGGCACAAGCTTATGCATGTCTACTCAAAAGTAAGCCCTACTATGTCCAGTCATGGCGCTTCCTCCCAGGTCAAGCCTGTATATAAAAGGGACGTGGGTGGCGCTGTGGGTTAAACCACAGAGCCTAGGACTTTGTGATCAGAAGGTCGGCGGTTTGAATCCCCGTGACGGGGTGAGCTCCCATTGCTCGGTCCCTGCTCCTGCCAACCTAGCAGTTCGAAAGCACCTCAAAGTGCAAGTAGATCAATAGGTACCGCTCCGGCAGGAAGGTAAACGGCGTTTCCATGCGCTGCTCTGCTTTGCCAGAAGTGGCTTAGTCCTGCTGGCCACGTGACCCGGAAGCTGTATGCCGGCTCCCTTGGCCAATAAAGCGAGATGAGCGCTGCAACCCCAGAGTCATCTACGACTGGACCTCATGGTCAGGGGTCCCTTTGCCTTTACCTTTAAAGCCTGTATATAGGGCCACAGCGTAATGGTCTCTGAAAGAGCCACAGATTACACACTCCCCAATCAGGTGATCTCGCAGGGAAACCGGTCCTTGTATACTAACAGGAGCACCTTAACTTGGGGTATATGGCATGTTAGGGGAGGGGTAGCACTTCATGCTCCTTCTGGGGTAGTTCGTCCACCTTCCCCCCCCCCCCCCACAGCTCTCAATTGAAGCTCAGATAAACTGTCAGCATGTAAGAGCAGCCACAGCCCGGGAACGGCTTCAACTGGCCGGCTAAACCAGGTGAGGGCAGCCGATGGGTCTCTAACCTTCTGTGATTTAGGGACTTCCCCTGCAGGAGAAGACAGGCTCTAGCACAGGGGTCAGCAAACCTTTTCAGCAGGGGGCCGGTCCATTGGCCGGACTATCTTTTGGAGAGAAAAAATGAACGAATTCCTATGCCCAGAGATGCGTTTTAAATAAAAGCACACATTCTACTCATGTAAAAACATGCTGACTCCTGGACTGTGGCCTTAGTTTGCCTACCCATGCTCTAGCGCATTGAGTGGACAAGACCAAGAGGGTGTCCAGTGGTCAAGAAGGTGGCTTCTGCGTGTGCTGTAGAGGGAAGTGAGTGGCAGACAGGCCTCACCCACCTGGGAAGGGAACCCCTCCAGGAGAAGGAAGACTCTGAGTGTAAACCCACCAGGTATCCCCAGATCTCCCAGCTTTGCAAGCAGCTTGGATGGGATCTGGTGGAAATGACGAGAAGTTTGGGGTTTTAGCAACCGGTTTTTTGTTCCTGGGAATGCAATGCTACAGAAGCAGCAAACTCATGTGGGATTTCACACACACCCCATACATTTATTTATTTATTGTACATGGAGGGTCACGGAACCGACAGATTCGCCCGTCCTTGGCTGAGAGCGCTCTGGGTCTGCCTGGTGGTGCCTTTTCCCTCTTGCCCGCTGGGGCTGCTAATGCCATCTCTGCCCCCTCAGGCGGGACGAGAGTCTGCCCTGCCGGGGGCGACGGCTGAGAATGGAGGAGGGAAGAAGAAGCAGAAGGAGAAAGAGCTGGATGAGTTGAAGAAGGAAGTGAATTTGGTAAGTCAAAGCGCTGGCGGGGTGGCTGTTTGGGGGAGCGCTGGGGTCAAGGCATAAAGGCTGGTCAGTGGCCCCTCTAGTCCAGACTCCCCACAGTGGCCAAGTACCCCTAAGGAACTAGGGGTCCAGATAGACTGCCACTGGAGCTGGAGGCTCCATAAGAACAGAAGAAGAACATGCTGGATCAGGCCAAAGGGGGGAGTCATCTAGTCCAGCCTCCTCTTCTCACAACGGCCAACCAATGGGAAGCCTCCAAGCAGGACCTGAGTGCGAAAGCAGCACTCGCCACAGGTGTTTTTCTGACAGTGGAGGGAGAAGATTGTGGTTGGTCGCCTTATTATCCTCCGCGATAAGGCTCCATGCTCAGGGATCTGTCAGGGCCCACAGCAGTAGGCGGGAGAGAAATGAAATTTCCCTTGTATTTTAACGAGGAATGGCCTTATTTGCACTTCTCAACCAATATGCGAACCAAAACACAACTGTCTTTCAAAATTCGCACTTATCCGAATTTTGCAATGCACTTTCCTACAAAACGAACCAGTGTGCAAAAATTCATGCTGGGGTGGGGGTGGGGAATAAATATATATATACTAGTGAAAACAGCAGACATTAAATTTGGGGGAAATGGCTTGCAAAAATATGCACCTTAAAATTCCATAACACAAAAATACTGTACATGAAAGAGAATTTTGTACTAAAATGCTAAGGATTTAAAAAACCTCTCTCTCAAAACTGCTGCAGAACTGAAATTAATATTGCAATAATAATAATAATAATAATAATAATAATAATAATAATAATAATAAAAAAGAACAGGGTTTTTTCCCTCCAGCTAAGTCCTGCTCAGTATAGACTCAGTATATGAAATGGATGAAAGCAAGTTAGTCATGCCTGCTAACTTCAGTAGGTCTACTTGGAGTAGGAATAGCACCGCAAACAACTCTGAGAAGCCACCCCTGTCCCTGCTGTGATGAGGGGGCAAAGTGATGGAGGGTGGGGGGTCATGGAGGGTGGTCGGCCCAAGGACCCCCCCTCTCTGTGTGTGTCCGTCTCCTTCTCACAAGAGCAGCCAGGAGAAGAAAGACGCTTTGTACGCTGACAGCGAGAAGGAATGTCTCTCCTCGGTTTCCCGGATCCTGTTCTTTTTCCGAGGACGTTCAGCTCTTCTGCCCCCCGTGACTAACAGCCTTTCACTGCCCCCCCTTGTCCTGTCCTTCTTCTCTCTCTCCTTACCAGGATGACCACAAGCTGTCGCTGGACGAAATCAGCAGGAAGTACCAAGTGGATCTGTCCCGGGTGAGTCCGCTGGGGACATTTGCTGCTCCTCTTTGCCTTGTACCCTCTTTTTGTGACTCTTGTGTTTCTGCATGGGGAGGGGGGGTGAGTGGGTATCAAGGCATCCTGGCTTTCATTTATCCCATGGGGGGGGGTGTTATATGCTGGCCTTCTGACTGGGGCTGATTTCGCACCCATGTCCGGTGGCTCAATATGCCCAAGAACTTAGGGATCGAGGTAGACTGGCCCTGGAGCTGGAGGCTCCATAAGGACATAAGAAAAGCCCAGTTCAGGTCAAAGGGGGTACACCTAGTCTAGCATCCTGCACTCTCCTCTTCTGCAATTTCCAGCAACTAATATTCATAAGCATTGCTGGCACCATTTTGGCTACTAGCCTACCAGATTTTTTTCAAGGAATCTGGGGACACTTTTCAACTTCTTTTTTTAAATACACATAAATTTTTCTTAGTTTTTCAACATATCATTTTCAACAGTAATTAAACATACTTTCATATCTTATACCATCTTTTTTTTTTTTTTGCTTCCACCAATCACATCTGAAAATTTTCCAGTCTATTCACTAAATATACATTTCTTACTTCCACAATTACGTTTAACTCATAACTAATATCTCTCTTCTTTCTCTACTTTGCAATGCTTCGTAAATTTCTCCTTACAAAGCTTCTTGTAGTCCTACTGGGACACTTTTCAACTTCAATAGGAATGATAGGATTTTGTATGGCGATTGATTTGTAAATCCGGGGACTGTCCCCAGGAAACGGGGACGTCTGGTAACCTTAGTCTCCTCTGTGAAGTCTTATCCTCCGTAAAACACATGAATGCCCTAAAGAATCCTGGGAAATATACAGTAGTTTGCCCTCTCACATAACTACAATTCCCAGGATTCTGGGGTGAGGGGAACAATTTGCTTTAAGTGTTTATGCAGTCGATGCTTCTTGCTTGCTTGTAGAATGGAGACATTTTGTGTGTTTGGAGAAACCTCTGAATTTTGCATGGTTGGAAAGTCAACAGCTGCAGCCATTGGCCCCCAAGAAGTTGCCTACGAGGGAATGTGGCCCTAGGCCTCCCCCTGATTCCACCACACAGGTTAATATGCCCTCTCTTTTTTTCTTTCTTTGTCTCCTTCCATGCCAGGGCCTGACCAACACGCGGGCAGCAGAGATCCTGGCCAAGGATGGGCCCAACGCCTTGACCCCTCCTCCAACCACACCAGAGTGGGTCAAGTTCTGCCGCCAGCTCTTCGGGGGTTTTTCCATCCTGCTGTGGATCGGGGCCATTCTCTGCTTCCTGGCCTACAGCATCCAAGCGGCAATGGAGGATGAGCCGGCCAACGACAACGTAAGTCTTGTGGCCCCAAGACAGGCATCCCCGAACTCAGCCCTCCAGCTGTTTTGGGACCAGGGATGATGGGAATTGTAGTCCCAAAACAGCAGGAGTGCCAGCAGGTTTGGGGATGCCTGCCCCAAGAGGATAGGATCCCAACCCGGGCTGGCAGCAGCTCTCCAGGGTTTCAGAGAAGGGACATTGCCAGCCCTACTTGGAAAAGAGGATTCTAGTCCTCATGGTTCTGAGTAAAAGGTTGAAATAGGAATGTAGGAAGCTGCCTTAGATTGCATCAGATAATTGGTCCATATAGACTAGTTCTGCCTACACTGACTGGCAGCAGCTCTCTGGGGTTTCAGGCAGGCGATGTTCACAGCAGCACCGGGATAATTATTAATTTATTTTACAAATCTTACACACCACTTGGTTTAAGAACAAAACAAAACTCAAAGCAGTTTTTTAAAAAAATAAAACAGTAAAATTAGCAGTAAATAACAGTTAAAAGCAATTATTTAAAACATGCAAAAAACATTAAGATCAACAATAAGCTAAAAAAAACCAGGTTAAGGCACATGTCAGCATCCCTACATATCTAGGCAGGCTTGCCTAACAAGAATGTTTTTAGCAGAAGCAGTACAGGGAAGGCGCATGGATGGTGTCAAGAGGCAGGGAGTTCCAAAGTCTGGGTGCTGCCACACTAAAAGAGTGATTTCTTATGAATGCAGAACTAGTGCAGATCAAAGCAGTTGTGTGAGCCCAGATGAGGTAAGGCAATATTGCAAATTGGTCCCAAATTGTTAAGGGCTTTGCATCCTATTCGTAACACCTCAAACTTTGCCCGGTATCACACATGTATCACGCAGGTCAGGATAAGGGCAGAGGAGGCCCCCCTCACGGGTCAGACCCCCATAGGCCTGGGGTAGCCAGTGGGGTGCCCTCCGGAAGGGGCTGGACTCCAACACCCCCACAAGTCAACATGGCCGTTGCCCAGGGAGGGGGAGGACGGAGTCGGGAGCCATCTTCCTTCTTCTTCTTCTTCTGCCCAACAAACTGCCTGATCTTGCAAGAAAAGTTGGGTGGGGCTTAGGAGGCGACTAACCTGTGGCCTCCCAGGTGTCGCTTGACTCCAGCTCCCATCCCCATCCCTGACCCCCTGGCCATGTGGGCTGGGGCTGGGGACCACCCCTGACTTCGAGGGACTCCACCTCTGGTTTTTAAGCAGAGCTCAGAGGCCCATTTGTTAGGGATTCTTTAGTTGTGATTCCTGCATATTGCGGGTTGGGCTGGATGACCTCTGAGGTCCCCTCCAACTCTACAATTCTATGATCATGCAGCTTAGCCTCAGAGATGTCTGGGATGGGACCCACAAGCTTAACATGAGTCCACAGGGTGATGCAGCAGCAAAAAAAGCTAACACTATTCTAGGCTGCATCCACAGAAGTCTAGTGTCCAGATTGTGTTACTTTTATTGTTGTTAGCTGCTCTGAGCCCGGGATATAAATATATTATTATTATTATTATTATTATTATTATTATTATCATCATCATCATCATCATCATCATCAAGGGAAGGAATAGTGCCACTCTATTCTGCCTTGGTCAGACAAACACCTGGAATACTGTGTCCAGTTCTGGGCAGCACAATTTAAGAAGGATGTTGACAAGCTGGAAGGTGTGCAAAGGAGGGAGACCAAGATGATTGAGGGGCTGGAAAATAAGCCTTATGAGGAACGATTGAAGGAGCTGGGCATGTTTAGCCTGGAAAAGAGGAGACAGGATAGCTTTGGGTCCCTTCCAACTCTCAGATTCCCTGACCCTCCATGCACAGAGCAGCTGCTCAGTCACCAAGCTTTGGTATTTCGCTCTGTGTGGACAGCAGGCCTCAGAAATGGACAAAGGCTGCGTTCGCCCGAGAATGTCCCTCCTGCCTTCTCAGCCAGGCAGAAGAGCGAGGGACGGCGGGTTTTGATGCAAGCAGCGCCATGCGCCCAAAAGGTCTTGGTCTCCGTCCAACACCTTGGGGTGGGGTTATCCCAGGACGGCTGGTCACTCCCTGGGCCATTCCAGAAGCCCCAGCCCACCTGCCATGGAGCAGGCGGGGAGGTTCATCCTGTCCCCAGGGCGGTATTTGCAGCCCTGCATGCCTCGCCCTGTGTAGGGTTACACTGTAAGACTTCCTGAACAGAAGGGGGGCCCAGGCAGGAGCCTCCAAAACAGAAGGCAGAGGATTTTGCGCTGGGCAAGAACAACCGTGCTGCTGGGCCCCACACTTCTTGTAGTTGTTGTTTAGTCTTTTAGTCGTGTCCGACTCTTCGTGACCCCCTGGACCAGAGCACACCAGGCACTCCTGTCTTCCACTGTCTCCCACAGCTTGGTCAAACTCATGTTCGTAGCTTTGAGAACACTGTCCCACCATCTCGTCCTCCGTCGTCCCCTTCTCCTTGCGCCCTCAATCTTCCCTCATCAGGGTCTTTTCTAGGGAGTCTTCTCTTCTCATGAGGTGGCCATTGGAGCCTCAGCTTCAGGATCTGTCCTTCCAGTGAGCACTCAGGGCTGATTTCCTTCAGAATGGATTGGTTTGATCTTCTTGCAGTCCATGGGACTCTCAAGAGTCTCCTCCAGCACCAGAATTCAAAAGCATCAATTCTTCGGTGATCAGCCTTCTTGATGGTCCAGCTCTCACTTCCATACATCACGACTGGGAAAACCAGAGCTTGAACTATACAGACCTTTGTTGGCAAGGTGATGTCTCTGCTTTTTAAGATGCTGTCTAGCTTTGTCATTGCTTTTCTCCCAAGAAGCAGGTGTCTTTTAATTTTGTGGCTGCTGTCACCATCTGCAGTGATCATGGAGCCCAAGAAAGTAAAATCTCTCACTGCCTCCATTTCTTCCCCTTCTATTTGCCAGGAGGTGATGGGACCAGTGGCCATGATCTTCGTTTTTTTGATGTTGAGCTTCACACCATATTTTGCGCTCTCCTCTTTCACCCTCATTAACAGGTTCTTTAATTCCTCCTCACTTTCTGCCATCAAGGTTTTGTCATCTGCATACATGAGGTTGTTGATATTTCTTCCGGCGATCTTAATTCCGGCTTGGGATTCATCCAGCCCAGCCTTTCGCATGATGAATTCTGCATATAAGTTAAATAAGCAGCGAGACAATATACAGCCTTGTCGTACTCCTTCCCCACACTTCTTAAATGGGACTAAATAATGCCCCGACCCTGAGTGGGACCTATTTACCCATTTCTACTGGGAGTCTTGGGTTTCTCCCACATCTCTCTCACTCTCTCTCCCCCTCCTGCCCAGAAAACAGACTCCAAAATAGCCTTTAAAAATTAAGGTGGGTCTCCCAGTAATGTGAGAAGGTCCCAGACCCGGCCAGAACATGGGGAATGAACCCTGAACTCGCCAGCAAACTCAATTGCGATTTATTGATGATATGAACATCAATGGGCCTTGCTATGAAATGGGAGTTGGGGGGCTGGCTGAGCGGTGGGTGTGCCCGCCTTTGCCCCCTTACAGAGAAGAAAGGGAAGCCGTCCATGTGCAGAATGCCACTTTGCCACATGGTTCCCTTCCCCAAGGGGGGCAACGCTGCCCCTTTCCCGTGGAAAAAACGAAAGAATGTTATTTATCATCATCATCATCCCACCTGTTTCCCAGGCTCAAGCGGCTTGCACAAATTAAAGCAACACAGAGGAAATACTGTGCCGTCAATGAGATATAAACATGAACAAGAATAGCAAAATGGAGGAAATAACAGGAATGGCAACAGGAGGGACATTCACGTTCCTTTAATTTGGTGGCATAATCTGAGGAGATACCTCTTGGTAGAAATGCTAAGAGGTCACTATATCCTGCGCTGGGAGCACCAGAGAGTCCTGGAAATTCATTCTATTTGTATAAATTGTAAAGTCCCACCACACACAGGATAAAAACGTTATTGATCTTCCATGCCTTTGGAAACCGGTTCCAGACATTTTGATAGCACAGAGATACCTGCAGGCCCTGAAAAGTCTTCCATTTTGTATTTTCAAAGTCATACTTTATTGTTAGGCAAGTTGCCCTAGAAACATGGCTGCAAGGGGGCCGTGTAAACCTTAAATTAATAGATGAACAAGCAGAAGAGGAACCTCGCCGTCCACCTTGGGCTGAGTCTGGCCGTTGGCCCAGCTAGCTTCGTATTTTCTACACCCACCGGCTGCAGCTGGTTTCTAGCTTTCCCTCAGGAATTATTATTATTATTATTATTATTATTATTACACACCCTTTTCCCAGACTGGGACTCAAGGCTTATGCAAATTAAAGCAGGTTTATACAAAAAGCTAAAAGTAGTTTCAGAGCCACACATTTGTGAATGGGGAGCTCTTATCGTCAGCTTATTTCCTTTGAGGAAAAATCCCTTTTTAAAAAGGAATAAAGGAAGGAAAAGGCTTCCTTCTTCCCTTCCTTCTGACAAGAAATTCCCTCAGCGGCTTAAGAGAGACTCACCTCAGAAGCCATTTTGGGGTCCACTCTGTGGTAGATGGAAAAATACAGATAAAGGGGGCTTATTCCCTGAGGAATTCGTTTATTTTATTCATTTCACAAAATTTATATATCTCTTGAATATAGATATAGATATAGATATAGATATAGATATAGATATAGATATGATCTATATCATAGATCTATATCTATGATATAACCTCAGTCACCTCCCATCCATGAGAGAATCATGGAACTGTAAAATTGGAAGGGGCCCTAAGGATCATCTAGTCTGTCCGTCATTTTGAGATTTTAGATTTCCACTGATATTTTCTTCCTTCCTTCCCAGCTTTACTTGGGGGTGGTGCTGGCGGCCGTCGTCATCGTCACCGGCTGCTTCTCCTACTACCAGGAGGCCAAGAGCTCCAAAATCATGGACTCTTTCAAGAACATGGTGCCCCAGGTAAGAAGGCCCCGCCACGCGTCCCATGTGTTTATTTTCATAGAACGGTGGAGTTGGATGGGACCCCCAAGGATCATCTAGTCCACCCTCCTGAAATGCTCTTGAAAAAGAATTCTCTTCCCCCCACAACGTGGGACCAGGACTGCAGAGGACCCCCTTCTCGATTCACACACTTGAGCAGCTTGATAGCAAATATCACATCCATCCCCTCCTCGGCCCTCCAGCTGCCAAATTTCCTTTCATGCCTCCCTTTTTTCACGTCTAGATATTGTATTTTGATATTTTCAGCGCAAGGATGGCTTCGAAAATGGGTTGGAGACTAGAATAGGAGGAGATCAATGGCTGCTAACGTAGAACAGACATTCTCCACTGCCCTCTTGTGGTTGAGACAAGTTTTATGTATTTAAAACACTTTTAAAAATCTGCTTGTTTTTTGATTAAAATATTGAAGCAGTTTGCACACACACAGAGAGAGAGAGAGAAAATATGATTTCCTATTGGAAGACTGGACAAACACTAGAACACTAGCCGTGGTGAAGTGTTTATCGGTGGTTGCAAGAACCAATGATCCCTATCTTTAAGTCTGAACAAAATGTTTGTTTAACCTGGAGGTAGGCTGTTTGAATTGTGCATAGCTTTGTAACAATTTGTTGGGTCTCTGGACCGTAATAAAGATTGATTGATTGATTGATTGATTGATTGATTGATTTTAGGGCAAGTAAATCCCTCTGGTCAAGGCTGCCTCTTTTGTGCCACCTTCAGTTCTTCCCAGGGATTATAAGTTTTTAATGATCGTAGAATCATAGAAATGTATAGTTGGAAGGGACCACAAGGGCCATCTAGTCCAACCCCCTGCAAGGCAATGTGGGAATCTTTCACCCAACGTGGGGCTTGAACTCTCAACCCTGAAGTTAAGAGTCCCATGCCCCACTGACTGAGCTCACCGTTGTTTTCGTTTTATTTTGTGCTTTGTGTTCTCGTTTTGTATTTTTGTATTGTGAGCTGCCCTGTGATCTTCGGGTGAAGGGCAGCATGCAGATTTAATAAATAATAATAAAAATAATAATTCAGCTTCTTTATTCTAAAGTGTCCTGGTTTTGCCACCTGGGAGGGCGGAGAAAGTCTTCGCACACTTCATGTTATTGCAGGAATTTATGTATCGGTTTGGGGGGGTGTTGCCCCTCCAGCAGATATCATGCACATGCAGCCCACTACCAAAATCAGCACAATCGCTTTTGTGATTTGTCCCCACAAAATACTTCATCACAGTTTCTTCCAATCTATTCAAAGGGCCTTTGCTGCACGATACCAAATGTAAGAATTCACTGATAGATGCATCTCTGTACTGGCTCACTGGGAAACTTCAGAATTTCCTATAGACATGTGAGCTCAGCTCCTCAGCAGCCCCTCTGCCTGAGGGATAATCCCTGGCATCCTGATACCTGAGTGCCAGACAGGTAGCCATTCCGGGAAGAACAAACCCAGATGGAGACAAAAGGGTGTGATGAACTTGGCTGGGAAACAGGGAAAAGTAAAAATCTCTTTTGTTACACTTGATGGGTGTTTGGTGGAGGGCAAGGGGAACCATGGGGCAGGGACCAGGATGCTCAGATTACGGCCACCAGACCTCCCCTTTCATCATGTATTAGTGATGTATTAGTGATGTAGTTTGGGGGGTGTAACATGGGGATTAGCAGCTAATAAAAGTTTGGGGGCTCTTTTCTTGGGCGCTTCCATCTTGTTTCACCTGGTGGCAGGTGGGAGTCCTGTCGCGACAGTCTTCAATCAAGACCAAGACTCCTGGCTGCTCTTTTGCTCTGCCATTCCTGGCTGGTGTCCTTGTTTTCTGTCCAAGGGAGCCCTCAGATTTCTCCGTTAACAACCTTTTGTGCTTTAAAAAGGTGCAAACTTGGGGGTCAAGTACAGGATGGAGAGAGCACCTTGAATGGCATTCACCTACAGCCCTGGTTCCCGATGTGGGGCACACACCCCACAGGGGGGCAATTTGATTTTTACAGGGCAGCAATTCGAGAATGAGTTATTCACAGTGAATGGCCCTTTAGGCTTCCTCCATGTGAATAGGAGCTCACTTTTTGAATAATAAGAATTACATGTCAGGATTTTAGAGATGCTTAGGTGGGGCGTGGCCACAAAACGGCTGGGAGCCACTGACGCACAGGATTAACGCCATCTTGTCCCCACAGCAAGCCCTGGTGATCCGGGAAGGGGAGAAGAACCAGATCAATGCGGAGAACGTGGTGGTCGGGGACTTGGTGGAGGTGAAAGGGGGAGACCGGGTTCCCGCGGACCTGAGAATCATCTCCTCGCATGGCTGCAAGGTGAGGGCGACCAAGAGGGAAATGGCACAAGGGAAGGCCCGGGGGGGAGGGGGATAAAAATCTATGATTTTAAAAAATAATAATTCAGATTTATTTTTTTGAATCAGATTTTTAAAATAAAATGCTTTTGGAGGAAAAATATTTCTAGTTTTCTATTTAAGATACATTATAGTTCAAAGGCTATTCATCAAGAAATAAGGATTTGTTTTAAGTTTTTCATGTGTGCTAAAACTCAGTCTAAGGTATATATACACACACACACACACACACACACACACACACACAGTGGACAGTTGGGTTGTGAATGTGATCCGTGCAGGAGGCACGTTCGCAACCCACAACATTCACAACCCACAGTAGCGCCTCTGCACATGCTTGGGTTGCGATTCGGCACTCATGTGCAAAGCACAATTTAGTGTTTCTGCACATGCGCGACTGCCGAAACCCAGAAGTAACCCATTCTAGTACTTCCGGGTTTCGGCAGGTGTGTAACCCGAAAAAACACAACCTGAAGCAGCCGTAACCCGAGGTATGACTATAATTTTATATATATATATATATATATATAATGTTTTACCACATCAGTTTACAAACATGGATACTAGATACAAAAACATGGATATGTTATTGCTTTAGTTAAATAAATTGTTTAAATTGTTACTAAGAAAATGATTGGTTTTCTCCTTCCGATAAAGTGCAGCAGAAAAGTTGTCCAAATATAAACAGTTAACTTCTTAAACCTCACAATAGTTTAATAATTATCTGTCTATGTATTTCTAATAGTATAACCAAATCAGTAATTTTTGATATAACTGTAAAAACTACTCTGACAATTTATTATTCCAAAAATGAAACCTTTACCTAGTTGTAAATATTAAGATTATACTAGCAAGAATAAGTCTTTCTGTAAAAAAATAATAAAAAATAAATAAATCAAGTCTTACTGACTAGTGATTTAAATTGATTTGATTTAAATTAAATCCACCCTGGAAAGCCCAGCAGCGAGGTGCAAAATATAGAATCATAGAACTATAGAGTTGGAAGTGAGACTCATCTAGTCGCACTCCCTGCAAAACGCTGAAATAAATTAAATCATCAAACCATCGATTCTAGCATGCGTGGGGCCACGTAAATGATATAATTTGGCATCAGAATGATTAGTAACTGTATTGTAATTTGGCATTGTTATAATGAGGCTATTATTGGATTCTCGTAATTGAAAACAAATAAAAATTGTTATTTTTTTAAAAATTGTTATTTATAAAAAGAAAATAAATGCATATGTTGCCTCTCATGGAAGGAGGAGCAGGATATAAAACCAGCCGATAAATATGTTCAAGAAAATACACAAAAACCCACATTGTGCAGCTTTTTCTGTTGTCTCGTGCAGGTGGATAACTCCTCCCTGACGGGCGAGTCGGAACCACAGACCCGTTCTCCGGAGTTCACCCACGAGAACCCGCTGGAGACCCGGAACATCTGCTTCTTCTCCACCAACTGCGTGGAAGGTGAAAGGGCAAGGGGGGGATGGAGGGGGCGAGGAAAATCAAGACCTGATCCACCTCACCCCCCGGGAAGGTCAGACCTGGGCATCATAATCTTTGCTGCCAGGCTGCAGGAATCGCTGCCTCCGCCGTCCCCGGCCATTCCCCATGACACACTGAATTGCACCCAGACCCTGCCCAGCTTATTCATTCATTAATTCATCTATTCATTTGCTAGTTCGTGTCAAAATTGATCCAATAGCATAGCGGCAACATGTCAGAGGGTGTGTGTGTGTGTGTGTGTGTGTGTGTGTGTGTGTGTGTGTACACACACACATATGCAAATTTGATGAAGAAATTTACATATTTATGTATACACACACCATATTTTTCTCTCCATAAGGCGCACCTCACCATAAGATGCACCAAGTTTTTAGAGGAGGAATACAAGAAAAAAAATATTCTGAATGAAACAGTTGATGTATGATTTTTGAGGTTCATGCTGTGGCCACAGACATGTGATCTGATGGTGAATTTGGGGTGACCCAATGCAAAAATCCTGAGGATCCATGTGCTTTTACTTTCCCACTCCCAGGCAGCCTCCTTTCTCTCTAGAGTCCCTTATCTCTCTCCCTAATCGCTTGCCGATCAGCTGCTTCCTTTCAACACCCCCTTCCCCCTTGTTTGCCTTAGTGTCTTTTCCTCAGCTGGCGCAGTTTTTTGCTCCTCCTTTTCTTCTAATTTCTCTCCTCATTGTTTTAGCATTCCTGTCTCCTCCTCTTGCAAGTTTGCTGTCTTTACCTCCCCCCTCCCAGGCAGCCTCCTTTATCTCTAGCGTCCCTTATCTCCCTCCCCAATCTCTTGCTGATCAGCGGCTTCCTTTCAACACCCACTTCCCTCTTTCAAAAAAAATTAAAAAATGATCTGCTTTTCTCCCCTGGGCAATTGGGCTCCAGGGACCACACCTTCGCTCCATAAGACGCACAGACATTTCCCCTTACTTTTTATGCGGAAAAAGTGTGTCTTATGGAGTGAAAAATATGTGTATGTGTGTGTGTGTGTGTGTGTGTGTGTGTGTATTCAAATTTAATGAAGAAAGAAGTGAAAGAGAAACCAAGGAGGGGAAGGAATAAAAAATAAAATGTTGGGAGAGAAAGATCACCTCTGATCTTGTGGTCTGAACATTCTTTCTTCCTGGCTGATATTCCCCACGGAATTTAGGTAGGTTTCAAACCCGATTCTGACAGGTAGCATCAGAATCTCAGCTTTACCTGAGCAACCCAGGAACCAGGCATGCCCCAGAACATAGGAATATAAAGAGAGTCTGGCTTCTGGATCCGGCCGTCTAGGCTCACATCCTGTTCTCACAGTAGCAAAAAGCCCCTCAGAACCCAGGGATGTGGATAGACTGCCTCTGGAGCTGGAGGTTCCATAAGATCTTAAGAGCCTGGCTTCTGGATCAGGCCAAAGGGGGCCCAACTAGCCCAGGATCCTGTCCTGAGAAAAGGCCCCAAAGGGAGCCCTGCAAGCAGGATTCGATCACAGCAGAAGTGGAAAAGAAACAAAGTTTTTAGGGAAGGGAAGTTTTAGTGTTTAGGGAAGTTTTTAATGATTGATGTTTTAATGTATTTTTAATCTCTGTTGGAAGCTGCCCAGAGTGGCTGGGGAAACCCAGCCAGATGGGCAGGGTGCAAATAAATTATTATTATTATTATTATTATTATTATTATTATTGCCCTCTTCCTTCTTGCGGTTTCCAGCAACTGGTATTCAGAAGCATCACTGCCTCTGATGGGAGAGGCAGAGTATAGCTAGCCCTCAATACCCCCCTCCTCCTCCCCCCTGAGTTTGTCCAATCCTCCTTTAAAGGATCCTGTGGCAGGGAGTTCCACAGTTTAACCACGTGCTGTGTGAAGGAGCCGTGGTGCCCGGATCCCAGGTTCGCCTGAGGAACACGGGTGCCAGGGACACCCCAGGAACCAGCAACCCCTCCCCAATTTGGAGGAAAAATAGACCTCTTCCCTTTCCCTCCCGTCCTGCGCAGGCACTGCCCGGGGCATAGTCATCTCGACCGGGGACCGGACGGTGATGGGCCGCATCGCCTCCCTGGCATCCGGCCTGGAGGTGGGCCGCACCCCCATCGCCATGGAGATCGAGCACTTCATCCGCATCATCACCGGGGTGGCCGTCTTCCTGGGCCTCTCCTTCTTCATCCTCTCCCTCATCCTGGGCTACACCTGGCTGGAGGGCGTCATCTTCCTCATTGGCATCATCGTGGCCAACGTCCCCGAAGGACTCCTGGCAACCGTCACGGTAGGCTCAGAGCCATAGCTGCCAACTTTGGGATTTGAAAATAAGGGATCAGCAGCCTCTCCTGTCCCGGAGACAGTCTACGGGATATCTAACGATCCGGGAGAGCAGCGGGAAACAGCGCTGGAATAAGGGAATTTCCCGCAAAAAAAGGGAAGGTTGACAGCTATGCTCAGAACTAGGTTCTGTGGGGTGCTGGGGCACTGTGGAAAAGGAGGGCAACAATTTACAGTGGTACCTTGCAGTGGCGAAGCTGCATGCTCCGCTACCAGGGATGGAGAGCAGGCGCGGGCATGGCTGGCACCCCCAGAGGGTGTGGTTGTGCCCAGGGGTGTGGTGCGTGCCCGGAAGTGTGGTATGCCACCTGCGAGGGCATGGTGTGCCATCCACAGGGGTGTGGAGCGTGTTCTGGGGGCGTGGCACCCAGAGTGGCTGGGGAAACTCAGCCAGATGGGTGGGGTATAAATAAATTATTATTATTATTATTATTATTATTATTATTATTATTATGTCTGTGGGTGCGTGGTGCCTGGCGCCCGGTGGGGTGTGTGGCATTTGTCGGGGGGGCCACCGTGATGGCACCCTACCAGAATAGTGGTGCCAAGGGGCTGTCCGCTCCCTCTGCACCCCCGTTCCTCTGCCAGTGGTACCTCGGTTTATGAACTTAATCCGTTCTGGAAGTCCATTCTTAAACTGAAACCGTTCTTCAACCGAGACACGCTTTCCCTTATGAGGCCTCCCACTGCCAGTGCCATTCCACTGTTTGGATTCCGTTCTTGGACTGAAGTAAAGTTCACAAACCGGGATACTACAGTCATACCTCATGTTACATCCGTTTTATGTTACGTTTTTTCAGATTACGTCCCACGGCGACCTGGAAGAACCGGAAAGGGTTACTTCCAGGTTTCGCTGCTCACGCATGCGCAGAAGTGCAAAATGACATCACGTGCATGCACATAAGTGGCGAATTGCAACCCGCATGTGCGCATATGCGCCACTGCAGGTTGTGTTCTTTTCATTTTGTGAACGGACCTCTGGAACGGATCCCGTTCGCAACCAGAGGTACCACTGTACTTCGGTTTGTAAACTGAATCGTTCTTAAACAGGGCTGTTCTTAAACCGAGGTACCACTGTATCTGGAGGGGTGTAAAATGTTTCCCCAAACCTGCCCTAGAGGAATGTTCCCAGAATGGAGGCAGGATATGCTTCCAAAAACCAGTGGCTGGAAAACAAAGGAGGGAAAAGGGCTTTCGTGCCCAGATCCCGCGGACGGGTTTCCCCAAAGGGGCACCTGGCTGGCCACTGTGAAGACTCTCCCTTTTTCCAATCCTTGCCTGACCCTCTCCCCGCCGCCCGGCAGGTGTGCTTGACCCTGACCGCCAAGCGCATGGCCCGCAAGAACTGCCTGGTGAAGAACCTGGAGGCCGTGGAGACGCTGGGCTCCACCTCCACCATCTGCTCCGACAAGACGGGGACCCTCACCCAGAACCGCATGACCGTGGCCCACATGTGGTTTGACAACCAGATCCACGAGGCAGACACCACCGAGGACCAGTCCGGTAAGCGGGGACAGGAGGGAGGCCACATGGGGAAAGAGCTGCTGTTGGGAAGCAGGGTGGGAGGGGAGTTGGTCTGGGGTGCCCCCGTGACCCCCCAGCTTTCAAATCAGGACTGAACCCCTTTCCCTCCAGAGTGTCTGGAGGTGGTTGGAGGATGGATGGCGGCTAACGGATTGAGGTTGAATCCTGGCAAGACAGAAGCACTGTTCTTGGGGGACAGGAGGCGGGCAGGAGTGGAGGATTCCCTGGTCCTGAGTGGGGTCACTGTGCCCCTGAAGGACCAGATGTGCAGCCTGGGAGTCATTCTGGACTCACAGCTGTCCATGGAGGCACAGTTCTTCCCTGTGTTCAGGGTAGATGTTTATCAGCTCCATCTGGTACGCAGGATGAGACTCTACCTGCCCGCAGACTGTCTCGCCAGAGTGGTGCATGCTCTGGTTATCTCTCGCTTGGACTACTGCAATGCACTCTATATGGAGCTACATAGAGTGGCACAGAAGGTGGCACAGAAACTACAACTAATCCAGAATGCGGCAGCCAGACTGGGGACTGGGAGCAGCTGCCGAGACCACATAACACCGGTCCTGAAAGACCTACACTGGCTCCCAGTACGTTTCTGAGCACAATTCAAAGTGTTGGTGTTGACCTTGAAAGCCCTAAACAGCTTCGGTCCAGTAGACCTGAAGGAGTGTCTCCACCCCCATCGTTCTGCCCAGACATTGAGGTCCAGGGCTGAGGGCCTTCTGGTGGTTCTCTCAGTGCGAGAAGTGAGGTTACAGGGAACCAGGCAGAGGGCCTTCTCGGTGGTGGCGCCCTCCCTGTGGAACGCCTTCCCACCAGGTGTTAAAGAGAATAACAACTACCAAACTTTTAGAAGACATCTGAAGACAGCCCTGTTTAGGGAAGCTTTTAATGTTTAATAGGTTATTGTATTTTAGTGTTCTGTTGGAAGCCGCCCAGAGTGGCTGGGGAAGCCCAGCCAGATGGGTGGGGTATAAATAAATAAATTATTATTATTATTATTATTATTATTATTATTATTATTATTATTTTTCCCCCTGCCCCACCTCACAGGCACCCAGGAATCCAATAATAACAGTCTAAAACACAGCGTGTTCTCTCCCACCCCCCGTAGGTTAACTCAAATATTTATGGGTGGGGTGCTGGCAACCAGGCAGCCCCATCCCATGCTCCCACTTTGGGGCATAGCTGTCAACTTTCCCCTTTTTTTAAGGGAAATTCTCTTATTCCGGATAGGATTCCTCGCAAGAAAAGCGAAAAGTTGGCAGCTATGCTTTGGGGACTAATTGTTACCACCTGTCTGAGGACCCAGTGGTACCTGCTCACAGTATCAGCCCCCCCCCCCCCCGCCATACTCCGCTCTTCAAATAACTCTGACCCCCCCCCCGTTCTCTCCCCCCAGGAGCCACGTTTGACAAGCGCTCGCCCACATGGACGGCCCTGGCCCGGATCGCCGGCCTCTGCAACCGGGCCGTCTTCAGAGCAGGGCAGGACAAGGTCCCCATCTCAAAGGTACGGGGGGGGGCAGCAGAGGGAGGTCGGATTCAGCCTCCAGAAAGCCTGGGAAGAACTCGGTGGCCCCCGCAAGGCAGGGCTGGACCGATTGTTAAACCACCCTGGGAATTGTAGCTCTGGGGTCTCATCTTCCGTTCCAAGTTGGTGGCGCGTTCATACGCTGCGGCTCTGAGCTCCGTGTAATCTCACTGTATACAAGTTGTACAAGTGACAATAAAGTATTTCAATTTCAATTTATTTCGATTTCCTAATGGCTCTCTGCACCCTTAATGAACTACAGTTCCCAGAGATTCTTTGCAGAAAGCCATGACTGGCGAAAGTGGTATCATAGCGCTTTAAATGTGAATGTGGCCCTACAGTTCCCAGAGTTCCCTGGGAAGAAGGGTTGGCTGTTGAGCCACTCTGGGAATTATAGCGCTGGGAGGTGGAATTGGGGGGGGGGGGGTTCTTAATGACTCTCTGCACCCTGAACAAGCTACAGTTCCCGGGATTCTTTGGAGGAAGCCTTAAAATGCTTAAAGTGGGGTGGTAGCTCTTTGCATGAGTGGTGCAGACGGGGCTAAGACCTCACCGACCCCTTACTTGCCCTCTTGTTTCAAATTGCACCGTTGCATGTGGAGCCAACAGAGGAGATTTCCCTCCAGGCCACAGTGGGGGCGGGCAGTAGACTTCCTCCCCTGACCCCCTTCCTTCCTTCCTTCGCCCCTCTCTCTCCGCCAGAGGGACACGGCTGGGGACGCCTCAGAGTCCGCCCTTCTGAAATGCATTGAGCTCTCCTGTGGGTCCGTCAAGAAGATGCGCGACAGGAACCCCAAAGTGACGGAGATCCCTTTCAACTCCACCAACAAATACCAGGTTGGGCGTGTGTGGCAGTGGTGGTGCAGTGGTTAGAGCATGGGTAGGCAACCTAAGGCCCGGGGGCCGGATTCAGCCCAATCGCCTTCTCAATCCGGCCCATGGATGGTCTGGGAATCAGCGTGTTTTTAAATGAGTAGAATGTGTCCTTTTATTTAAAATTCATCTCTGGGTTATTTGTGGGGCATAGGAATTCATTCATATTTTTTTTCAAAATATAGTCTGGCCCACCACAAGATCTGAGAGGCAGTGGACCGGCCCCCTGCTGAAAAAGTTTGCTGACCCCTGGGTTAGAGTGTTAGGCTAGGACTTGGGGAAGATGCGGGTTCGAATCCCCCTTGGCCATGAAGCTCACTGGTTTGTGACCTGGGGGGGGGGCAGCCCCCGCCCCTAGAATCATAGAATCATAGAGTTGGAAGAGACCACAAGGGCCATCGAGTCCAACCCCCTGCCAAGCAGGAAACACCATCAGAACACTCCTGACATATGGTTGTCAAGCCTCTGCCTAAAGACCTCCAAAGAAGGAGACTCCACCACACTCCTTGGCAGCAAATTCCACTGTCAAACAGCTCTTACTGTCAGGAAGTTCTTCCTAATGTTTAGGTGGAATCTTCTTTCTTGTAGTTTGGATCCATTGCTCCGTGTCCGCTTCTCTGGAGCAGCAGAAAACAACCTTTCTCCCTCCTCTATGTGACATCCTTTTATATATTTGAACATGGCTATCATATCACCCCTTAACCTCCTCTTCTCCAGGCTAAACATGCCCAGCTCCCTTAGCCGTTCCTCATAAGGCATCGTTTCCAGGCCTTTGACCATTTTGGTTGCCCTCTCAGCCTAACTTACCTCACACTGGACACATGAGGGTGGGTGGGGGGCTGTCACAGTCTCCATATCCTTGGGGCTACAGGTGGTTTTCACAGTTTCCCAATTTTATTGCGTCTGCCCCTGTTTTTATACTGCTGGGTATTGGCATTTTTTAAAATCAGGAAAACCCCTAAGCCACTGCAGGGACCTTTGGACTGAACAGCATTTTAAAAAATGAAGTTTGAAAGTTAATAAAGCAAGTCTTTGCTTTGCCTTGGAGCTCAGAGGGGTCAGTCCCCAAAGGCAGAGACTAGGAAAAGCTCCATGAAACAAGATCAGAATAATGACGCCCCTTTTTTAAACTGGGATTTCTCCTGTTAACTCCAAATCTGTTCATTCAACCCACTGCTATGAGTGAAATGGCTGTGAGGGTCTGCTAGAGGGGGCCAGAGCTCAGCTTAACGGCAGAGGGGGGTTCAGGACCGTCAAAAAGACCCCCACCCCTTTGCAGTCTTCAGTTCACACATGAATTTTTGTCTCCTGGATTCAGCCTGATAGTCAGAGCTGAGGTGGCGTTCCTTGTACAGCCACCACCTCTGAAGCCAGGAGGGCCGGGTTCGCCTCACTGGGCTTTTAAGAGCCACTGAGAGCTGTGTTTTCAATCTGGGGAAACTCTGTGCTCAAAGGAAGTCAGACTATCCTCCACCAGGCCAGGGCCTTCTCAGTGGTGGCTCCGACCTGGTGGAATGCTCTGTCCCACGAGACCAGGGCCCTGCAGGATTGAACTTCCTTCCACAGGGCCTATAAGGCAGATCTATTCCACCTGGCTCTCAATTTGAACTTAGCCTGATCTTTTATTCCCCTCCCTTTCCCCTTTTTTTGAAGATTCCCCGCTCTGGGATCCCACAGCTAATTCTCCCCTGGTCTCCTCACTGGCCCAAACAGGAATAATTTAGCCAGCTAGCCCTGGGGATCATCTAATGTTTATTGGGTGGATTCCCCCCCTAAATTGATTTTTGAATCCTGAATTTATTTTAATTCACGTTTTATACTGTATTTTATGCTGTTTTTTTGTTGCATCAATTAAGTGTTTTAAATTTGTTGTTAGCTGCCCTGAACCTGGTTTTCTGAACCCGGAAGGGCAGGGTATAAAAAAATATATATATTTATTATTTATTTAAATGCTGAAGTGCAGCAGGAGCACAGGCGCATATTTCACGGCAGGGACAAAGGGCATCACAGACGCCGTCCAGAGGAGCTCTGCTAGTTGTCCCCTGTGTGACAGAGGAGTGTTGCTGCTCCCACGCAGAGAGGCGGCAGACACCCTCTTGCGTTTGACTTTCAGACATCTCCCAAATGCCTTTTGGGGCTAACTGGCCTGTCTGAGCCTCTCTCTTTTTGACCACTCATGTTACCGATTGTTTTGTACTGTTTTTAACTCTGCACAGCGCCCTAATATTTCAATACAGTCATACCTTGGGTTACAGCCGCTTCAGGTTGTGTGTTTTCGGGATATGGACGCGCCGAAACCCGGAAGTACCGGAACGGGTTACTTCTGGGTTTCGGCACTCACGCATGCACAGAAGCACTAAATTGTGCTTTGCACATGCACAGAAGCGTTGAATCACAACCTGCGCGTGCGCAGATGCAGCGCTGCAGGTTGCAAACATGCCTTGCAACCCAAGCGTCCACTGTATATAAACAATGGCATAGAAATCCTTTTACAAATAAAAGTTGGTTTTATTCAGGAACCCCAAGTAAAGAATCCCTGGCATTTGGCCCCCCAAGAGCCCCTTTGGCTTCAGAATAGACCTCCACTCAGATACCTCTCTTCCTCAGCTCTCCATCCATGAGCTGGAAGACAAGCCCAACGGCTACGTTCTGGTGATGAAGGGAGCCCCTGAGAGGATCCTTGACCGCTGCTCCAACATCCTCTTGCAAGGCCAGGAGGTGCCCCTTGACGAGGAGATGCGAGACGCCTTCCAGAACGCCTACCTGGAGCTGGGGGGGCTGGGCGAGAGAGTGCTGGGTAAGGAGGCCTGGGAGGTGGGGAAAGGGGGGGGTGGGAGTGAGTGTGCCCCAGAGAGGCAAAGAAAGCACATGATGAATGCATGTGGGTCTCTCAAATGGAGTGCGATGACTATTGTGAGAGTTTAGAAACTAACAGCAACTTCTGACACCACGTTGCACTATTGCTCAGGGAAATTATGGCAGAAATTGCCAGCGTTTGCTCCTTTGTTCTATGCCTGGAACAGAAATCATTCCACTGGATACAACCAACGTTCGCTGTTGTTGTTTTCAAATTGAAACAATAAGTCATTGATTACCGTAGTTTTCGCTCTATAAGACGCACCAGACCATAAGACACACCTCTTGCTGTTCTGGCTTATGGGATAGCCGCGCAAAGCCTCTTCCGGGCAGTGGGAGGAAGGCTCCCCCAAGAGCCGTGCTCCCTTTAAAGAGCCATGTGGAGCGTGCATGCGGCTCTTGGGGGCTTTTCCCCAAGGAGGGAGAAGGGCAGCCATTCTCCCTCTTCAGGGAAAAGTTCCCAAGAGCCACACACATGCTCCACGTGGCTCTTTAAAGGGAGCGCTGAGCAGAGCCTCCCGCCTGCATTCGCTCCATAAGACGCATACACATTTCCCCTTACTTTTTAGGAGGGGAAAAGTGCGTATTATAGAGCGAAAAATACGGTATTTTTCCCTGCATTGCGCTTCATAGAATTGTAGTGTTGGTAATCCAGACCAACCCCCTGCAATGGAGGAATCACAGCTAAAGAATGCTGTATTGTTTTTAACACTCAATTGGAAGCCGCCCAGAGTGGCTGGGGAAACTCATCCAGATGGGCGGGGTATAAATAATAAATTATTATGATTATTATTATTATTATTATTAGTATTATTATTATTATTATTAAAGAAGGATCCCTGACAGGTGGCTGTCCAGCCTCTGTTTAGCCCGTTCCGCTGTTGAACAGCTCTTGCCATCAGGAAGTTATTCCTTTACATTCAAACAAAGGGTGCATAATAACACAATAACGTATTTAATTACATAAAAAAACCCCGCCACTGTCAACATCAAGACAGATAACATTGTTTTATTGCCCAAAGGCAAACTGCAGCACAGTGGAAACAGATGCAGAGGGGGAGATGGCTACGAGGTGGGGTGGGCTGCTGGCAACGGAGCTTTCTCTCTGTTGGGGAGCAGAGTGGGCGAGTTCTTGGGTCTCACTCTCCCTCGGTCCGTCTCCGCAATCCCACAGGTTTCTGCCATTACAACCTCCCCGAAGACCAGTTCCCCCGAGGCTTCAAGTTTGATGCGGACGAAGTCAACTTCCCCACCAGCAACCTCTGCTTTGTGGGGCTCATGTCCATGATTGACCCGCCTCGGGCCGCTGTGCCGGATGCCGTGGGGAAGTGCCGGAGCGCCGGGATTAAGGTCAGCCATGCTGGGGAGAGTCTTCTGCCCTCCTGCTCCCCACCCCATACACCCCAGAGAAAGAAAAGCCGGACTAAGGCCTAGGAGGCGAATCCCCCACTTGGTTGTTGGCCACCACTGCCTCTTGTGACAGAAGGAGGACTTTAGGGTTACCAGGTGTCCCCAGTTCCCGGGGACAGTCCCCAGATTTGCAGATCTGTCCCCAGAAACATGGCAGCGGCAGTCTCAGCAGCCTGGAGCCAGCCTGATAGCGGTGTTGGATCTGGCTGGCTTCAGGAGCTGCTCGCTGCCATGGCGTCCGCCATTTTGCCTCACCAGAAGTCCCCATATGATGTGTCTTGTGCAATGGTGCACTGCCTGCCCGTGATTCCCAAGCCTCCCCTGTTCTCCTGCCCCCTTCCACCTTTGTTTTGACTGATTGGGGGAGGCTCGGGAGTCGTAGCCGGCCATTGCCCAGTTTTTTAAAAACTCTGTGCATTTATGTTTCACAGGGTGGGGAAGAAGGGCTTTGCACCTTGCCCGGCAGTGAAACCGTGTGCCTTGCACCCCTCCTGGGCAACGGCCACCTGCCCGTGACTCCTGAGCCTTCCCTGATCTGTCAAAACAAAGGGGGAAGGGAGCAGTAGATCGGGGAAGGCTTGGGGGTCACGGGTGGTGGCGCACCATTGCACAGTTTTTTAAAAACACTGTGCATTTATGTTTCACAGGGTGCAAAAAAGGGGCTTTGCACCTTTATACAATATGCATGTGTGCTTGGGCCCAGGGTCTTTTGCCTCACCATCCCCACTACTGATTCTTTGTTGCTACTCAGCTTCCAAAAAAAAAGAAGTGTCCCCTGATTCATTGAAGAAAATCTGGTAACCATACACTTTATCTCTCCTGCATCTTGCAACCTTTGGCTCCACTGGATGAGGGTTTTGTCCTGATTGCTGCGTCTGCCCCTGTTCCCCCAGGTGATTATGGTGACCGGCGACCACCCCATCACCGCCAAGGCCATTGCCAAGGGGGTGGGCATCATCTCTGAGGGGAATGAGACGGTGGAGGACATCGCTGACCGCCTCAACATCCCCGTCAACCAGGTCAACCCCAGGTAGGCCGGCACTTCCTCTTTTTTTTAAGAATAATTTTGTATTAACCGACCAATCACATCAAATCAAACCAAATTACATCAATTCCAAATTACACAGCCGAATTTTAAATTTTTGTTGGGGGTACCCATATTTCAAGTTCCGAATAATTTCTTGTTTCTTACTGCTGTTTTAATGTCCACAAATCTAACCTTATGATGTTCACAGTACTATCCAGTCCTTTCTTATTGTTTTTCCACATCTCTTGTTGTTATTTTCATATATTTTTCCTTTCTCTTTCTCTTTGTGACCTCTGATAGTCTCCACAAGCTGGTTAGAACAGTTTGTAATCCTGCGTGGATATTTTTTTTTTTTTATCCAGTAGCCATATCCAGACGTTTTCCATATAACATCGCTTCCATACATCCAAACAGTCTTAGTGTCATTAATCTTCACCAATCTGCCTCCTTTCTCAAAACCTCTGAGGAGATTCACTAGGAATGCAGTCTGAAAACAAGTCCGTTCTTCCTCCCGGCTATAAATCCTTTGGCAAGATGGCAACTCTGAATTAATTGCTGCGCCATTCCCAAAAGCTCTTTTGCTTCTCGATCTCCATAAAGTATACTTTTGGTTAAAGTTTATCTCCACACAGACCTTAATCATCCTGCTTGGGTCAGTTCAACCGACGATTCTAATGAGGAGGGGTTCTTGTAAATCACATAGAAGGAAAGTAAAAAAGGTCCTCCCCCCATTCAGTCCCGTTGTCAACATACCCAGCCTTTGGTGTATCTTCATCCTAAAATATTCCTGTTTCTCCAACCCGTCGTCTTCTTTCGCAGAGGTCACTTAAATTAGCAGACTTCACTCCCCTTCTTCACTTGAAATATGTGCATTTGCTTCTTTTGTAATTAATTATTCCAAATTGCTGCAGCTAGTGCGCGATCAGAGACAGCGTCCAGGAGAGCCGAGGTCCACACGGGGCATTCTGCCTAGGGCCCTCACCCCCTTCTTTCGAATTAGGGGGTGATTTATGGGCACAGCAGGCAAGGGCAGTGTTCCCCATTTCCTTGGGGCAACAAGGGAGGCTGCCTACTCCCATAACAGCCTCTTAATTACCCCGTGTGGGTCGGAGAGATGGTATTGTCGGCCATCTTCCAATGCGCCCCCTAGTGGCCCCCCAGGTAGGCCGGCACTTCCATCCCTGGGCAGCCCCCGCTTCCCCTCCTGCCTCCTCCAACCAGGTATCTCGTGGGCTTCCTTCACCAATGTGGAGAGCCAGTGTGGTCTAGTGGTTAAGAGCGGTGGACTCATAATCTGGTGAACTGGGTTTGCTTTCCTGCTCCTCCACATGCAGCTGCTGGGTGACCTTGGGCCAGTCACACTTCTCTGAAGTCTCTCAGCCCCACTCACCTCCCAGAGTGTTTGTTGTGGGGGAGGAAGGGAAAGGAGAATGTTAGCCGCTTGGAGACTCCTTAGGGTAGTGATAAAGTGGGATATCAAATCCAAACTCTTCTTCTTCCTCCCTGGCCCCCTCTCCTCGTAGGGAAGCCAAGGCTTGTGTGGTCCATGGATCGGACCTCAAAGACATGACCTCTGAGCAGCTGGACGAGATCCTCAAGAACCACACGGAGATCGTCTTTGCCCGCACCTCCCCGCAGCAGAAGCTCATCATCGTGGAAGGTTGCCAGAGGCAGGTGAGGCAGATGCTCTGTTTTCGTTTTTTGCCAGGTACGCAATAATTGTATGTTATTGTTTACCAATGCTATTTGCCAGTTTGCAAGGGGAACCCACTCTGAGTCCTTCCAGGACCTTGCTGTTAAGAGCCTGGATACCTGGATAAGAGTATAGTAATAGTAATATTCTCTCCTGTGAAAAGATTGAGGAAAGCCAGGTCCGGACATTTAGAGATATTTTCCCTAGGGGTTGCTTTATATGACCCTTCAATGATCATCAGAGACCTTTTGCCATGTGCCTCCTATGCGAGAGACAGGAGAGTGGCAACATGAGAAGGGGCCTTTTCTGTGGTGGCCCCCCATTTGTGGAATGCTCTCTCAGTGAGACTTGCTTGGCACCTTCACCACATATCTTTAGGTGCCAGGCGGAAACATGTCTTCGGCACCTGGCCATTGCCTGATTAAACAATCATTGGCCTTTTAAATGCATTTGTGGAAGAAGGGTTATTGATTTGTTTCTGTTTTATTAGGTATTTTGTGGTCTCATTTTGTATTTTCATTTTGTGAACTGCCCTGTGATCTTCAGTTAAAGGGTGCATACAAATTTTAATAATAATAATAATAATAATAATAGTAGTAGTAGTAGTAGTAGTAGTAATACAGTCATACCTCAGGTTACAGACGCTTCAGGTTGCGTTTTTTTGGGTTACAGACCCGCTGAAACACGGAAGTACCAGAACGGGTTACTTCCGGGTTTCGGGGGTCGCACATGTGCAAAAGTGCTAAATTGCGCTTTGCACATGCACAGAAGCACCGAACTGCAACCCGTGTGTGCGCAGATGCAGGTTGTGAACGCAGCGGGTTGCGAACGTGCATCCACTGTAATAAGAATAGCAACAACAATAATAACAATAATATTTGGGTCAGTGCTTCCTGAGCCACTTTCCCCCATGTCTACCACATATATCAGACACAGTAGATCCTATCATTCTGCACCTTCTCCCAACGTCTGGCGCTGACCCCCATTCCCCCTCCTGTTCTTCAGGGGGCCATCGTGGCCGTGACCGGGGACGGGGTGAACGACTCGCCCGCCTTGAAGAAGGCCGACATAGGCATCGCCATGGGAATCGCTGGCTCCGATGTCTCCAAGCAGGCTGCGGACATGATCCTCCTGGACGACAACTTCGCCTCCATCGTTACGGGGGTGGAGGAAGGTGGGTGGAAGGGGCGCCGAGTCGAGCCAGGAGGCCCTGCTGCCCCTCTTTCGCCCGTCCCTCTAACCCCCTTGCCCCATATGTGCCTACCCAACTGATTTATCTGTTTTGTTTAGGCAAGCCTGTCCAGGCGTGTAGAATTGCTGGTGTATGTTTTCATTCATTTTTACTTTATTGCTGATTTTGTCTTTTGAATGTTTTAAAGAGCTGCTTTTACTGGTGGTTTTATTATTTCATTATCTTGTAAATCACTTTGACGGTGGTTTGTTTGTTTTTACAATTAAGAGGTGTATAAATTTTATGAAACAAACAAACGACCGGCGCCTCCATCCTCTGCCCGGCAGGTCGCCTGATCTTTGACAACCTGAAGAAGTCCATTGCCTACACCCTGACCAGCAACATTCCAGAGATCACCCCTTTCCTGCTCTTCATCATCGCCAACATCCCTCTTCCCCTGGGCACCGTCACCATCCTCTGCATCGACCTGGGCACAGACATGGTGAGCGTCACCAGGGCCCAGGGAGGGGGGCAGGAGACAAAAAAGGTTGCATTAAAACAAAATATTGTGCTACATTGGACGCGGGTGGTGCTGTGGGTTAAACCACAGAGTCTCTAGGACTTGTCGATCAGAAGGTTGGCGGTTCGAATCCCCGCGACGGGGTGAGCTCCCGTTGCTCGGTCCCTGCTCCTGCCAACCTAGAGTTCGAAAGCACATCAAAGCGCAAGTAGATAAATAGGTACCGCTCCGGTGGGAAGGTAAACGGTGTTTCATTGCGCTGCTCTGGTTCACCAGAAGTGGCTTAGTCATGCTGGCCACGTGACCCGGAAGCTGTACGCCGGCTCCCTCGGCCAGTAAAGCGAGATGAGCGCCACAACCCCAGAGTCGGTCACGACTGGACCTAATGGTCAGGGGTCCCTTTACCTTTTTAATGACAGTAAAGAATCATCTCAAAACTTGTTCTGATATAAGTGCTTGCCAGAGAGCAGAGGCAGCCCCATGCTTCGTCCCCACCCAAACACTATGAGCGCCGCAACCCCAGAGTCGGCCACAACTGGACCTTCCAGCCAAGAGAGGACAAAGGGACTGTCTCCTTATGAGATAGTTTCCAGGTGTATGTAACTTTTCTAAGCTAAGTCTGCCTTCTGGGATCCAACTGTGAACAGAATGTGAGTGAGTAAACTCTTTTTATGCTTTTATAGAAGACTGTGTCGCATCTTATCTTTTATGAGGGAATAAGGGGAAAATACCAGAACAGTTATTGTAGAGACTTTAGCGAGCCTGAGCAAACACATCCGCTGTGAGTTTAAAGGGGGGAATGTTACTCTGCTAAATTGTGAACTTGTTAACACAAGTTGGAAAGGCTATAATCAAACAATATATCCTCTCCTGCATCCCTGAACATTCCCACATATATTTCATAGCAGCTCATTCCAGTCATCCACGAAACTCTGAAATCGAACCCTAGAGCTTGCAGAGGTTGGGGGGGGGGGAGATCTTGCTCAAATGCCGGCTCTGAAAAAAACCCTGTGTGGGTTTTCAGTCAAGAGCACTTCTCCCACAAACACGGGGATCATCCCCAAAATATAAACAGGACCCCCTCCACAGCCTTATATCTGTTTCTGGTTCTTGCTGCCCCACTGAAATTCGCACCCCGCCGCTCCTTCTCCCTTAGGTGCCGGCCATCTCCCTGGCTTACGAGGCTGCGGAGAGCGACATCATGAAGAGGCAGCCGAGGAACCCCAAGACGGACAAGCTGGTGAACGAGCGTCTCATCAGCATGGCCTACGGGCAGATCGGTGAGGGGCCTGGCACATATCAGCAGGAGAAGCCCAGTTTCCAGCCCACAGACTGGGGGATAAGAAGGGGCAGTCCAGGGGAAGCGCTGTAGATGCCACCATGCCACTATGGTTAGAGTATAGGACTAGCACCGGGGAGAGACCTGGGTTCAAATCCCCACTCGGCCCTGAAGTTTCCTGGGTGTGAACTTGGCCAGTCACTGCCTCTCTTAGCCTAACCTACCTCACAAGGTTGCTGTTGTGGGGACTAAATGAAAAGGGGGAGAGAACCACACACATCAACTTGAGCTACTTGGAGGGAAAAGGGTGAGGCATAAATGTCATAAATCAGTGGTTTATCAATTAGCTAAGCATTGCAGACCCCCTGTTTTTTAAAAGCCAAGCCATGGGCGCCATACTTTTTTTGGGGGGGGGGGAATTGATATCTCTGTGGTAGCCACAGACCACCCCGCTGGGGTCTGCAGATCACCAGTTTGGAACCACTGTCCTAAATCAATATTGCAGATGGGGCACTACAGAGACAGACACAGCTGCCAGTAACACAACAACGTTATGTCATAAAAAGCATAATATCACTAGAATGTAACACTATGACCAAGCTGGTAATTTAGTATCTATCAACATTTAAGCAAAATAGGGTAGGTCAAGAAAAAGAGAGTCCAATGACTTCACACTCGAAAGGAGCCCCAAAGCTGAATACCTTCACAGGCTGTGATTTAGCTGATTCCTACATTGCAGAGGAAGGGGACACAGGTAGTGCTGTGGGATAAACCACAGAGCCTGGGCTTGCCGATCAGAAGGTCGGCGGTTCGAATCCCCGCAACGGGGTGAGCTCCCGTTGCTCAGTCCCTGCTCCTGCCAACCTAGCAGTTCGGAAGCACAGCAAAGTGCAAGTAGATCAATAGGTACCACTCCGGCGGGAAGGTAAACGGCGTTTCCGTGCGCTGCTCTGGTTCGCCAGAAGCGGCTTGGTCATGCTGGCCACATGACCCGGAAGCTGTGCGCCGGCTCCCTCGGCCAATAAAGCGAGATGAGCGCCACAACCCCAGAGTTGTCTGCAACTGCACCTAATGGTCAGGGGTCCCTTTACCTTTACATTTTACAGGGGGTTGGACTAGATGACTCTTGGAGTCCCTTCCAAACCTATAGTTCTGTGATTCTATGAACTTCCACACACACAAAAAATTTTATGCCTAGCCAAAAACTTGACCATCTCTTTTGAGTTCCTTATTAACTTGAATTCTCTTAATGATTTGTTTTTTATGTTTTTCTTGTGAACTCCTTACTCAGGGTCCCTAGGGCTTGCTATGGGGAGGCAGGTGGAAACCACCCCCCACCCACCCCATGGCAAACACAGACAGCCTCTCTCTCCTGCCGCCTCCGTCCTCCCCTTCTGCAGATTCTGCCCAGAAGGGGCAGGCAGCCCCTGAGGTCCCCTGGCGCTTCCTGCTGGCAGAGCTTTGCTCAGGTGCCCCTCAGGAGGAATGACTCTCTCCCTCCCTCCCTCCCTCTCCCCTCCCCCCCCCAGGTATGATCCAGGCCCTTGGGGGCTTCTTCACTTATTTTGTCATCCTGGCCGAAAATGGATTCCTCCCCTCCACCTTGCTGGGCATCCGCTTGGACTGGGACGACCGCTCCAAAAACGACCTGGAAGACAGCTATGGGCAGGAGTGGGTGAGTGGGGAGCCCTTGTTGAGGGGGCTTCTGAATGGAGATGCAACATCATCCCTCTTCCTCATTTTAAAGATTTTTTCTTTTAATTTTAATTTACATCATAGCTTAGAAGTCCCGGGTCCTAAGGAAGTCAGACTATCCTCCGCCAGGGCCAGGGCCTTCTCAGTGATGGCTCCGACCTGGTGGAATGCTCTGTCCCAGGAGACAAGGGCCCTGCAGGATTTAACCTCTTTCCGCAGGGCCTGTAAGACAGAGCTATTCCGCCTGGCTTTCAATTTGAACTTAGCCTGATCTTTTATTCCCCTTCCTTTCCTTCCCACCCCTTCCCCTTTTTATGACGATTCCCCGCTCTGGGATCCCACAGCTAATTCTCCCCTGGTCTCCTCGCTGGCCCAAATAGGACTAATTTAGCCAGCTAGCCTTGGTGATCATCTAATGTTTATTGGATGGATTTCCCGCCTAAATTGATTTTTGAATCCTGAATTTATTGTTATTCACGTTTTATACTGTATTTTATGCTGTTTTCTGTTGCATCAATTAAGTGTTTTAAATTTGTTGTTAGCCGCCCTGAGCCCATTTTCTGAACTGGGAAGGGCGGGGTATAAATAAAATATTATTATTATTATTATCATTATTATTAAGACCAGGCAGGTGCCTTCCCTCTACTGTTCTTGTCACCTGCTAGAAATATTTTTAAGCCTGTCCAGATGTATAGAAAGTCGATGGGGTGTTTTAATCTGTTTTTCGTCTGTTGTTATTTTTAACTTTTTGAAAGTTTTAAATCACGGTCGTTGCTTTTTTATAGTGATGGTTTTATTGCTTTATCCCCTTTGGAGACAGAGTGGAGTGGCCCCCCATCCGGTGTTTTTGAACTGTGATTCCCAGATTGCAGGGGGAGTTTGAACCAGGCGAGCCCACAGATCTGTGGTTCTTTCTCTCTCTGCAGACCTATGAGCAGCGGAAGGTGGTGGAGTTCACCTGCCACACGGCCTTCTTCGCCAGCATCGTGGTGGTACAGTGGGCCGACCTCATCATCTGCAAGACCAGGAGGAACTCGGTCTTCCAGCAAGGCATGAAGTAAGTCCCAGCCTCACCCCAAAATAGATACGCCTCTGAACTTGGAGGTTCCATGTACCTCTCCTGGGACGCAGGTGGCGCTGTGGGTTAAACCACTGAGCCTAGGACTTGCCGATCGGAAGGTTGGCGGTTCAAATCCCCGCGACGGGGTGAGCTCCCGTTGCTCGGTCCCTGCTCCTGCCAACCTAGCAGTTCGAAAGCACGTCAAAGTGCAAGTAGATCAATAGGTACTGATCCAGGAAGGTAAACGGCGTTTCCGTGCGCTGCTCTGGTTCGCCAGAAGTGGCTTAGTCCTGCTGGCCACATGACCCGGAAGCTGTACGCCGGCTCCTTTGGCCAATAAAGCAAGATGAGCGCCACAACCCCAGAGTTGGTCATGACTGAACCTAATGGTCAAGGGTCCCTTTACCCTTTACCTAAAGGACTCCTGGATGGTTAAGTCCAGTCAAAGGCGACTATGGGGTTGCAGCGCTCATCTCGCTTTCAGGCCGAGAGATCCGGTGTTTGTTTGCAGACAGCTTTCCAGGTCATGTGGCCAGCAGGACTAAACCGCTTCTGGTGCAACAGAACGCTGTGGCAGAAACTGGAGCAGCACATGGAAACACCATTTACCTTCCTGCTGGAGTGGTACCTATTTATCTACTTGCACTTTGATGTGCTTTCGAACTGCTAGGTTGGCAGGAGCAGGGACCGAGCAACGGGAGCTCACCCTGTCATTGCGGGGATTTGAAGTCCTAGGCTCTGTGGTTTAACCCACAGCATCACCCGCGTTCCGTACCTTTCCTTTTTTGGCCCTGGTTCATAGCCAACTAATCCCTGATCACAGAAACCTAGAACTGTGAAGTTGTAAGGGACCCCCAACACTTATCCAGTCCACCCCCTGCGATGCAGGACTCGCAGCTAAACCACTCCTAGCAGGTGCCCATCCATCAGAATATAGGAAACTGCTTTATCCCGCATCACACCCTTGCTATACATCAAGCTCAGAATGATCTGCACTGACCGGCAGCAGCCAAAGAAAGTCTTTGGGGCTTCAGGCCTCCTGCGTTGTCCCTACACGATGTGAGCAGGAGGAAGCTGGGGGGTGGAGCGTGCCCTTAGTGGCCCTCAGTCCTCCTGAGCTCCTTCCTTGTGACCCCCCACCCCACCCTCCTCTCTCTTTTCCCCTCCAGGAACAAGATCCTGATCTTCGGCCTCCTGGAAGAGACAGCCTTGGCCGCTTTCCTCTCGTACTGCCCTGGGATGGGGGTGGCTTTGCGCATGTACCCACTCAAGTAAGCTCCTTGTCCAGACCTGGTGGGGTTGGGTCAGCGCGTGAGGGGGGGCTTTGTCTCTGCCCTTTACCCCTCTCTAGAGCAGAGCTCAAGCTTGTGGGGTTTTCTAGGGCACCTTTCATTCATTTGCACGTCAGTCTATCTATCTCTATCATCATTTATTTATTTATTTATTTACACAAATATTTGTATACCGCTGCGTCATCAAAAAATGCCTCCAAGTGGTTTAAAATGCAATACCACACAATAAAATCCATTTTTAAAAAATGAATCAGACATCAATGAACAATCGTGGGAAGATGTCTTCTTAAGCAGCTGCAGAATAGAAAATGTTTTCAGCCGGCATTTAAGATGTTAAAGACGGAAGGTGTGCCTGCTTAATCTCTAGTGGCAGGGAGTTCCACAGGGCCAGGCTGATGACGGCACTAAAAGGCCCGTTCCCCCTCGTTGCCAAATGAGCCTCACCACTAAAAAAGTTTCGGAGAAATTTGCACAGAAGTGGTAACGAATTCCCGTGGAAAATTCACAGACTGATGTGGAGGGAGCTGAATTTTAAGATTGGCTGGAGGAGAAAGTGAGAGGCTTTGGAAACTGGCAGATTTGCCCGTCTCCTGTCCTGCACTGTGCTCAGGACCTAAATCCTCGGCTGGGCCCACTTCTGCCCACTAATCCCTTTAAGAGCCAAGTTCTTGAGGCGGCCCCATCTGCCAGGATCTGGCAAGGCCTCAGCGCCAGGAGGGGGCAGCTTGGCAGCTGCTGATCAGGAGAAAGCAGAGAGAAAAGCTCCTCTCCGTCTCTCGGGATAACACTGGAACTCACGGGCGCCATGGAAGCAGAAGGATGGAAGTCTCAGGGCAGAGAAAAGAAAGTCCTTCTCCATCCTGTGTGCGGTGGAACTGTGGAACTCCCTCTCGCAGGAGATTATTATTATTATTATTATTACCCCGCCCTCCCCAGCCAGAGCCAGGCTCAGGGCAGCTAACACCAATAAAATAAAATCACAGTAAAAACATAATAGGGGGGAAAGAGAGGGAGGGGGGAACAACCCAATTTAAAATACAGGTTAAAATGCAATTTAAAATGCAGCCTCGTTTTAAAAGTAGCCCATAGATCAAGACCGTAAGGGGAGGGAAGCATAAGGGTCAGACTGAGTCCAAACCAAAGGCCAGGAGGAACAGCTCTGTCTTGCAGGCCCTGCGGAAAGATGTCAAGTCCCGCAGGGCCCTTGTCTCTTGGGACAGAGCGTTCCACCACGTCGGGGCCAGCACTGAAAAGGCCCTGGCTCTAGTTGAGACCAATCTAACCACCTTGTGACTTGGGACCTCCAAGGTGTTGTTATTTGTGGACCTTAAGGTCCTCCACAGGGCAGACCAGGAGAGGTGGTCCCATAGGTACGAGGGTCCCAGGCTGAGATAGTGATGGCACCGAAAGAGGATTAGGGGCTGGGAGAGGGGGGGAGGAAGGCTCCCTGAGTCACTTCAAAATTTTTTCGAAAAATGGGATATGATTTATAACGAATTGAAAAAACTGTTTAAATATACCTTCCCTCCAAAAAACCAGAAGCCTTTTTGCTGGGGTTGATAGGAGATGAAATAAGAAAAGCAGATCAGAGACTATTTATGTACGCTACGACTGCAGCCAGAATCTTAGTAGCCCAAAAATGGAAAACTCAGGAAATACCAACACTAATGCGGGGGCAGACAAAAATGGTTGAATATGTAGAATTAGCAAAACTGATCCACAGGATCCATAACCAAGAGGAAACAAAGTTCAAAAATGAATGGAATATATAGGTAATAACTGTAGAAGTTTAAAGACTGTAGTAGGATTAAAATAAATTTTGTGATGTGCTACTAATATCCTGCAGAAAAAGAGAAAATTCAATATGAAAGCCTGTTGAAGGGAGGGATGGAAGTCTGTGTTTTGAAAATAGAGCGTTTTGAAAATAAGTAGACATATGATTGTTGAATTTTAGAGTATTCATTTTGTTTGTGTATGTTAAAGAAAACTCAATAAAAAGCATTTGGGGGGAAAAACCAAAGCGCTTCTCTCCCTCCCTCTCTCCTCTCCAGGGTGACCTGGTGGTTCTGCGCTTTCCCGTACAGCCTCCTCATTTTCATCTACGACGAAGTCAGGAAGCTCCTCATTCGCCGCTACCCTGGTGGTGAGTGTCGTTCTGGACCCCCCCCCACCCAAAAAGGATGTGCAGGGCTTCCCTCGGGGGCCCCTGGTTGGCCGCCGTGAAAATGGGAGGCCGGACTGGATGGACCCCCGTCTTAGGCTCCGATGGGCCAATGACCGGAGGATGAATCGACTGGTGGCTTCTAGCCACAATGGCTACATCCTCCGTCCTCTGTCGGAGGCAGGGCACCTCTGAATGCCAGGGAACGCTCATGTGCTGGTCCCATGGGTTACCTGAGAGGCGAGGTCCAAGTCCGGTCCGTGGTCAAAGGGGCAACGGGGAGGCAGTCCGTAGTAGCTTAAGCTGGGTGCAGGGCAGGGAGTCGGGTGAAGTCAGGAACAGGCATGCAAGTGTTGTAAACAAAAATTGCCCTTTTCCCTTATGGGGTATCCAAGAGCCCGTATAGAGTCCTTACGTAGGTTCCCTATTGGTAGGAGAGAATAACAGAGGCCAAGCAGAGAATATTGAGAAGCAAAGCAGCTAGTAAGCCTGATCTTTATTGATCTGTTGCAACAGGGTGCCCCCTCACATGCAGAAGAAGGAGGAGGACCCAGAACAATGGCACGCAAGGCCTTATAAAAACTTTTGAAATTGCCACCCTGTAGATCAAGACCACCCCCAGAAACATCATACATATATCACAGAAGGGGTGTAACCTAAGACCACCCCTCAGATACATCACACCTACATCACAGAAAAGGCGGTCTTAAAACAGAAATTTGAATGTTGTTTGTCTCCTGTCTGGCAGGTTACTTGATTGGATACCCTGGGGAGCCTGGCCAGTCTTTTGTAATGACAAATACTTAGTTCCTGAGCCAGGTCACAGGCTCACACCCTATTCATACACAGACACACCCTTAAGGCAGGATTTGTGAAGGAAAAGACAATGGGAGGTTTCCCACTTTGACCTTGCAGAGAAAAGATTTGGTCAGTTTAGGAATCAAAATGGTTCCAGGTTGGCCTTCCTGTGCTGATCTATATATGTGCTTGGTTGGTACACTTATGAACATTACCATATATCTAAGACCATAAAATTCCTATCACACAAGCAGGGAGCCAGGGCGGGTCAGGAGCTCAGGCAGGAAAGCAGGATAGGGTTCAGGCAGGAACTGGCAACCAACAATGTTGCTCCCGCAACCTCGGACTGGTTTTTATCTCCTCTGAGGCATAGGGCGGCCCCGATCCTCAGGTGACTCGCCTCTCCTGGCCTGGAGGCGAGCACTCCTCCTGCGGGAACTCAGTTCCCTCCGCCTCTCTGCCCTGAGCCTCTGCAGCTCAGGAGAGGCTGGAGGGTTACTAGACCCAGAGGCAACCTCCTCTTCCCCTGACGGGGCTGAGAGTGGAGCACCTGCAGGCAATGGGTCCTCCATCACCTCAGGAGCCAGAGCAGACTCAGCTGGTGCCTGCACCTGAGGATCCAGCACAGGTGAGGACCCTTCAGGCTCAGGCCCCAGCCCCGGCTCAGCTGGTTCTGGAGGTGGGGACTCCTGTGAAGGCTGGGATCCCTCAGATTCAGCATCCGAGTCTGAATCCCAGGCCATCACACCTCAAGTTGGCTTGATCCAGCAGCCAGGCACTCCCTATGGGGGGCTCCTGTGGCAGCAGAACCTCCAGGCCCAGTGGCAGTCTGCCCTGAAAATCAAGATAATGGGGGGACACAAATGGAGAGGTGTTGTTGCCCTCAGATCCTGCCAGTGGGTTTCCCGCTGGTTGGCCTCTGTGGGAGCAGGAGTCTCCCTTGGGCCTGATCCAGCGGCTCTTTGGATGTTCCTATGGAGCCTCCAGGTCCAGAGGCAGTCTATCTCGATTCCTGGGTTCTCAGGGGCTTTTTGGCCACTGTGGCCCAGGGCTGTGGGGCAAAGGGGTCTCCTTTGGCCTGATCCAGCCGCTGCAACACCCTCCTCATGTTCTCATGCAAGTGTATCTTTTCCCAACTCAACCGTCTGTTCCAGACAGTTTCATGTTTAATAGGTTATTGTATTTTAATATTCCATTGGAAGCCGCCCAGAGTGGCTGGAGAAACCCGGCCAGATGGGCAGGGTATAAATAAATTATTATTATTATTATTATTATTATTATTATTATTATTATTATTCCACACACACTAACTCTTCTCTCTCTCTCTCCTCCCTCTTCCTTTCCCAGGCTGGGTGGAAAAGGAGACCTACTACTAAAGGCAGCAAGCCACCCCTTCCTTACAACCTGTAGTCGAAAGCCAGACGATGTAGTCAGAAAGAGGCAATAAAAGTTAATTTAACCTGTTCTCCAGGCCTCGCCCCTTGCTGTCCCTTCGGAAGAGGAGACCCTTGTGGTGCCAGGAAAAGCGGGGAGTCTCACACCTCTTGCATGGTTGGAAGTGGGGGCTGCGGGGGCAAATCAAAATAGTCTGGCGGGTGTTGTGTTTGGGGCCGGCCTGTTGAAACCCAGTGGGTGGGGAGCTCATCGAATCATAGAGTTGCAAGGGACCCCCAAAGGTCATCTATCCCAACCCCATGCAACGCAGGAATCACAGCTCCTGATTCCGTTCCCTGGGCAGGCTAGCTGTATCCCAGGTGAATGCAGAGCAGCGTGCGCCTTCGCCCCGCCCCCCCCCCCGCCCTGCCTGCCAGCTGCCGTTGGCCCCAGACCCGTTCCTAACTGCCCCAGGTGCTAATGGCACAGAAAGGGGATCTGGGCAGCCGGTATAAAAATAAGACTCTGGATCAGCAGAAAGGGCCGAAATAGTGTCAGAGCTCACTTAAGCTGCAGGGCCCCGGGGCGGCATTTGTGGCTGATTAAAATAACAGCAGCTGTCCCCGGCCAAGTGCTGCAGCGAGGGTTAAAAATAGCCCCAGCCGAGGCACCACTAGCCTTAAGGGCCACTGCAGGATGGAAAGGAGGAGGCGGCAGCGGCAGCAGCGGCAGCGGCCCTGGACAGGTCCAGGCGTCTGGGCTGCACTCCGCGTGGTTCCCTTAAGACATTGCGCGGGGATGGACTGGATGAGCTTTGGGGGCTCTTCACACGCCACCACCGTTGTGTGATTCCAAGGAAGAGGAAAACCTCTCCTTACGCAGGGCTGGAGCTCCGTGGCAGAGCAGGTGCTGTTTCTGAAACCCTCGAGAGCCACCTGCCAGTCAGTGCAGACAACATGTAGCTATGTGGACTTGATAAGGCAGCGTCCTACACTCCCTAAAACCTTTTTGCTGCGGCAACAGGGTGTGTGTAGCTGTGACACCCACAAACACAAAGGTCCTCTGTTGGCACGTGTGTGTGTTTGTCGCCTTCTGTTCCAAGGTACGTGCGCCCCCACCCTGTGCAGAAACAATTAAAATCCTGATAATGAGGTACAGAGGGGGGTTGCGTCATTTGCAGAGCTGCAAACGGAATTGTTATTTATTATGTTCCTTTCTTGCCTATCTCTGGGGAAAGCATTCTGCAATCGGGGAGCCACCATTGAAAAGGCCCGACTTCATCCTGCAAACCCTCTGGGCCTGTTTGGAGAACTAAGTAAGGCCCAGGACCTGCCCCCCCCCCTCGAAAGGTGGCAATGATCAGGAGTCCAACCAAGGTGTTTCAGCACAGCTGCTGGAAACGGACAAATGGCCCCAGATACAGTCGGCAACAATGAGGCCTAGCAACATGCGTGACAGGTTTTAAAGAAAAGCAGTAAACCCTGTGGAGTCTACAGAAGGTGTTGCTGTGGCCAGGGTCTTTGCACTGTGCAAAGCATCTACCACCTGAGTGATTCGAATCTAGCCCTGGAATGCAGGAGTCACAGTTTACCAGCTCTCGAACGCAGGCCTTTGTCTGCTAAGACTCAAATACGTCTGCTGTCTTCAAAACAGCAGGAGAAGGAATTGCAGGAGCCAGGGGCCTCCAGCGAGAGAGGAGGAGGCTGATATGCAAAACACCGCTTATTCCACACAACCCAAGAGCCCCTCGCAAAGGGGGCTATTAATCAGGAATGGCAGGTGGATATTGGCAAACACCAGTGCAGGGAAGAGTTTGTTCCCCAGGCTAATAACAAGACTAGCCAGGAGAAGTAGGGAATGTGGCAGGCTAAGACAGGCAGGCGTGGCCAGAATCAGCAGTCAGCATGTGGTCAGGAACAAACTGTGACCGAACCTTGCAGGCAAACATCAGCATAAATATTTGTACGTGCCACCCCAATCTCTGAGTGGTGAGAGATTCCAGGGGTCCCAGCGCTTACTCAGGTTCAGTTTCCTTGGAATGAGGTTCAGCAGAGACTGTGGTGTCTTTAGAATATCTGGTTTTCCTTACATATATATACCACCCAAGCATAAGATGGAGAGACTTTCTCCTCCAGGAAACACAACCCCACTTCTGACACCAGTGTTGCGCACCGGCCCAGTCTCTGAGCAGCGAGAAAGTTCAGGGGTTCCAGTTGCTTACCGGGTTCGGTTTTTTGCAGTGAGGGACAGTGTGTGGTGTCTTTAGGATATACGGTTTTATTTGCACATATATACAACCTGAGCACAGGGTGGAGAGGCTCACAGCATCAACACCCAAAAAGATCTCGCTTCTCCATTAGTCTCTGCTTTGGGGCAAACAGGTCTCTGGGTCTCCCACTTCCAGCCTGCTTTCTGAGCAACTCTCTCTCACACAACACTGACTATCATTCTCCTACTCAGCAGGTAGGTGAGTGGAGGGTGGGGGCAGGGGAGGAGAAAGACCCACCCATTTTGCCCGAGGGCACAGAACATTTTTGGTTATCCTAGTCTTGGTTGCCTAGACAAAAGGGCTGGGAATGTCCGTAGGTGATTAACCTGGAGCCTTCTGCGTGCCAAGCTCTCCTACTGAGATGTAGCCTTTACCCTAAGCATAAAGTAAGATTCTGGTCCTCATGGTTCTGAATTAAGGGCTGGTTTAAACAGGCACTTCAGAAGCTGCCTTTTCCCGGAGTTTGGTCCATCTAGCTCAGTCCTGCCTGCCTACACTGGCTGGCAGCAGTGGCTCTGCGCCTGGGACACTGTGTGGAAAAGCCACACACCCCAGGCCCACCGACTCTCCAGTCCCCACCCCAAAAAACAAATCCGCTTTGGGTACAAGATGTGCTCTGCAGGCAGGGAGGGGCAGGGGGGCGTCTTCCAGCAGCCCTGGAGGTGCTGACTGCGGTGAGCCCAAAATAGCGAGGGTGGCGGGTGGGCCTGCGAGGCAGAGCGAAGGTAGAGGGAGAGAGAAGGAGCCGGGCAGGAGGGGGCCTTGCTCAGGTTTCGTTTGCTGGAGGGGCTTAAATATCCACCTGGGGTTAAAAATAAGGATGCTCAGGCTCCTGCGGGTCATTTGAAACCAGCCTTGGCTCTGCAAGGTGTGGAGGGGGGGCAGAGGGGGGTGACAAATTTGGGGAGGGGTTGGATGAAGGGCCTGGAGGCTGCCGGGTGGGTGAGTGGGTGGGTGGGTGCTGGACATTTCAGGGAGGGAGGGTATTCTTTACTTTCAGAGACACCGCCTCCCCAAAGCCCCCCACCCCAGTTTCCTGTCTCAAGAATTTATTGATTGATTGGTTTCATAATACTTATAAACCTCTTCATTTTTTAAAAAAACAACCCTCAAAGCAATTCACACAAAAAACAGTGAAATTGCCAATTTGAAAAACAGCTAAAAACAAGTAATTTAAAAACATAAAAAATAAATATAAGTGTTAAAACACATGACTGGCTATAGGCTTTGCCTAAACAAAAATGTTTTTGCCATGCACCAAAAAGAGTACAGCAAAGAAGATGTCTGCCTGGTGTCCACAGGCAGGGAGTTCCAGAGGGCCATGCAAAAAGATCAGTTTCAAAGAAGTGTGGAACGAGGATTGTGAGACCAGGTCTGCAGGTGGCAGGTGGCAAGGCGATCTTGCGGGTGGACCAGCTCCTCTGCCCCCTACCTGCGGATGCTGCCAGCGGGGTTGAACCTAAGTTTTTCTGCTTGTGAGGCAGGTGCTGCACCATGGAACTACGGCCCGCCCCTGCTGGCTGTGCGTCACAGCACCAAAGCGTCACTCTTCCTGTCCAGCCCAGCGCCAGGCGTCAATCAACGCGGCGGCTGGGTGCAAAGAGGAACAGGCGAGGGCCCAGACGCAGTCAGCTCCCTGCGTTTAGACCTTTGATTTATGGCGCCCTGGATTCCCAGGCCTGGCAGGCTCCTTGTGCTGCTCGTCTCCCGTCCACTGAGGGCCTCCAAGTCGCGGCATCCTGCTCTCTTTAAGGACCAAAGAAGAGGCCAGCGCAGAATTAGTCTGCATTGTCTATCTGTGGCTTGCAGCCAGACTGGCTGTCACCAGAGGATGGGGAGAAATGCGGGGCGTTTTTCTTAGTGTCCAGTTTAAGAAGGCCTTGCCTATTTCAAGGGAAACATCAACTCATTCAGTACGAACAACGGGACCTAAGAGCCTGCCGGATCAGACCAAAGGGAGCCCATCTAGTCCAGCCGCCTGTTCTCTCAGTGCCTGTGGGAAACCCGTGGACAGGATCCGAACACAAGAGCAACTCTTGCCTCCTGTGTTTTCCAGCAAATGGTGTTCAGAATCATGGCTGCCTGCGACTGTGGCCAAGAGCCTTCGATAGCCCTCTCCTCCTCCACAAATTTGTCCAATCCTCTTTTAAATGAATGAATTTTATTATTTCGGTCACAGACCAGTTCCAGCCCACATACAATATCAAGAAAGTCATAAAACACCATAGGGATACATTTGAATTTGCAATTAGGTATAACAGGGACAATACAGATATTTGTTGTTTAGCCGTTTAGCCGTGTCAGCCTCTTGGTGACCCCCTGGACCAGAGCACGCCAGGCCCTCCTGTCTTCCACTGCCTCCCGCAGTTTGGTCAAACTCATGTTCGTAGCTTCCAGAACACCATCCAACCATCTCGTCCTCTGTCGTCCCCTTCTCCTTGTGCCCTCCATCTTTCCCAACATCAGGGTCTTCTCCAGGGAGTCTTCTCTTCTCAGGAGGTGGCCAAAGTCTTGGAGCCTCAGCTTCAGGATCTGTCCTTCCAGTGAGCACTCAGGGCTGATTTCCTTCAGAATCAAGAGGTTTGATCTTCTTGCAGTCCATGGGACTCTCAAGAGTCTCCTCCAGCACCAGAATTCAAAAGCATCCATTCTTCGGCAATCAGCCTTCTTTATGGTCCAGCTCTCACTTCCATACATCACTACTGGGAAAACCAGAGCTTTAACTAAACGGACCTTTGTTGGCAAGGTGCTGTCTCTGCTTTTTACACAATAGGGATACATTTGAATTTGCAATTAGGTATAACAGGGACAATAGAGATATAACAACAGTTTAAAAATATATAAATTAAAACTTAGTCACTAACATATAACCTAAAATTATCATTTAAAACCTTAATCATTATGATAGCACGGCTTATTCCCTAAGTTTTATGGCAATCACACAGAATTTGGCTACCCTTAACGTGATCGCAGGATCCTTGTCCTCTACCAGGGATTTATCCTCTTTTAAAGTTATCCTTGGTGGACATCACTGGATGCTGGGAGAGGGGCTTCCATAGTTTAATTGTGAATTGCACGAAGAAGAACTTTATTTTCTCTGTCCCGAATCTTCCAACATTCAGCTTCATTGGACGTCCGCCAATTCTAGTGTTATCGAAGAGGGAGGAAAAGTTTTCTCTGTCTGCTTTCTCCGTGCAATTTGTTGTTGTTGAGTTGTTTAGTTGTGTCCGACTCTTCGTGACCCCCTGGACCAGAGCACGCCAGGCACTCCTGTCTTCCACTGCCTCCTGCAGTTTGGTCAAACTCATGTTGGTCGCTTCGAGAACACTGTCCCACCATCTCGTCCTCTGTCGTCCCCTTCTCCTTGTGCCCTCCATCTTTCCCAACATCAGGGTCTTTTCCAGGGAGTCTTCTCTTCTCAGGAGGTGGCCAAAGTCTTGGAGCCTCAGCTTCAGGATCTGTCCTTCCAGTGAGCACTCAGGGCTGATTTCCTTCAGAATGGAGAGGTTGCATCTTCTTGCAGTCCATGGGACTCTCCAGAGTCTCCCCCATGGCTAAAGTGGTACCTCAGGTTAGGAATGGACCTCCAGAACGAATTAAGTTCGAAACCAGAGGTACCACTGTTCACAAGGCCGTCTACAAGCTGAAGAAACAACAAAATAGACAAAGACCACACGCCTCACAGCAATAGCAATGTCACCTCTGCGAATTTGATTTTATTTGGCGCTGCTTGCCTGTGTACAGCCATTACTGATAGCCCTCTTTGCTTCTACAGACACGATATCCCCATTCCCTGCACAGATCTTGGATCTTTAGATGATCTGAAGTAAGATCTAGCCTTGCCTTATGGATCCATAATGTTAAACCGCCACTTGGTTCGTTGCTTTGCTGTGTTGTGAAATGCTTTGATTATTCAATAATTTCTCAATAAAGGCCCAAGCCACGGGTGAGAGCGCCCAGCGGGATGACATTTTGCCACTTTGCACAGAAAGAACATGGAAAAGCAAAGCAATTTGCAGGTGCCACTTGCAGGAATGCCCACGGCGTGCCAGTGAGCCTTCAAAGCTGGTGCACCCCCTGGCTTTGCAGAAATAAAATGGATCGGGCCCTAATGCTTTGCCACGTTCTCAGATAGCAGAGCAAACAGGCACAGCTGTGAAATTGAGGGGGGGTGTGGTGAAAGAAGGGGTGCTGGCCCCCAGCCACGCTTCTCCCCTCTCACATCATCCCCCCTGCTGAGCACCCAGAAAGGCCCCCCTCCCTCCGAGAGAGAGAGGGAGAGAGAGAGAGGCTCTGTAATCTGAAGGCAGCTCCAGTTACCTTGGCATCTGCTGACATGCCAGCCTCCGTCTTGCAGACTGGGATGGGCGAGGGGAGCCAGAAAGAGATTACTTTTCCACTCTGCTGAAATGGAAGGAATGGACAGTGTGTGTGTGTGTGTGTGTGTGTGTGTGTGTGTGTGTTAAACGGAAAGAAATAGAGTTATGGAGTTGGGAACCCGAAGGCTCATCTAGTCAAACCCCCGGCAATGAAGGAATCGCAACTAAAGGATCCCTGACAGGCGACCATTCAGTCTCCAATGAACTGGAGAGTTGAAAGGGACCCTGGGGCTCAGCTAGTCCAAGACGACAGGCCTGGAATATAGGAACCATAGGAATATAGGCTCCTTTTTATTATTATTTTTGTGCAAAAGAGGGGAATACTCTCAACACCCCTTTGCAGGGCTGAGATCCAGCAACTTGGAGAAAGAGTCTTCCGTGAACTTGGTGATCTCCTCTCTTGGTGAGACCAAATATTCACGTTCACTGCGCCGTCATTTCAGGCTGGTTAGGATAATTGAGGTTAATTCAAGTAATTTGGGTTAGAGAATTCAGTTTTTTAAAATTTTCCACAAGTCGTACGTTATTGATATTCATTCTTCTTATTGGTAACTTTCCTGTTTCATCTTTCTTTCTTTTTTGTAAACCACTTTGAGATTTGTTCATGTTTCGGCTATCAATTTGGTGTACAAATCTGACAGGGGGGGCGGGAAGAATAAATGAACAAAACAGAAACAGGAGAGGTAAATGGACGGTGTCCGCTTTTTCTTCCCCCTTGTTCGAAATGGAAATCAATCTGGCGAATACAATAAACGTTCACTGCTGTTGCTGCTTTGCAGCCCACAAATATCGTGCAAATGATTACGTTCCACTTGGAATAATGTAATGAAAACGTAAGTTACGTAATCAATTGCAATATTTTTCATTCCCCTTTCCAGCAGCTGCAAGTTGCAAATTTCATTCTTCCAAAAAAAACCACATTTAAAATTGAGGGGGGAAATTGCAGAAATGTATTCGGAGGGGTGGTTTGATCTGCATTTTTTTCAAAAAGTATGTTTGTGTTACGTTGCCATCCTATGTGCATCTACTGAGAAGTAAATCCCATTGACCAAAAATTGTCCAAGAGGTGCTGCCCCGCCCCCCACCCTCCGAAAAATGCTTTTATTTGCAATTTCTCTGGATGCTTTTAAGTTGGGCGGCGATTCTAGGCGATACCAAGACCTGTTTCTTCTCCACGTGAGAAACCTGCGCCTTTTCCAGCAAGCCAACATTTCCCTCTCTCTGGCTCAACTGCCTGAAAAAACCCCGCAGTCCTCTAAGCCAAGCAGCTAGACCTCTTGAAGCCCTTCTTTCCCCCCCCCCTTCCAATGGGGCACAAGATGGCTTCCACCGCAGGAGGGCCGACTTCTCCTGCGGATGGTGTCTCTGTGTGGGGACGTCGGCCGTACAGTAGCCTCCCCTGACACAAGCGAGAGGCGCTCTCCAGCGGAGCAGATCCCTTTACGCCCCGGGATGAGGACATTGTCCCTGAAACCTGGCATCCCTCCCCATGGAAGGGGTGACGTCAGCCGGCTGGAAGAAAGCGAGGAAGAGGAGGAGGAGGGGCAGGTGGGGAGGAGAGGGGCTGCAGGGAGACCATTCTCAGACCTGGACGCATCCCCAGCGCACAGCCTTATCCGACCACCTCCCGTGTAATTCAAGAACACCCGAGAGAGAGAGAGAGAGAGAGAGAGAGAGAGAGAGAGAGAGAGCCTTCCTTTCTGGGCCCCGTACAGTATCTCCCCCCCCCAAACCCAACGCTCTCTAATTTCCCTGCCATCCGCATAAGTCCATCTTGATTTACCTCCGACTCATCGTCTCTTATTTTTAGACCTCCTCCAAGCCTCCAGGCCTTCCCACCCGGCCTCACATACCTCCCCTCCATAGTCCCCCCCCCCTTAATATGGCAATAAGGAGAGGCCGTCAAATATCAGCCTCGGAGAGAGGGGGACCTGGCCAAGGTGAGGCCCTGGTAATAAACCAGAGGCAGGTGGTTTGGTCGGGCAGGTGAGGGTTCAGAGGCTCCCCGGACCGGGATGCAGGTGGCTGTTGTTCAGGGCGGGGGCCCCTCCATCTCCCATATACATATATAGGCAGGGAGCAGAGGGGTGGGGTGTCTCTCGCGGGCAGTGCCAAATGCCTGAGGATAAGACAGCCCTCCATCTCCGGGGCACCTCCCCTCCCGGCTGCTTTTATGGGCTGCCCGTTGGTCCCTGCCTTTGCTTTTGACGCCCCTCGCCCCTCCGAGAGGTTGTCGCCACCCTGACGGAGCCAGGGCCCCCCTCGGCCAACTCTCCGGGCTGCCTGCCTGTGTCAGCAAAGAACCCAGACGTCCTTGCCCCCCGGAGCCCCCTGCCCTGACAGCCGCCTTAAAGGCAAAGGCGGGAGAGGGGGAGGAAGAGGAGGAGAAGAGGGCCACCTCTCCTTCCGCAGCCGTCTTCCAGGGGCCGGGTTGACTTTCTGCGTTGCCAGGGGAAGGACGAAGGACCGGGGAGCCCAGAGGGAAGTCTCCGCTATTCAGTCTCCTTCTCTCCTCCTTCAGTTTGGGGCTTCCTCTCCCGGGAAGGTCAGGCAGGATGAAGTGGCTTGGGGTGGCCCTCGTGGCCTTGCTGCTGGCTGCCTTTGGCCCTCTGGGCCGGGGCGAAGACGGGCTGGATTTCCCCGAGTACGACGGCATCGACCGGGTCATCGACGTCAATGCCAAGAACTACAAGAACGTCCTGAAGAAGTATGAGATCCTGGCTCTGCTGTACCACGAGCCCATCGGGGACGACAAGGCATCCCAGAAGCAGTTTGAGCTGGAGGAGCTGATCTTGGAGGTAACGACCAGGGATGTGATGGAGGGAGGCGGCCGGCAGGGGGACACAGGTGCCCCCACCCGCCGGAAACTCTTGTCCCCAAACAGCCATTTAGGAAGGAAGGGCAACAGGCAACTCAGGTTGTGGGAAGGGGCGAGGTCAAGGAATTTCAGGAGCTTGGAGAACTCTGTGATTCCATCTCTGTGGTTCTAGGGCTTGGGCAGTGCAAGGGCTGGGGGGGGCAAAGGGGCAGATGTCCCAGGCATATCATACTGGGGGGGTCCGTGCTGTAGATCGTGGGGGAGGCTACCCAAAAGCAACGGCATTCAGCTGGTTTGCTGAGTCCTCTGATTCCTGCCGTGTTCTGTGGGAATTTCTGCCATGATGAAACCCAGCCTTCTCCTCTCTGCCCCCACACCTGTTCCCTCCCCAAACCCCAATGATGGGTGCGATGCAACCCCCCCTCATCTAATCCTTGCCCTGAATCCGTCTCAGGGGAGGAGCGTGGATGTGTGGAAGGAGTTGTGGAAGATCAGGGGAGTGGGCAAAGAGGGGTTGTCCCTTGTGCCCTCCATAAACGGGGGCACTCGGCCAAATCTTTGGGTCGATTGTTGCTGGGGCTGTAATGCTGGAATCTGTGGAACTCCACTGCCTGGCCCACCTTGCAAGGTTGCTGTTGTTGTGGGGATTTCACAAGGAAGAGGGAGAACCCCACATGCCACCTTGAGCTCCTTTGAGAGAGAGAAATGGGATACAAATGCAATAAATATATAATCATAAATCTGGGTCAATCCAACAAGGAGGTTCTCCTCATTGTGTGTCTGCCTTGTGAATGGAAGGCAGGGGCAGAAAACCTCTATTATTATTATTTCATAAGATTTATATGCTGTTTCATTGTTTTTAATGAAAATGCTCAGACAGTCCTTCCTGACAATCGTTTGCCTTCTTAACCGGTCCAAGCTTAGGGCTACACCTTCACGTGCGATACACAAGCGTGTCCTTGACATGTGCTGCTGCAATCGCGCCTCCGTGCAAATCTGGGGTGCAGAACCAGGCGAAAGAGATTGCCTCCCCCCAGGCCCAGATCCGCAAGACCCCACTCAGGGCTGCGTCCCCCTGTCCTAGACAGCTTCTCTCCCAAGAGAGGAGAGCAACAGCCAGGGCTAAAATTGCCATCTCCTTAATTGGCGCCTTCGGACGGCTGCAAGAACCTCCTCCTCTCCAGAAAGGCAGCCTTGGAATAGTTTCCTTAGGAATCTTGCCTGGGGGGCAGGAAAGCAGGGAGGGGGCCAAGGGCTGTCCAGGGAAGGGGGTGCAGCCAGCGCAGGTCAGTGGAACTTTCTAAAAATGGCCCCAAGGAAGGAGGAGGAGGGGGAAAGAGACACATTTCAGAGATGGTCTCCGTTTGGGAAGCCTCATTTTGGCATTCCTCAGACCGCAGCAACTTAGCCGGGGGGGGAGGTGTTGGGTGGCCTGAGGAGGGAGGGTGGGGTGGGAAAGGAGGTCAGTCAAAAGTGGGGACACTTAGGAACAGGAAACTGGGGGCCATCTGGCCTGCTGTGAAGCCGGAAAGGATCGGAAGGGTCTGGCTTAGTTTTGCAATAATGGGCCATTTAGAGACAGAGGTGGAATTCGATTAGGTGCGCATCTTAATTCGGTTTCTCAACTGAATTCTCAGCTGCCAATTCACAACCTGAAAAGAAAGCGTCCTATTGGAATTCGCTCTGTTCTGAATTTTGCAATAGGGTTTTTCCAGCAAAAAACCACATCGACTGGGGTAAAAACCAGAGGAAGGAATGCAGAGAGGTAGTGTGGTGTAGTGGTCAAAGGGCTAGAGGAAGATCTGAGAGAGCAGGGTTCAAATCCCCTCTCAGCCTGGAAGCTCCCTGGGTGACCTTAGGCCAATCACAGTCTCTCGGCCGAACCTACCGCACAGGGTTCTTGTGAGGATAAAATGGAGCAGGGAGAGCTATGTGCAGGGAAAGTGGGGTAATGATAACAATAACAATAGTAATAATAATGTGCAGCAGAAAGTCGCACTGAAATCGGGATGAATTTTCAGACATTCTTTTTATTTTATTTTTTAACTGACATACTGAGGAGGAAATGCGAGGAACAGAAATTAAAACGGGAGAAAAATGGAAAAGTTGTAGAAACCAAAACTGACAAGCTGCAGCGCCGCCCCCACCTAGTGCTGTTTTGTGAAAAGACTACACAGATTTGCATCCAGTGTGCATATGCTAATGTAGGTATAATTGCTATAATTTAAGAGCCTGGCTGCTGGATCGGGCCAAAGGGCTCCATCCAGTCCAGCCCCCTCTTCTCATGGTGGTCAGCCAGAGGCCTCAAAGGGAAATCTGTAAGCAGGATCCGAGCGCAAGAGCAACTCTCCCCTCCTGTGGTTTGCCAGCAACTGGGATTCAGAAGCAGGGCTGCCTCTGATGGTGGGGAGCCACCGATGGCCCTCTCCTCCTCCGTGAATTCCTCCATTGCGCTTTTAAAGCCATCCAGGTTGGTGGCCTCCTGTGGCAGGGAGTTCCACAGTTTAACTCTGTGCTGCCTGAAGGAGGACTTCCCAGTATGTTTCTGAGCACAATTCAAAGTGTTGGTGCTGACCTTGAAAGCCCTAAATAGCCTCAAAGGCCCAGTATATCTGAAGGAGCGTCTCCACCCCCATCATTCAGCCCAGACACTGAGGTCCAGATCCAAGGGCCTTCTGGCGGTTCCCTCCCTGCGAGAAGCAAAGCTACAGGGAACCAGGCAGAGGGCCTTCTCGGTGGTGGCTCCCGCCCTGTGGAACGCCCTCTCACCAGATGTCCAACAGATAAACAACTACCAGACTTTTAGAAGACATCTGAAGGCAGCCCTGTTCAGGGAAGTTTTTAACATGTGACATTTTAATGTATTTTTCATCTTTGTTGGAAGCCGCCCAGAGTGGCTGGGGAAACCCATCCAGATGGGTGGGGTACAAATAAATTATTATTATTATTATTATTATTATTATTATTATAACTTTAATAGGGAGACAACGCACTTCACCCCAGGGATGACCAGGCTGCTGTCCAACTGCTGATCTGGGTTGAGGAGCAACATCAAGGGAAACACACACACACACACACACACACACACAGCCGTCCTGCTTCGTAGGGTCCCTTTATCTTTAAACGGGACTTGGACACACAGCCCTTCAAAGACAGGACACAGGGCCTCCCTCTCTAGGCTGCCAGGGGAGGAAGGGAATTCATAGAATTGTAGAGAACGGAAGGGACCCAAAGAGTCTTCTCTTCCAGCCCCCAGCTAGATGTGGATTGTACTGGCTGGGGTTTTTCTTCTCCCAAAGGTGCTTTGATGTATAAGCCCAGTGCGTCTGTCTCAGTCTAATCCATGGCCAGATTTCGAGGGTTTTGTAAACCCTGCAAAAAAGCAACAACCCTTCAGGACCTCATTGTTTGTGAGATGAGGCGAGGTGAGCGTTGTCCTTTGACACCAGATGGCATCTCTGATTCAGACAGCCCCCCCCCATGGAGCAAACAAACAAACAAACAAACAAACAAACAAACAGGAAAGTGATGGTTAGGAGACTTCTGGACACACAGGCAGCAGCCCCCAGTGGCACCAGGGAGGGACACAGTGCGAATTCTGAGCAGTAGAGATCTAACTCTCCTTCACTGCAGCTTTGGGGGGCAGACATCTCCCTGTGGCTGACATCTCCAGACAGAGGGGCATTGAGTGATGCCTAATCCCATCTGATTTCTTCGTTTATTGAGACAATTTATATACCACTTAATTGCAATAATCTCTAAGTGCGTACAAGGGATGAAACCCAGGGGAAACAGAATTGGCAAAAATTATTAAATCAGGCTTCAGTTAAATTGCCTGACATAGTTTATTTTTTTTAAGTCTTCAGTAAGAATCCGGGACGCGGGTGGCACTGTGGGTTAAACCACAGAGCCTAGGGCTTGCCGATCAGAAGGTCTGCAGTTCGAATCCCCGCGATGGGGTGAGCTCCCGTTGCTCAGTCCCTGCTCCTGCCAACCTAGCAGTTTGAAAGCACATCAAAGTGCAAGTAGATAAATAGGTACCACTCCGGCGGGAAGGTAAACGGCATTTCTGTGCGCAGCTCTGGTTCGCCAGAAGCGGCTTAGTCCTGCTGGCCACATGACCCGGAAGCTGTACGCCGGCTCCCTCGGCCAGTAGAGCGAGATGAGCGCCGCAACCCCAGAGTCGTCCGTGACTGGACCTAATGGTCAGGGGTCCCTTTACCTTTTTAAGAAACAGAAGTTCAACAGGGAGAGTGGGCCAGTGTGACCTCAGCTAGAATTTAGGCCCACAAAGACAATTAGCTGTGGTTCCCGCAAGGGGTTGGAAGAAGATTCTAGGATTCTAGGAGTGCACAGTGCATCTGAGCCACAGTCTCCCCCAAGGATCGCAGTGATTGGCCAAGGATGCAAGGGATCAGGCGGTCCTTGAAGTATCCCCGTGTATTAACGCAAGACCCTTGAACCTGGCCTGGCAGCTTCCCGGGGAGTTGCATGCTGTGGGCAGACTGCCTCACCCCACTCTAGGTGCCCAGATCCCACGGCAGCTTCAGACGCTGAGCTGGGCTCCTCAGGTCTTCTGGAAAGGACACCCTCTCCTCCGCTGCCCGCCTTGAAGCCTTCTCCCCACAGAGAGACATTCCAAGGCGGCTTCCGGACGTCGTCATTGCTTCCATCCCTAAATATTCTCCTCTCCCTGGCACTAGCCTTCAGAGCAGAAGTGCGATATGAATTCCGGCCGGGTTATTGGAGTCACCTTTAATAGGTTTCCCAGAACGAGGCCTGCAAGATGGAGGCAGATCACCTCTGCCTGGGCTCTGGACAGGGCGGATGTATTCAAGAGATGGGGATCAAGAGATGGGGATCCCAAGGGTCATCTAGTCCAACCCCGTGCAAGGAGGGAATCACAGCTAAAGATGGCAATGCAAGCCCTGCTTAGACACCTCCAGAGTCCGCCCCCTTCTGAGAGAGACCCTTCCACTGTCAATATGTTCTTACCCACAGAATTTCCTCCTAAAGCTGAGCCCTTTCCGGTAATTTGAATCTGTTGGTTCGGGTTCCGCGCTTTGTTCCTGCTATTCTTTGATTTCATGCAGCGCTGCTGCAGGGTGAAGCTGAGTTAATATTTTAATAATAATAATAATAATAATTTATTATTTATACCCCGCCCACCTGGCTGGGTTTTTTCCAGCCACTCTGGGCAGCTTCCAACCAAATATTAAAATACAGTAATGCATCAAACATTAAAAGCTTCCCTAAAGAGGGCCGCCTTCAGATGTCTTCTAAAAGTCTGGTAGTTGTTGTTCTCTTTGACATCTGGTGGGAGGGCGTTCCACAGGGCGGGCGCCACCACCGAGAAGGCCCTCTGCCTGGTTCCCTGTAACTTGGCTTCTTGCAGTGAGGGAACCGCCAGAAGGCCCTCGGAGCTGGACCTCAGTGTCCAGGCAGAACGATGGGGGTGGAGACGCTCCTTCAGGGATACTGGACTTCAGATATACTAATAGACGTCTCAGGGAGCCAATGCTGGCCAAAGACATTTTCTGCCTGCAGCCCAGTGCTAGATGGAGGGATCCAACTGTCTGACTAAGTAGCTTCCTGTGCCCATCAAGCTTAGTGATGCCAACACCGGCTGGCAGCAGCTCTGCAGGGTTTCAGAAACAGGGGACATCCTACTGGATCCAGCCCAAGGGAGGCCTCCTAGCCCATCCTCCTGTCCTCGTCACAGTGGCCAAATACCCCAGAGAACCTTGGGATCTAGATAGATTGCATCTGAAACTGGAGGCTCCATCAGAACCCAAGAAGAACCCGGCTGCTGGATCAGGCCAGGGACCTGATCCTGTGCTCACATTGGCCACCCAGGTGCCTGCAGGAAGCCCCCAAGCAGAAGACCCCAGTCTCAAACCCCAACCCTATAAAAGGATCTTTACATGGTTGCCCTTTTGGATCCCAAGCTGCCAAGTATTTGCAACATGTTCTCTGTTTGGGCGGAGGCATCTGGGATCCAGCACTTGCTGCCTTCAATGTTTCTCAACCTTTCAGAGTTGATATTCAGCAGGATCCGGCATCCGGCATTTTGTGTTTGACGATAGCTGCCTTCCCACGGAATTCAGTGTTTGAAAACGCTTGAAACCCTGGCAGATTTTTATTTTATTTTTATTTTTTTGCTAGTTGATTGCTAGTTAGTGTATATAGGACACTGGACACTGTGCCTGAGAGGAAATTCCTGCTCTCTTTTTAAAAACAGGTGTCAAAACCGAACAACCAAATTTCAAATGGAGGACAACTTTTTTTATTTTAGGGGGAAATTCAAACTTTTTTTAAAAAGCATCTTAGCTCAGTTTTTGTGATTTCTTACACACACAGAGACACACCACAATCGGCTTTCAGTGCTAGATCACAGCCCTATGATGTGCCAATGCCCAAGCACACCATGCCTCTGACCATGTGCAGAGTGTGTTTTGTGCATCCCTGAGTAACCAGCCCCTCCAGCCAAAACACATCTGGGGCAGCCCGTGAGGCTTCCGAGTCAAGTGCTATGCGACTGCCGGACCTCCCTGAGCCCCAGAACCTGCCTGCTGAGAGCTTAAACTCCCTGAGGGAGGTGGACTTGGCAAGGCCGGCCCGTTTGCTGGAAGGGTGCCCTGCCCAGTTTCACAGCAAAGGCCCCAACCTCTCCCCTTTTCAGAAATTACGAGCGACTCTCGGATTTTGAGAAGCTGGTATCACTGCTTCATCGATTTTGTTGAATTTGCTTAAAGTTTTAATTGCATTAAATATATATATATATTTATTTATACCCCGCCCTCCCCAGCCAGAGCCGGGCTCAAGGCGGCTAACACCAATAAAATCGTAGTAAAAACATAATGGGGGGAAAGAGAGGGGGAAGAAAAAACCAATTTAAAATACAGGTTAAAATGCAATTTAAAATGCAGCCTCGTTTTAAAAGTAGCCCATAGATCAAGACCGTAAGGGGAGGAAAACATAAGGGTCAGACTGAGTCCAAACCAAAGGCCAGGCAGAACAGCTCTGTCTTGCAGGCCCTGCGGAAAGATGTCAAGTCCCGCAGGGCCCTGGTCTCTTGGGACAGAGCATTCCACCACGTCGGGGCCAGTACTGAAAAGGCCCTGGCCCTGGCTGAGACCAATCTAAGCACCTTGCGACCTGGGATTTTGAATAAATGTTCCGTTTATTGTCTTGAATTCTATTCTGTTTACCTTCCGGCTTGTGCGAACTGCTCCTTTTAAAGGGTAGGGCTGGGGGGGTTGGGGGATGAGTTCATGGGACCAAGAGGACAGATTTAGAGCCTCTGGAAAGCTCCACAGCTCGCAATGAAGACAAAAATCCAAAGGGGTGGCAAGTTTTTTCTGCAAAAAGCCAACACCCAGGAGCTTGTTCATTCCCATCTTCTCCCTCTTCTCTCTCTTTCTCTCTCTCTTCGTCTGCCTGCCCTCCTGCTGACTCTTTCTCCTAGTTAGCAGCCCAAGTCCTGGAGGAGAAGGGCGTGGGGTTTGGCCTGGTGGACGCAGAGAAGGATGCCGCGGTGGCCAAGAAATTAGGTAAGTGCCCGGCAGGGAGCAGAAGGGGGGGCTGGCAATACCTCCCGGGGCAGGGAGGGTGGGCAGCAAGGCGCTGCTGGAAACCAGGGTGAGGTTTGGGGCTGGATGGGGGGGAGGTTTGCTGTGGACCAAAAGGGCATCCGGCTATCTTTCCCTCCAGGAGTAAAGTTACCAGATTTTTTTCAATGAATCCTAAAGTAAAGGTAAAGGGACCCCTGACCATTAGGTCCAGTTGCGGACAACTCTGGGGTTGCGGCACTCATCTCGCTTTACTGGCCAAGGGAGCCGGCGTACAGCTTCCGGGTCATGTGGCCAGCATGACTAAGCCGCTTCAGGCGAACCAGAGCAGCGCACGGAAACGCAGTTTACCTTCCTGCCGGAGTGGTACCTATTTATCTACTTGCACTTTGATGTGCTTTCGAACTGCTAGGTGGGCAGGAGCTGGGACCGATCAACGGGAGCTCAGCCCGTCGCAGGGATTCGAACTGCTGACCTTCTGATCAGCAAGTCCTAGGCTCTGTGGTTTAACCCATCACGCCACCCACGTCCCTCAATGAATCCTAGGACACTTTAATTAATTAACTGCCTTTCAGAGCAGCCCCATCCCAACTTCTACTTGCGTGCAAGCAGGAGGGGGCAGGGATCTCTCAGGCAGCGCGATGCCTCCCTTCCCATCAGAGCAGCCCCAATCCCATTCCTACTTGCGTGCAAGCAGGAGGGCACGGGGATCCCTCAGCTGGGAAGGGAGGCTTCCCGTTGCCTAACTGAGAGATCCCTGACCCCTCCTGCTTCCACGCAAGCTCTGATAGGCAGCGTGAAGCCTCCCTTAGCAGCTTAGTTGCTGGGGTCAGGGAAGGTGGAGGCAGCCCAGAAGCTGCGTCTTGGAGCCCCTTCACCACCATCATATGGGGACTTCCCAGCAGCTCCTGAAGCCAGCAAGAGCCACCTGCTCCAGGCTGCTGAGACTGCCGCCGCCGCGTTTCCCGGGGACATTAGATGAAATCCGGGGACATTCCGGGGACGGAATTTGTCCGGGGACTTATTCGCAAATCCAGGGACTGTCCCCAGGTAACGGGGACGCCTGGTAACCCTGTCCAGGAGGGCTGCCATTTCTACACTTGAGTGACACAACATCAGCAACAGGCGAGACCACCAGGGGGAGAAAGGGAGCGAAGCAGGAAGAGCCCTAGCTCAGTGCTAGAGCAGCTGTTCTGCATGTAGAATGTCCTGGGTTCAATTCTGAACAGCATCTCCAGGTAGAAATCCCTGGTCCGTGCAGACAGTCCTGAGCTGGGCAGCTATACCTCTGAGAATCAAGGCAGCTTCCTATTTAAATCAACCTTTTCTTCAAAACCATGAGGACTGGAAACTTGACTTTGGTTTTAAAGGTTCAGCACGTGGACGATTTCTGCCTTGCAAGCAGAAGGTGCCATGTTCCGTCCCCAGGGGCCTCTTCAGGTGGTGCTGGGGAAGAGCGCCTGCCTGGAAACCCCAGGAGCTGCTGCCAGGCAGTGTACGCAGTACTGAGCGAAAGGAGCCAAGGGTCTGGCTGGCAGGAGAAGGGAGGTTCCTGTGAAGTGTCAGTGGTGCGCCAACCACCAGGGGGCGGTAGAAGCTCAGAGATCCCTGCAGAACACCTTGAGCCATTCATGTACTTATAAACAGGATTCTAGCTCCACTGAGATGCACGGGTGCTTTGTGGAATGAGAGAGATGAGTCCCTGACCCAGAGGTGGCTGTCAGCCTCAAGCAGCCTCTGCCAAGCTGGTGTCCTGCAGGTGTTTTGGACTACAACTCCCATCAGCCCCTGCAGCGCCTGATTTATGGCGCAGTTTTCCCCAGCACAGGGCACCAAGCCAAGGGAAAACAAAATTGAGGTGATCCAAAATTGAGAAGATCCATTTTGGGGCGGCAAATCTAGACCTCGCCCAAGGGCGCCATATTACCAAAGATTACCCCAAGCCCCTGAGCTGGTGGGAATTGTAGTTCAGAAGTTTTGGAGGGTGCCCGGTGGGCAAAGAGTGGCCTAGAGTGTGTGTCCCCATGGTATATGCAAGGGTGAAATAAGCCCCCTTGCCCTCCAGCTCCTCTCTCTTTCCTCTGCCCCCTATACCTTACAGCGGAGGGTTGGGCTAGATGACCGTTGGGGGTCCCTTCTCATGCAACAATTCTGTGATTCTATGTCTGTCTCCCCTGTGCAGGCCTGGGGGAAGAAGACAGTGTGTATGTGTTCAAGGATGATGAAATCATCGAGTACGACGGGGAGTTTTCTGCCGACACTTTGGTGGAGTTCATCCTCGATGTAAGTCCTGGGCCTCCTCCTGTCCCGCTGTGCCCCACAGCCTGCCCATATTGGCTGAAATGCCCCCCCTGCCTCTCAACGCCTGGGGGGCCAGGGAGTCCTGCTCACCTGGGTCAGGGGCGGAAAGGCGTGTTTGTGTGTGGACAGAACCCTAGAATCCTTTGCGTGGCTGGAACGTAACTCCGTGGCTCTGCAGAATTGGCCCCTGGAGGGTTGGTCATGAAGGAATGTGGCCCTTGAGCCCCAAAAAGGCTCCCCACCCCCACTGCAAAGCCTTCAACAGCCTGATGGCTGAACAAGTCCACCCTCCCTGTAGGAACCAGCCACGTTCTGAAATTGTTGGGAACCGCCTTCCAAAGGAGACCCTGCTTCGCTTGCTCCATTGCTAAAGCCACAGCACTCGGATCGTTGGATAAAAAATGCTCTGGTCTGTTGGACAGTGGAAGAAGCAGCCTTGGAAGGTGGTGGGCTTTCTTTCAATACAGGGGGTTGGACTAGATGGCCCTGGGTGTCCCTTCCAACTCTGCGATTCCATGATTTTACGACCTTGAAAGTTGGTGGGCTCTCCTTCACTGGAGGTTTCTAAACAGAGTTTGAACGGCCACCTCTCAGGGCTTCTTTGGCTGTGATTCCTGCAGGGGTTGGACTAGATGACCTGTGGAGGTCCCTTCCAACTATGATTCTGTGATTTTGGTGCTGTGATGCCAACGGCCTTTTCCTTCCCTTTCTCCTTCTCTCTCTCCCTCCAGGTGATGGAAGACCCAGTGGAGTTCATTGAAGGGGAACATGAGCTTGAGGCATTTGAGAATGTTGAAGACGAGCCCAAACTGATCGGCTACTTCAAGAACGAAGACTCGGAACGTAGGTGCCTCTTTGGGGCAATGGGAAAGGGGGATCCTGGTCCCCCCAAGAGGCTCTGCTGAAACGCATCCCCTCCCCCAAACACAAACATGTGGGAATGTCCAGGGATGCAGGAGAGGATATATTGTTTGATTATAGCCTTTCCAACTTGTGTTAGTAAGTTCACAATTTAGCAGAGTATCATTCCCCTTTTTAAACTTGCAGCGGATGCGTTTGCTCAGGCTCGCTAAAGTCTCTAGAATAACTGTTCTGGTATTTTCCCCTTATTCCCTCATAAAAGATAAGACACGACACAGTCTTCTATAAAAGTATAAAAAGAGTTTACTCACTCACATTTTGTTCACAATCAGATCCCAGAAGGCAGACTTAGCTTAGAAAAGTTACATACACCTGGAAACTATCTCATAAGGAGACAGTCCCTTTGTCCTCTCTTGGCTGGAGGCCAATGAAAATAGGGACAGCCTAAGGAAAAGTAGGGGATGCGGGTGGCGCTGTGGGTTAAACCACTGAGCCTAGGACTTGTTGATCAGAAGGTCAGCGGTTCGAATCCCCGCGACGGGGTGAGCTCCCGTTGTTCGGTCCCTGCTCCTACCAACCTAGCAGTTCAAAAGCATGAAGTGCGAGTACAGTGGTACCTCGAGTTACATACGCTTCAGGTTACAGACGCTTCAGGTTACAGACTCCGCTAACCCAGAAATAATACCTCGGGTTCAGAACTTTGCTTCAGGATGAGAACAGAAATCGTGCTCCGGCGGCGCGGCAGCAGGAGGAGGCCCCATCAGCTAAAGTGGTGCTTCAGGTTAAGAACAGTTTCAGGTTAAGAACGGACCTCCGGAATGAATTAAGTACTTAACCCGAGGTACCACTGTAGATAAATAGGTACCGCTGCGGCGGGAAGGTAAACTGCGTTTCCGTGCACTGCTCTGGTTCGCCAGAAGTGGCTTAGTCCTGCTGGCCACATGACCCAGAAGCTGTACACCGGCTCCCTCGGCCAGTAAAGCGAGATGAGCACCCCAACCCCAGAGTCGGCCACAACTGGACGTAATGGTCAGGGGTCCCTTTACCTTTTAAGGAAAAGTAGGACATTCCAGGATCAAATCAGAAACTGGGTCTGGTATCTGTAAACCAGGGATGTCCCCGGAAAATAGGGAGACTGGGAGGGTCTGCTGCTTAAAGGCCTCCAGTGAGGGAGATTCTGCCGCCTTCCGCGGGAGTCTGCTCCACTGCTCCAAGGTAGACTGCTCCTTCTCCTGGAGGGACTACTCCACCATCACAGATCTATCCTTCCGTTGGTTCTGCAGCTGTGGCTTTTCTCCGGGAGAGACACAGCCCCGGACGAGACACGCAGTGCTGTGCATCCGCCGCCTTGCTGCGCGGGTGCTTTTTTAAGAAACAGAACGCAGCCCGGAGTTAAAAGTTTGCAGATTTGCGCGGATGCCTCGTGTGCTCCCAGACAGCTCCTGTCAGCCCCCCCCCGCCGTCTCCCGCCAGTCCCTGCTTCGGGGCCGGAAGCCCCACGACCAGCTGACACCCGCATTAAACCAGCTTAACATGTCAGCCCTGTCACCCATCACGGCTCGGCGGAGAGGCAGAAGCGGCCGCTCTCTCGCCCGGGCGGAAAGCCTGGTGTGGGGACGCAGATCCTCTCTGGGTGAGGGGCTGCCAGCTCTGCAGGCAAGGGGGGAGCTAACTGGGCTCCTGAGCCCCCCAGGGGTGCTGCAGAAAGAAGGTACAGTGGTACCTCGGGTTACATACACTTCAGGTTACAGACGCTTCAGGTTACAGACTCTGCTAACCCAGAAATATTACCTCGGGTTAAGAACTTTGCTTCAGGATAAGAACAGAAATCGTGCTCCGGCGGCAGCAGGAGGCCCCATTAGCTAAAGTGGTGCTTCAGGTTAAGAACAGTTTCAGGTTAAGTACAGACCTCTGGAACGAATTAATTACTTAACCCGAGGTACCACTGTAGTTGGTTAAGGGACCTGTAGTCTCAAAAAGGTTGGAAAACTCTGCACTAAGGTAAGAACACAGTAAAATTCAGCAATCCATTGCACATTTATTCAAAACCCGATTCAAATGATTTAATTTGCAAAATGGATGGACCGGGTCCTGTGAGGCCAGCTTTCCAAAGTCTGAGAGTCATTTATACCTCCAGTGACACCCCCACCCCATTGGCTCTTAGCTCCCCCCACAGGTAATCCCACTCCCAGGTTCTTAGGGGTATTTGGCTACTATGATAACAGGATGCTGGGGTAGAGGGGTGATTGAAGGGGCTGGAATAGAGGACCCCAGGGTCCCTTCGAACTCTATGATGCTTTGTTGTTTAGTCGCTTAGTCGTGTCCGACTCTTCGTGACCCCCTGGACCAGAGCATGCCAGGCACTCCTGTCTTCCACTGCCTCCCGCAGCTTTGTCAAACTCAAGCTGGTAGCTTCCAGAACACTGTCCAACCATCTCATCCTCTGTCGTCCCCTTCTCCTTGTGCCCTCCATCTTTCCCAACATCAGGGTCTTTTCCAGGGAGTCTTCTCCTCCCATGAGGTGGCCAAAGTCTTGGAGCCTCAGCTTCAGGATCTGTCCTTCCAGTGAGCACTCAGGGCTGATTTCCTTAAGAATGGATAGGTTTGATCTTCTTGCAGTCCATGGGACTCTCAAGAGTCTCCTCCAGCACCATAATTCAAAAGCATCCATTCTTCAGCGATCAGCCTTCTTGATGGTCCAGCTCTCACTTCCATACATCACTACTGGGAAAACCAGAGCTTTAACTATACGGACCTTTGTTGGCAAGGTGATGTCTCTGCTTTTTAAGCATCTATGACGCTACGATGGCCTGATCTTCTTATGTTCTGATCATAGATATTAATAATAATATCAGCCCAAGGCAGGCAGGATCCCCTCTTTCACACACACACCCAGCAGCCTTTCGGGCTTTGCCACCCCGGAAACAAGGCGCTGCTGATCCCATTATTTCCCCCTTTCCAGATTTCAAGGCCTACGAAGACGCGGCTGAGGAGTTTCACCCCTACATTGATTTCTATGCCACCTTTGACAGCAAGGTACGTAGCTGGCCACAAACACCACCTCGCTTTTGCAGACAGCAGGACAGCAAAGGATGTGTTCCTTGTTTTGGAAGGAAGCTTGCAAGTTGCAGTGGGGGAAGGGCATTGTGGCACGAGAAGTTAGGAGGGGGGCAGATTGCAAGTTTCCAAACAGGAGCAACCAACACACCTAAGAAATTGATTCCTGCGTTGCAGAGGGTTGGGCTAGATGACCGCTGGGGGTCCCTCTGCAATTCTAGGACTCCATCCCTCTCTCTCCCCATCGCAGGTTGCAAAGAAGTTGTCTCTGAAACTGAACGAGATCGACTACTATGAGCCTTTCATGGAGGAACCGGTCACGATCCCAGACAAACCCAACAGCGAGGAAGAAATTGTCCAGTTTTTGGAGGAGCACAAGAGGTGAAGAGAAATTGAGGAGGGGGGAGGGGGAATTAGAGGAGGAGGAGCCCCCCCCCACGCCTTCCTGGCTCTAGACAGAGACGCATGCACACACGCGCGCACACACACACACACTCCCCACTGAAACGGGCAATTCTTGCTCCGTCTCCCGGCTGACTGCTGTGGATGGGGAGGAGAGTCATCCGTTGCCATGGCAGCAGCAACACCAAAGTCCTTCTCCTGCTGCCATGGCAACGGCACATTTATTGGCTGAGACTCCAAGCCCCAAACGGAGAAATCTTTGCAAACAGGGGCTGGGGGGGGGGGGAGGGAGAGATGCGTTTCGCTGGGCGGGGGGGGGGGCGCAAAAGATGGCATTGCTGTCCATCAGAAGCATCCCCCAGCCAGGCCTCTTGCCGTCAACACTGGCTGGCAGCAGCAGTCAGGCGGGAGGGGGCCAGTCCCAGTCCTTACTTGGAGATGCTTTCGGGAATGGAAGGGACCTGCATGGCACGAGTCCTTCCCGTTTATACGTGGAGAAGACGGCTGGGCTGGCTGCTGAGCTGGAGCCTCGGGGAGGCGGCGTCCTGGGGGTCCCCTGAGGACAGCCAGCTGGTTTCTGGAGCTCAGGAAACAGGTCGCGCCTGCAGCTCTGGCGCCCGGCGGAGGCTCCTGAGCGGCGGTCCCTGCACTGCGCGACCCTCGGGGTCTCTTCCACATCCTCCACCCTGCAATTCTGCCAGAGGAATAGCCCCGGGGGCGAACGGGGAATGAGGCAAAATGGCAATCAGTCGCCCTGGGGATGTTTCAGAAGCCCATGCATGCCAAAGACCTAGGAGAAAAATCCCCTCTCAAATCATCCCCTCTCTTCCCCCCAACTGCCACCCTCACCGCCGCCAGGGCGCTTATGGGGAGGCCTACCCCCCACCCAAGCTCCCCTCTGCTCTGCTGCAGATGTTTCCGCTGACCCTAATCCCCTGGGATTAACCGGGAGGTTTCCTAACCCCAATCCCTCTCCTCCCAGGAGACCTCAGCCCTGGCACAAACAGGGCGCATTTTGTGGCATCAATCCCCTTCTCTGTCCTGGGGAGGGGAGCGGCGGGGTGTCCCTCGCTTTTGGGGGAAGGAGGCCCTGCACCCCTTTCCCCCTCCTCATTTTGGGGGTGCTGTTGATGCGCTTCATGCCCCTGTTTCTCAGGCACTCCCCCCGCCCCCCATGGCATCTCCATCCAGCTGCTTCCAACATCGGGCCGACGAGGGGCTGTGCGGTTGCTATGGCAGCCTGGCCTTTGCGATTCGCTCACGGGACCGGATTAGGCCTGTTTTGCACAGCGATGCTTCTCCGGCTCTCATCCCTGGCATTATCCCTGAACCTCGCTCTGACCCCAAACTGACTCCCCCCACCTCCCCCTTGGCTACCTGCGTCAAAAGGATTTGCTCAGGCTTCTAAGGCTGCGTACACACCCAAATGCGTTTTAAAAGCACGTTTTGCGGGTATGGGGTCTTTCGTGAGAATATAAGGAGAGGCTGGCGGCTGGATCAGGCCAAAGGGGGCCCATCGGGTCCAGCCTCCTGTTCTCACAGTGGCCGAATAGATGCCCTAAAGGGAAATCCGTAAGCAGGACTCGAACACAAGATCAACTCTCCCCTCCAGCAACTTGTGCTCAGAAGTATCTCTGCCTCTGACTGAGGAGGCAGAGTACAGCCATCCTGGCTAGGAGCCACAAATTGTCTCCTCCTCCATAAATTTGTCTCATCCTCTTTTAAAGCCATCCAGATTTGTGGCCGTTGTGGCAGGGAGTTCCACAGTTTAACTATGTGCAGCATGAAGAAGGACTTTTCTTTTATCAGTTCTGAGTCTTCCGACACTCAGCCTGATTGGATGCCCCCCCCCCCGCAGCACTGGTGTTATGGGTGGGGGGTTGGAGAAGAAGAAGAGAAGAGTTTGGATTTGATATCCTGCCTTTTACTCCCCTTCAGGAATCTCAAAGCGGCTCACATTCTCCTTTCCCTTCCTCCCCCACAACAAACACTCTGTGAGGTGAGTGGGGCTGAGAGACTTCAGAGAAGTGTGACTGGCCCAAGGTCACCCAGCAGCTGCAGGTGGAGGAGCAGGGAAGCAAACCCGGTTCCCCAGATTATGAGTCCACCACTCTTAACCACTACACCACACTGGCTCTCCCCTCCATCCACTTCCTCCAGGCCATGTATAAAATCATAGAATTGTAGGGAGGGACCCTGACGGTCATCTAGTCCATGGGTAGGCAACCTAAGGCCCGGGGGCCAGATCCGGCCCAATCGCCTTCTAAATCCGGCCTGCAGATGGTCCGGGAATCAGCATGTTTTTACATGAGTAGAATGTGCCCTTTTATTTAAAATGCATCTCTGGGTTATGTGTGGGGCATAGGAATGCGTTCATTTTTATTATTTTTTTCAAAATATAGTCTGGCCCCCCGACAAGGTCTGAGGGACAGTGGTCCGCCCCCCCCCCCCCCGCTAAAAAGTTTGCTGGCCCCTGAAATTTCTAGTCCAACCTCCTGTGATGCAATAATTTTACCTGGGCTGGCCCACCCATGAGGCAAGTTGAGGCAAGCACCTCAGGCAGCAGAATCCACAGGGGCAGCAGACCCAGCCTCCAAGGGATGCATTGGCTGCCGCTGCTGTTCCTGCTGCCTCCTTAGCACCCCTCCCCAGCCCACCTCTGCTGCAATATCTCAGCCAATAGGAGGCACTGGGGGCCTCCTTCCACCCTTGCAAATGATGTATATATTTATCCCCCACCTGTCCCTGATGTAGATAGATCTTCACTCGCCAGTGTGGTGTAGTGGTTAAGAGCGGTAGACTCGTCATCTGGGGAACCGGGTTCGCTTCCCTGCTCCTCCACATGCAGCTGCTGGGTGACCTTGGGCCAGTCACACTTCTCTGAAGTCTCTCAACCCCACTCACCTCCCAGAGTGTTTGTTGTGGGGAGGAAGGGAAAGGAGATTGTGAGCCGCTTTGAGTCTCCTTAAAGGTAAAGGGACCCCTGACCATTAGGTCCAGTCGTGGCCGACTCTGGAGTTGCGGCGCTCATCTCACTTTATTGGCCGAGGGAGCCGGCGTACAGCTTCTGGGTCATGTGGCCAGCATGACTAAGCCGCTTCTGGCGAACCAGAGCAACGCACAGAAACGGCGTATACCTTCCCGCCAGAGCGGTACCTATTTATCTACTTGCACTTTGATGTGCTTTTGAACTGCTAGGTGGGCAGGAGCTGGGACCAAGCAATGGGAGCTCACCCTGTCACAGGGATTCAAACCGCCAACCTTCTGATTGGCAAGCCCTAGGCTCTGTGGTTTAACCCACAGCGCCACCCGCGTCCCTTTGGAGACTCCTTAGGGTAGTGATAAAGCAGGATATCAAATCCAAACTCTTCTTCTGTTTGGGGGTTTGCCTCAGGTGTCCGAATGCCTTGGGCTGGCCCTGAATTTTATACACTTCTATCATGTTGCCTCTTCCTCACCTTTTCTCCAAACTAAAAATCCCCCAATGCTGCCAGCTTTCTTCACAGCCCCATCTGGAGGTGCCGTGGGGCATTGAACCAGGGACCTTATGCATGCAAAGCAGGTGCACTGTTGCAGAGCTACAGCTCTTCACTTAAAAAGAAAGCAAGATTCTGGTCCTCATTGTTCTGAATTAAGGGCTGGTGGCCTAGAGATGCGCATTGTACCAGGGAGCTTCTGAATGCCCAGTAGTTTATGTAACCGCTGGTAAAGGTAAAGGGACCCCTGACCATTAGGTCCAGTTGTGCCCGACTCTGGGGTTGCAGCGCTCATCTCGCTTTACTGGCCAAGGGAGCCGGCGTACAGCTTCCGGGTCATGTGGCCAGCAGGACTAAGCCGCTTCTGGTGAACCAGAGCAGCGCACGGAAACGCCATTTACCTTCCCACCAGAGCACCACCTATTTATCTACTTGCACTTTGACATGCTTTCGAACTGCTAGGTTGGCAGGAGCAGGGACTGAGCAATGGGAGCTCACTCCGTCATTGCGGGGATTCGAACCGCCGACCTTCTGATCGGCAAGTCCTAGGCTCTGTGGTTTAGACCACCGTGCCACCTGCGTCCCTATATAACTGCTGAGTTGTGGCCTCTTCTCTCCCCTCCCATGGCTCATTTTTGGTCATCTCCAAACTCACATGCATAGCCTAACCAAACAGCTTTCCGGTCCAGCAAAGGTCTTTGCCACCCACTCACAGCCCCAGGATTTTTGCTGACATCTGCAGATTGGGTTAACTGAAAGATGAGGATCTGATGGTTCCTTCTGATGATTAACAGGATTTTGCAAGGCAGCGTTGGAGGGGATCTTACCGGATTTCAACAGAAGCTGCACTGAAGATCATTAGTACCCGGAGCCTTAAAGAAGTTTGTGTGTGTTTTCCCCTCTTCCTCAAACTCTCTCTTCTGCCCCTCTTGTCTTACAGGCCCACACTGAGGAAGCTCCAGCCAGAAAGCATGTATGAGACTTGGGTACGTCTAGGGGACGCCAGGGGGGAGGGAGAAAGAGGAAAGCCTCTGGAATTCTCTGCCTCCAAACCTGTCCCTGGATTTTGGAGTTTCGGGTTTCCTGGAGTGCTTCTGCAGATGTGTTGCTGATGCTCCTCAGCCCCCCCCCCCCTTAGCTGGAAGCAGAAATAATGTGAGGATTTCAGACAGCATTTATATCATGCAGCAATGCCCTTCCCTGTGGCCAAGATCTTTCTAACAATGTCTGCTCACAAGTATAAACAGAACTGATTTTCCATTAAGGAGTTGGGTGGAATTGAGCAAGACGTATGAGTGATTCAGTATTCCACCAGCTGCCTAACTCCCCCATAGGTGAGAAAACGGACATGGGGCAATTCAGAGAAGATATTTTCAAGGGGAAATTGACCACTAATCCCCCAGCCAGTACAAATGCCAAACTTTCTTTGCTTTTATAATTTTATGATGATTTTAATGATTTCATTGTCTGCCCCCATGCTATTTGTTTAATGAGCTGGAAATTGAGAAATACCAAGATGTCTCTGTACTTTTGTTTTCTCTGTGTGTTTGCCTTTCTTCCGCCGCTACACCACCAAGGAGCATTGATAAAACACGGTGATCTTGAGGCCATTGTAAGCGAGATGCCTGCAGCCTCGTTCATTCAGAAAAACGTATACCCGGCCACCCCACCTAGCTATTCACCAAGCGGCCTCACCATAAATAATTCACCCTGGTGCAAACAGCACAAAAGCAGCAACTTTGTGCAAACTGATATTGCTGTGTTGGCCAGCTGAAAATGACCAACTTCCTTTTGTTCTGAACTCATGGATGTTCGTTCCAGCTCTCCCTTCGCCCTACAGACGTAGGTGACAAAACCTTTCCAAAGGTCGTCATCAAGGTGCAGACGCGTCCCTCAAAAAATCTCCCTGTTGTTGTGGGAAAGTGCCCTTCGGCAAGGAGTTCTCCCGCAAAGGAGAGCTGTACTTGAGAGTCACCATGAAGAGCACCGAGTGGCTAGTGCCTGGGATGTCACCAATTCCTATGCATGTTCCTGCACAACTCCTGTTCCTTGCAACAGGACTTGTGTAGGGGAATTGCCATGGGGCCTTGTGGTCAGTGTCTTTACACTGGTAAGACAGTCACCACGAGCTGGGATGCTGGAGAATTCTGACATAAATGTAAATGGGAGCTGAAATTGTGAATGTTTGGTGGAAATTGGTCCGGCAAATACGGGAACAGAGCTTTGAGTCCTAGTCAGGATTTGAACTCTGATCTCCCAGGTCCTCTAACCTCCACACCACATCGACTCTTGATACAAGGCAGAATAGAAAGCTATGCTTTCTTACATCCCTGCTAGTGAGTAACGTCTCTCTCTCTCCCTCTCTCTTTGTCCTTCCAGGAGGATGATATAGATGGCATCCATATTGTTGCTTTTGCAGAGGAAGATGACCCTGGTGAGTTGCCCTTACAGAGAACTGAGAGCAGAGCTTCATGGCCACGGGGTGGGGGGGGGCTTGCCTGCAGTCTCCATTCTCTTCCCCAATGGTCATTTCCCCATCTTTCCCCATCTACAGTAACTAAAAAACCAGGAAAGGAACGTGGTAATATTACATCAGAAGGGGACATTCAAAACATATCATAAAAACACATCCAAACTAATAATTGAAAGGAACTGAGGAAGAACTAGGAGAGTTCGTGCTCCATTGTGCTGCCTGGAACAGAATTAAAATAGTATAGAAGCTGACTGTCAGTCTTACCATCAACAGACATCCCCAGCAGAGAGTGTTTGCCCACATTCCACAGCTGCAATACCGATAATATATTTATATTTGCCAGTAGCCAACCCAGTTTTCCCTGGCTTGCACTACAGTCCCTCAAAACAGGATAATTAAAAAGGTGAGCCTTTGGGTTTCTTTAACAGAGCACCTGAACCAGCAGTGGGTCTTGCCTTCTGCATCTCCAGAAACACAAAACTTTAGTTTGCTGTGAGTACAAAGGGAGCACTCGTCCCACACCCTAAATTTAAAGCACTCTTATTCCACTTTAACATCATGGCTTCCCCCAAAAAGCCTTGTCATGTGGCGAAAGAGTACTCTAAGCCCGTGGCGTGGATGTGGAAACTGCAGCAGCCTTCCTAGAGATGATATGATTTTGATGGAGAAGTTTGATAAAATCTATCAAGTGATTCTGCTGTCCGTAACTGGGGCAGATTTTTGCCACGAGACTCTTTGGATTCTGGCTGTCTCTCTTTGCTGTTATCATACTGGAGCCCCACGGACGCCTCGTGGGGAGGCAGGAGCCATGAAACTGGGTTGAAATAGTGGCTCTGTTTAGGAAGGGCAGGAGATGGATGGGGTGGGCCTTGATTTGTGGGGGGAGGCCTTTGCACAGGAAAGCTGGCAGACCCTGGCTGCCCTCTCACCTCTGTGGGAATGTTCAGGGATGCAGGAGAGGATATATTGTTTGATTATAGCCTTTCCAACTTGTGTTAACAAGTTCACAATTTAGCAGAGTAACATTCCCCTTTTTAAACTCACAGCGGATGCGTTTGCTCAGGCTCGCTAAAGCCTCTAGAATAACTGTCCTGGTATTTTCCCCTTATTCCCTCATAAAAGATAAGACACGAAACAGTCTTCTATAAAAGTATAAAAAGAGTTTACTCACTCACATTCTGTTCACAATCGGATCCCAGAAGGCAGACTTAGCTTGGAAAAGTAACATGCACCTGGAAACTATCTCATAAGGAGACAGTCCCTTTGGAGGCCAAGAGAGCGTCTTTGGCTAAGCAGATATTGCTTCTTTGATGCATGTAGTCAAAAGAGAGAGAGATGGCTGCCCTGCCCTGTGCTTTTGTCGTTACCTGCACAGGTGAGGCCACACCCACCTCTAGTCACATGCAGAGGAAGTCTGTCCCAGCCCAGAAGGAAACAGGAAGTTGACCTGCTGGCTGGACAAACATTCCTCCCCAGGTGTAAACATGTTCACTCTAGGAATGTTGTACTTGACTGCTCTTGTGTTTCACATCCCACAACCTCCCTCTCTCCTCAACACTTTCTGGCCACAGATGGTTATGAGTTCCTGGAAATCCTGAAGGATGTTGCCCAAGACAACACAGACAACCCAGACCTCAGTATCATCTGGATCGACCCTGAAGACTTTCCACTGGTGAACAGGCAATTGTGCTCTTTAGCGGGGGTGGGGGTGGCTGTCAAGGACGCCATGGCTTGTTCTTGCTGCTATGGCCCACACCAATGCCCCCCAAAGTTGGATTAGACCCATTTCTTGGAAGAAAGCCAGTGTCCCCACAACCACTTTGTGTCCCCACTCACCCTCCGCAAAATCGGACGCTGCACGTGCCTGAAAGTCTTTGTGGACCCTCATTCCCTGTTCCCTCTTTCTCTCTCTCAGCTGATTCCCTACTGGGAGAAGACTTTCGACATTGACCTGTCCAGGCCTCAGATTGGCGTCGTCAACGTAACGGACGTAAGTGACCACGGGCACGGGAGAGGCGGGCAACTCTGCCGCTGTTGCAAAGTCCAAACCAGGCGCATGCCTCTTGAGAACAACGCTTTTGTAGAATTTGTAGGGAAGGAAGTGTTTCTGAATGCCCAGGTGGGAAATTCAGCGGTTGTATGGCAAACAAGAGGGACGTGGGTGGCGCTGTGGGTTAAACCACAAAGCCTAGGACTTGCCAATCAGAAGGTTGGCGGTTCGAATCCCCGCGACAGGGTGAGATCCCTTTGCTCGGTCCCTGCTCCTGCCAACCTAGCAGTTCGAAAGCACGTCAAAGTGCAAGTAGATAAATAGGTACCGCTCCGGCGGGAAGGTAAACGGCGTTTCCGTGCGCTGTTCTGGTTCGCCAGAAGCGGCTTAGTCATACTGGCCACATGACCCGGAAGCTGTACGCCGGCTCCATCGGCCAATAAAGTGAGATGAGCGCCGCAACCCCAGAGTCTGTCACGACTGGACCTAATGGTCAGGGGTCCCTTTACCTTTATGGCAAACAAGCTATGGACACCCCCTGTTTCTGGAAGCCCCCATAATAAATAAATAAATTCCCAATACTCAATGAAGCAACATTTTAAGTTTCCTGCCTTCAAGCCCTCTCCCCTTCTTTCAGATGGCTCTGCTATAGACAGCGACAGGGGTCAAGACGTCCATGTAGGCAGGGGGTGGGAAGTTATGGGGGAAATGTTATCTGAGAAAGACCCCCTGAGCCACCTCAGTCACCCGCTGCATGTTCCCTTGATACCAGGGATGAATCAAACACAAAGTGGGGTTGGACTAGATGGGCCCCATGGGGTGCCTTGCAACTCTATAGTTCTGCGATTCTATAAATTTTTTCACAGTCTTGGGAAAGCTCAGGGGTGGGGGTGGGGTAATCAAAATGTCATACACATTTTACCCCCCCCCCCAAATATCCTTCACTATATCCTATGTCCTTTTTTATATTCAGAACAGATACAGTGGTACCTTGGTTCTCAAACTTAATCTATTCCAGAAGTCCGTTCCAAAACCAAAGCGTTCCAAAACAAAGGCGCGCTTTTCCATAAAAATGCAAAATGGATTAATCCATTCCAGACTTTTAAAAAACCCCAAAACAGCAATTTAACATGGATTTTACTATCTAACGAGACCATCGATCCATAAAATGAAAGCAATAAACAATGTACTGCAGTCACGCAATTAATCAATCAATCAGTAGCTGAACTGGGTTCCACATAGTCACAAAAACAAAACAAAAAGAGCCGCAGAAACAAAAATGCAAAATAAATAGCAGAAACAGACAGACCTCAGCGTAACACTCAAAACAGAAGCATAACACTCAAAATAGAGCATGTTCGGCTTCCGAAAAAAGTTCTCTTACTTCGGGGTTTACAGTGTTTGGGTTCCAAGTTGTATGAGTACCAAAGCATTTGAGAACCACTGTAAATGTAAAGTATTTAACCTGCACTAATCTGAAGGCAGCCCTATTCAGGGAAGCTTTTTATGTGTGACATTTTAGTGTATTTTTGGTCTTTGTTGGAAGCTGCCCAGAGTGCCTGGGGAAACCCAACAGCTTCCAACAAAGACCAAAAATACACTAAAATGTCGCACATAAAAAGCTTCCCTGAACAGGGCTGCCTTCAGATGTCTTCTAAAAGTCAGAGAGTTGTTTATTTCCTTGACGTCTGATGGGAGGGTGTTCCACAAGGCAGGCGCCACCACCGAGAAGGCCCTCTGCCTGGTTCCCTGTAGCTTTGCTTCTTGCAGTGAGGGAACCACCAGAAGGCCCTCGGAGCTGGACCTCAGTGTCCGGGCAGAAAGATGGAGGTGGAGATGCTCCTTCAGAACATCACAAATCAATAGGATGATCTCCAGCTGAATTTTACATCCCCCCCGCCAGGCTGACAGCATATGGCTGGAGATGGACGACGAGGATGACCTGCCATCCACAGAGGAGTTGGAAGACTGGATTGAGGATGTGCTGGAAGGAGAGATCAACACGGAAGATGACGACGACGATGACGATGACGACGATGACGATGATGATGATGATGACGACTAGAGGCTCCCGTTCTTCATGGAAGGCGGACCCTGCCTGTTGAGGTCCACCTGCGTCACACCTGTCCCCAGAGTGTCCCTCGGGGGCCGCAGTGCCAGGCGCCTCTGGCCGACGCGAAATTCAACGCTTTGCCACCAGACCCTAGCAAGAACGTATTTTTATATTGATCCTATTTAAGTCAAGGGCCCCCACCCTGTGCTGAACCCCACGTGTGTCCCCCCAGGGACCCCGCTCTGCCCTCTGCCAGCGCAGGGGTGCTTGTTGGTGCTGACCCCTCCCTCCCCTTTCCGCACTAGGCTCGCCAGGTCTCCTTCAGGCACCTGAGGATGCTGTTCCTGGATGGACCATCAGTTTTCCCTGGGATGTTAAGCCCAGCTCAGGTTTTCCAGGTGAATCCCAGGAACGGGCAAGGCTCTTTGCCTGTTCCTAACCCTCAGCATCCTGGTTTATCAGGGCACTTGATGGACCTCCCAGCTCAGCACAGGCAGAGATGTGTGTGACCCTAAGTGTTGTCGGCCCAGTGAATTTCCCATCATGCCTCTCTCTCTCTATGCTTCCCCTGTGATGTCCACTCTGACTGGCAGGGGCTGTCCAGGCAGGGAATCTTTTCTCAGCCCTTCCTGGAGATGCCACTGGGGTGGGAAGGGTGAAACCTGGGACCTTCTAGACACAGAGCAGATGCCTTATTTACCATCTCTTCCCAAATTCCCTGCCTTCCCACCAATGCCTTCCTCTTCCTCACCGCGACGCAAGGGAATAGTTCCCGTCTTCTTTGCTAGCGTCTCTCTTGGACTTTGTTAAATCTATCACTCACTTTGGCTCTGAGTTTCTGTCAGGAAACACCTCCCCAAATCATTTCATCAGTTAAACTGAAGTGGGAGGGCAGAGATCAGCCAATAACGTGTGTGTTTTTGGGGGGGGATAGAAACAAATGTAATTCCTGGGCTTTGGGGGTGAATATATTTGGGCTAAAACTGTCTTGTTAATATTTCAGGAGTGGGGAGATAATCGGGGGGGGACCCACAACCTGTTCAGCACTCAGTGGGGGTGACACAATGTACAATTTGTATATTTTTCAACAACTTTGTACAGATCAACCAAAGCGATTAAAAAAAAAAATCAAATAACAATGCTGGTGAGATATTATTTTCTGCCCGCTACCCTTCTCCCCCACCCCCCAAAATTCTCATAACGATGAGGGCATATCAGTTATTATGGAGAGCGGGGGCTCAAAGTCCCGAAGGCAAAAAGGACCAAGGATAGGAATTAATCCTGGATATCTCTTCTTCATAAGAACTTGAGAAGGGTCTGCTGGATCAGGCCAAAGGGGGCCCACCTAGTCCAGCCTCCTGTTCTCACAGTGGCCCACCAGACGCCCCAACCAGAAACCTGCAAGCAGGATTCAAACGCAGGAGCCCTCTCCCTTCCTGGGGTTTGCAGTGTGATCATCCTGGCTGGTAGCCATCGATAGCTGGCTCCTCCATTTTAAGGCCTCCACTCCTCTTTTTGAGCCACCCATGTTGGTAGCCATCTCTGTCCCCTGTGGCAGGGAGTTCCATAGTTTAACTCTGCACTGCGTGAAGAAGGACTTTCTTTTATCCGTCCCGAATCTCCCACCATTCACCTTCACTGGATGTCCATGAATTCTAGTGTTAGGAGAGAACACTCCTTGTTCTTCCCCCAGACCAGGTATAGTCAGATCAAAAGGCTACACTGGGTTTTGTTTCCATGCCTATTTCACTGTGATTTTGGGGGGTGGGTGTTGGGGGGGGACCTTCCCTTGGAGCCTACATTGCCTGTGGGAGATTGTTTTGGGATTTGGGGCAGGGGGCAGAGAAAGAGATTTTTGAGGATGGAGGGAGGGAACCTGATGCACCCGAAGACCAGCTCTTCTGTCCTCCTTTGTTTTCCTGCGGTTGCCAGGGTCACCGTCAACTGCGCCATGGAAACGGCACGCTGCCAGGGGTCTGCTTAGAGGCTGCCAGCAGTGAGCTGGACTGGGCCGGTGGGGTGAGGTGGGGGCACCTCTGGGCACTGATGTGTGCTGTGGAGGGGCTGCCCATGCACCCACTAGGGTCCTGTGCACATCTGGGTGCACAAAGCAGCCACCGGGACCATATGACACTGGTCCTGAAAGACCTACATTGGCTCCCAGTACTTTTCCGAGCACAATTCAAAGTCTTTGTGCTGACCTTCCAAACCTTAAATGGCCTTGGTCCTGTATCCCTAAAGGAGTGTCTCCACCCCCATCGTTCAGCCCAGACACTGAAGTCCAGATCCGAGGGCCTTCTGGCAGTTCTCTCATTGTGAGAAGTGAAGTTACAGGGAACCAGGCAGAGGGCCTTCTCAGTGGTGGCGCCCTCCCTGTGGAACGCCCTCCCACCAGATGTCAAGGAGAAAAAGAACTCTTTGACTTTTAGAAGACATCTGAAGGCAGCCCTGTTCAAGGAAGTTTTTAATGTTTGATGTTATGTTTTTAAGTGTGCTGGAAGCCGCCCAGAGCGGCTGGGGCAACTCAGTCAGATGGGCAGAGTACAAATTATAAAATTATCATCATCGCCATCATGAGTGCACAGAGAATACTGCTGGCTGAGCTCCCCCAGGGATTTTGCCAGTCTTGCCACAGTCTTGCCCTTTTCCATGAAAGTGGCCACCTTCTGCATCAGGTCCTCTGCAGAAGAACGTGAGAAGAGACCTCCCCAGATCAGGCCAAACAGAGAGTCATAATATCACAGAATTGTAGAGCTGGAAGGGATGCCCAAGGAATCACAACTAAAGCATCCCTGATGGTTGACCATCCAACCTCTGCTTAAAAACATCTGAAGAAGGAGAGCTTGCCGTCCCCTAAGGCCATCCATTCCACACCATAGACAGGAATGCAAGAAGCTGCTTTGTATTGAGTCAGACTGCAGGGTTCACCTAGTTCAGTCTTGTCTACACTGGCTGGTAGCATATCTCCAGGATTTCAGCCCAGAAGTTGCTACCAGCCGTGACTGGAATCCTGGGATCATCCGCCAGCAAATCAGGTGCTCAGCCGCTGAGCCACAGCCTTTCCCCCACGCCAGGGACAGGACAGGTCCTTCCAGATGTTTTTGGAGTCCAGCTGCCACCATCACCATCCCTGGCTCTGCCACTTGAGATGGAATCGTAGAACATCTGGAGGGTTGTGAGTCTGCGCCCTGTAGACCATAAGGAGTCCAATGCGGTTGCTGGTCCAATGGGTCCCAAACTTTATTTTGGGGGGGGACTGCCTCTCTGGTCCCATAAACTCATCCCCAGAGCCCCTTACCCTACCCCAGAAACAGAATCACGGTTTGCACGACCTACAAAGGAACATAAAGGTAAAGGGACCCCTGACCATTAGGTCCAGTCGTGGCCGACTCTGGGGTTGGGGCGCTCATCTCGCTTTACTGGCCGAGGGAGCCGGCGTACAGCTTCCGGGTCATGTGGACAGCATGACTAAGCCGCTTCTGGCGAACCAGAGCAGCACACGGAAACGCCGTTTCCCTTCCCGCCAGAGTGGTACCTATTTATCTACTTGCACTTTGACGTGCTTTCGGACTGCTAGGTTGGCAGGAGCTGGGACCGAACAACGGGAGCTCACCCCGTCACGGGGATTCAAACCGCTGACCTTCTGATCGGCAAGCCCTAGGCTCTGTGGTTCAACCCACAATGCCACCCGTGCCCCTGCTACAAGGGAACATAATAACACAATAAAATTCAAAACAGAAACAACAGTACATTTATTCAAGACCCAATTAAAATGATTTAGTTTAATCAATTCAACACAACTGATGAGCTGGGCCCAGTGATACTAGCTTTCCAAAGTCTGATAGTCGTCTCCTCCTCCAGCGACCCACCCTTGCCTCTTAGCATCCCCCCAGGTCAAGGGGGCAATGCCACCCACTTGGGGAGCCCCTGCTCTGGTCCGAATGCCCCCCATGTTCGGCACCGGCTGACACTTACGGAAAATATAAATGCAGAGGGATCGCCACCGTCAGCAAAGGCAGTTTCGTGCGCACATTGATGGGTCCGTATGAATAATGTATGCTAAAGCAACAGAATATTCAGGCTCAGAGTCCCAAGTTTGCATCATGTGCTGCTTGGAAATGAAGCGGCGATCCATCATTCCTACAGCAGACTAAAAACCGTCTCTCCCTCACAGCAAGATGCTGTGGGCTGCCCTGGTGGGAAGGGTGGGTCGCGGTTACCCCCATTTCACAGACGGCTAAAAGAAGGCAGAGACTGAGAGTGAGGGGTGGTCTTCAACAAAGTGCAAGGGGCAAAAGAAGATCAGAAGAGCAGCTGGATCAGGCCAAGGGAGGCCCATGGAGTCACAGAGACAGGTGACAAGGGGTCTCTTTTCCTGCTCTAGGGTAAAAACGGGTCTCCGTAAGACCGGAGTCATCACTTCCATGAAACCCTGCGGAATGTCTCACCTGAATATTATGCTTCCTGAGAGGAGGGCTTGCCTGCTTAAGGAAACAGGAGCCCTCTTCTGAATTAAATCAACACATTAAAGAACTTTGAACATATCAGACTTGGGATTTGGGCTTCTGCTGTTTTGGTGACTTATGACCAGGGCCAGATTTAGGTTTGATGAGGCCCTAATCTACTGAAGGCAATGGGGCCCTTTATATGTCCAGCTGTCCTTTGTCAACAACAAATTGTCATTGTTTTTTACGTTGAATACATGCTACATGGTAATTTATGGACCTAATAGGTATCTAAAGCCATTTGCACGTAACAAAATATGTATTTTATCAAAGTAATTGTTGAACTGAAATACAATTAAGAAGAAGTATATTAATAGTGAAATACAATTAAGAAGAAGTATATTAAGAGTGAAATAATTATTGGGGGCCCATTACTTACATCATAGGAGCCGGTTGTTGTTTAGTCGTTTAGTTGTGTCCAACTCTTTGTGACCCCCTGGACCAGAGAACGCCAGGCACTCCTGTCTTCCACTGCCTCTCACAGTTTGGTCAAACTCATGCTGGTAGCTTCGAGAACACTGTCCAACCATCTCGTCCTCTGTCGTCCCCTTCTCCTTGTGCCCTCCATCTTTCCTAACATGAAAGCTGACTTCATAAAACTTAGGGAAGTGCTGGGTGAGATCCCATGGACAGTAATACTAAAAGGAAAGGGAGTTCATGATGGCTGGGAGTTTGTTAAGAGGGAGATAGTAAAAGCACAACTTCAGGCAATACCAATGAGACGGAAACATGGAAGGTGCCTAAAGAAGCCAGGGTGGCTATCTAAAGAACTTTTAACTGAGTTAATATTAAAAAGGATGTGTACAAAAAATGGAAAAGGGGGGAAACCACCAAAGAGGAATTCAAACAAATAGCCAGCACGTGTAGACACAAAGTCAGAAAAGCTAAAGCACAGAATGAACTCAGGCTTGCTAGAGAGGTTAAAAGCAACAAAAAAGGCTTTTATGGGTATGTTCGTAGCAAAAGGAAGAACAAAGAAACAGTGGGGTCACTCAGAGGAGAAGATGGTGAAATGCAAACAGGGGACACAGAAAGGGCTGAACTCCTCAATGCCTTCTTTGCCTCAGTCTTCTCCGATAAAGAAAACAATGCCCGACCTGAAGAATTTGGAGCAAATGATTCAGCAAAGGAAACACAGCCCAGAATAACTAAGGAGATAGTACAAGAATACTTGGCTAGTTTAGATGTATTCAAGTCTCCAGGGCCAGATGAACTGCATCCAAGAGTATTAAAAGAACTGGCAGATGTGATCTCAGAACCACTGGCAGTCATCTTTGAGAATTCCTGGAGAACAGGCGAAGTCCCGGCAGACTGGAGGAGGGCAAATGTTGTCCCTATTTTCAAAAAGGGGAAGAGAGGACCCAAATAATTACCGCCCAGTCAGTCTGACATCAATACCAGGGAAGATTCTGGAGCAGATCATTAAGCAAACAGTCTGTGAGCACCTAGAAAGGAATGCTGTGATCACCAATAGTCAGCATGGATTTCTGAAAAATAAGTCATGTCAGACTAACCTGATCTCGTTTTTGACAGAATTACAAGCCTGGTAGATGAAGGGAACGCAGTGGATGTAGCCTACCTTGATTTCAGCAAGGCATTTGACAAGGTGCCTCATGATATTCTTGTAAAGAAGCTGGTAAAATGCGGTCTTGACTATGCTACCACTCAGTGGATTTGTAACTGGCTGACTGACCGAACCCAAAGGGTGCTCATCAATGGTTCCTCTTCATCCTGGAGAAGAGTGACTAGTGGGGTGCCACAGGGTTCTGTCTTGGGCCTGGTCTTATTCAACATCTTTATCAACGACTTGGATGATGGACTCAAGGGCATCCTGATCAAATTTGCAGATGACACCAAACTGGGAGGGTGGCTAACACCCCAGAGGACAGGATCACACTTCAAAACGACCTTGACAGATTAGAGAACTGGGCCAAAACAAACAAGATGAATTTTAACAGGGAGAAATGTAAAGTATTGCGCTTGGGCAAAAAAAATGAGAGGCACAAATACAAGATGGGTGACACCTGGCTTGAGAGCAGTACATGTGAAAAGGATCTAGGAGTCTTGGTTGACCACAAACTTGACATGAGCCAACAGTGTGACGCGGCAGCTAAAAAAGCCAATGCGATTCTGGGCTGCATCAATAGGAGTGTAGCATCTAGATCAAGGGAAGTAATAGTGCCACTGTATTCTGCTCTGGTCAGACCTCACCTGGAGTACTGTGTCCAGTTCTGGGCACCACAGTTCAAGAAGGACACTGACAAACTGGAACGTGTCCAGAGGAGGGCAACCAAAATGGTCAAAGGCCTGGAAACGATGCCTTATGAGGAACGGCTAAGGGAGCTGGGCATGTTTAGCCTGGAGAAGAGGAGGTTAAGGGGTGATA